GGCTCTCCAACATGTGCGTCGTCAGTGCCTGGCTCTATCTTGTCAGCACACAGCAACATGAATGACCTTTGGGAGTTGGACATCGTCCAGCCACCGCACTTGCTGCCTTTTCTTCCCTTCACGGCGGAAGAATTGGCTAGAAGACTCAACGACATGCCTGCATGGGTGGCCTATTGGGTAGCTGGGGAGATTCGTTTTTGGGTCCGTGGGTGTAGGCTTTCTTGGTGGTGGTTCTATACACGTCTTCTTGCACTTCAGGTGTATCTAGAAAGCCTTGATCGTGTTGCCTCCCAATTCCCTGCCCTCCGTCCCGACGCTCTCTTAGATTGGTTTTGTTCAGAGGACGATGTTCTACTTTATCATCGTGAAGTAGTGGAGTGGACCGGGCGCATAGACTGTACTGCTGAAGCTATCGTTTGGGAAAATACTGGTATGCACCTACCCTGTTGGATCATCGTTTTAGGACCTTCCCCTATTGAAGGCCTCTACGGGTAGCGCGCCTATATCCCTCTTGCTGCTTCTCTGCACTGCCTGCCCTTGCCCTTGCCTTACTTGAACTGTTTTTTGGACTGGGCGACTTGGCCCCTGTTGCGATCCTTATCTGCAGTCAGTAAGAGTATCGACCTAAGCCGTCAGTCGCCCAGGGTAGTTCCATGGCCTCGCCCTCGGTGCTTACTTACAGACGTGCGCCTTGGGGACGTTCTGACCTGCCGACTCCGGGGCTGAGAAGTCAGGCTGCATCTTGGGGGGCTGGGGCCTCTGGGGGCCTACCCCAACCTTCTGTGCCTTGGCCTCTCGCTACAGCTTGAAAGCTCGCAACGCGCCTAGCTCGGAAACCTACAGAGTGCCTCCAGAATGAGGACCAGCAGCCTGGCTTTTCCACGGGAGGTCAGAAGAGGGACGGTTCTGGAACGGAAGGTGTCGTATGCTGTGGCGTCCCAGCGCAGAGAGCGGGCCTACACGATCGACCGCATGTAGCCTGAAGTAGTATCCCCGCGACTGCCACTTGCCCTCAGGTGCTGAAACATGTGCCTGTTCTTATAACATGAGAGTCAAGTGTCTTTGGATTGTGGAGTCCTTGGATTGTTTGGAATGTTCTCTGCATCCTAGGAGGGGGTTTTCTTTCTCCCTTCAATGTTTGGCTTTCAGAACGGTCTGCGAGTGAAGCCTGCACTGCTGCACTACGGTTGCTTCGTTACACCCATGTCCCAGTCGCAGTAGCACTGTGGCATTCCTTTTACGCAAGAAGCATCCGCTGTAGATTCCTCTCGAACTCCGCCCGGAAAGTCTTTTCTAGGTTCGCCGCTTGTGAAGCGATGGACTCTCGTGACGATCCCAGGGCCGTCTTCATGGAGATCTCGGACCGAGGCACCCCGGCTGGAGTCCCTCTTCAATCAACGGCACGTGTGGTGACTGCGGATCCCCACCAGCATGTGGTGGTTCAGACCCACGCCGATGCATGGGAAAAAGGGGCTTGGTTGCTGAGCCCAAACGGCGGGCTGTCTTGGGTTTTGCTGGCTTGCTTCGTGATCTACAACTGCTTCCAACTCCTTCGCTACCTCAGAAAGGGGATGCCAGTGATGGAAGCTCCCACCAACCTGGGCGATGCCATGACCCAAGTCAAGGAGGAGGAGAGCCGGGATCCACCGTCGGCGCCAGCCCCTTCGGCACTGGCATCGGACCCTCCCTTTGTCGACACCAAGGCCATGAATACAGGCACGCCTGGAGCAGAAGACCAAGGCGACGCTGGGGGGTCGGCTGTCCAGGACCTTCCAGCAAGATCCGCCACTCCTTCTCCTGAGAAGGATGACGATGCGCCTGCGGAGTCTTTGTCGCAGCCGCTCACCACCATGGAGGTGGAGGCCCTGAGAGAACTTCGACAGAGCTTGCAAGATGTCAAGATGTGGGTGGAGGACTCCTCACACGCTGCAGCTGACAGAAACAAGGAACATCTTGCCTCCACCCTGACGGAGCTTAAACGTCTCCTGGACGGGAGTATCTACTCCCAACCCAGGTTGGAGGCCGCCATGAGAGATGCCTTCGAACCACTACAATCCTTGGTGGTGCCAACTTTGACGGGGCTCAAGAGTACACTGGGCCCCCTACCGGAGCATGGAGCTGACATCCGTGCCCTCAGGGAGGTCATCATCTCCATCGAGGACGTTGCGACCCGTGCTTTGAAGGCTGTGGAGGACTCGTCCTGGGACCAAAATGGCCGTCTCAATGCCCTCGGGAACCAGATCGGCACGGTCGGCACAGATGTTGGAAAAGGCCTCCAGCATGCCCACAGGAAGCTGGACTCCATACACGCTGCCCTCGGAACCAAACCAGCAGGCAGTGTTGATGGGGGTACCGACTTTACCAACATCCTGGTGGCTGTCAAGGACCTCCAGACTGAGATGAAGGCGATGAACCAGAACATGGAGAAGCTACAGAGACGCATGGAGACTGCGCTTTCAAAGCTGGTGGCGGTGGAGCAGTCCACCAACAAGCTGGCAGCGGCGCGACCCAAAGCGCCGCCCCCAAGCTCACCGGCGCCGAATATGCCGGCGGAGGAGGCGCCTTTGCCCCCACCTTCGCAACCACCTGGCCAATGGCAGCCGCCCATGACCGGGCCTACAGTGGGGCCGTGTATGCCTTCGGCCACACGTGCGGGATCCGTCTCAGCACCGACGATGCGGTTAGCTCCACATGTGCAGCTCCTGCAGCCTACACCTCAGGTGCCACATAATGCACCCCACATGTCGCAAGGAAGCGTGGTGCAGAACTCGCCAGCAAATGAGATGGTGAACTTGGTCTGGAACGGGCAAGTCTTTCCTGTTCCAGCAGCGGCCGTGCAACATGGACCGTGAAAGTGTGATTCCTGCGAGTCCGCAGGCCTTGGAAGGCCTCTCACTGTAGTGCTGCATACATCCGGGGGTCAGCCGAGTTGAGGGTTTTTGTGAGTTGTGCTTTTTACCTCTAGTCTTGCTTTGGCCCCGCTCATCGGCTGACACCTGGATCTGTAAGCCCTTTTGGGGATCTCCCCTGCGCTGCTGCACCTTTTAATTTTCACTTCCCTGCACTGTTTTCCTTGCTTTTAATGCACTGCCTGCCTTCCTGCCTTTCCTTACCTTGCACTGCACTGTTTTTTCTCCTGCTTCGTGCTCCTTTTCCTGTGGATACCTGGACACGAGCAATTAGTAACACACAGCCGCCGTACAGCCTTTCCACAGCCACAACGTAGGCTGTGGGCACCATGTACATATACACCTAGAGCAAACCAGTCGAGGAGTCCGACGACAGTAGAAATGCTGACTCATGAGCGCAGTCTTTGAAAGGGGGCCATGTTTTGTGGTGATGCGATGTTTATGACGCTGGGTGGATGTCACATACTTTGTGGTTGCCCCTGGTGTTTGTGCGTGTGTTCTGCCTACTTTTCGAAAATGTGCGTGTATGGATGGATGTTGCTGCGACCCTTGGATGGTGCTGCATGGGTGATGCCCCCCCCCCCCCCCCTCCCCCTCCTCCTGCCCTGCCCTGCCCACCCCCTCCCTCTCCCCTCAGAGGCTGCTGTGAGGTGTATCCCTCACTTTCTCGTTCCGGGGGCCAACAACTGGGGGTATATTCCCCTTTATCTGAAGGACTGGCAACAGGCTGCTTGAGCCTTTCGTGCGTAGGTCTGCAGAGTAGGAGTTTAGCCATGGTGCTGTGCTCTCGATACTTGCTGGGAAACTAGCTGCGCGCTTTATTGGTGAAAACTGGATTGGATACGAACGATGGACCTGAGTGAGGAGAGTGACCCCTTGCAGGGTGTTACTGGCCTCACTGAGACTGGCGTATTTGTTACGGGCCGCAGGGGGCCCCTGGGACCAGTCATGTCAATCTGGCGCGTGATGTGTCGAACTCCTGGACCTTCTGATACAATCAAAAATGCACTGACTGTGCACTGACTGTTCTGCTGCAAGGACCTGGACATACTTTCTGGCATAGCCTAGGCTGTGGTGATTATCCCGCTGTCAGGACCTCTATATAGAGGATCGTGGACGTGTCGTGGATGCTCAGGCGAAAGTCGTATGAAGAAAAGCGAACATTCGACCTCCTACAGACCCCCTGCGGATCCACATGGCTGAGGGGGTTTTTACTCGCCAGAACCTGCTGCATGTGAGTGGGTCGGAGCTGTGACAGTACACCTTCAGGAAATACCACTGAGGGATGGATGACCTCGACTGGGGTGGCCCTCGAGACGGAGACGCATATTTGAACTGTGTGCCTATTCCTGTCTTGCCATCCTTTGAAGGATTGAAGGCTGCACATGCATGGAAAGCTCTCCTCGATGTCGTTGGCTCATGCCTTGTTTTCTTTCTTTTTGAGGCGCGATTGTTTTTCTGGTTGCGACATCAACCTTGTCGTAACTGCTGATGGTGCTGGATGGCTGTGGACTCGAGAACAAACAGGTTGAAGGAATGGATCGCCGAAACTTTGTTAACGTCGAAAAGTTGGTCCCAATGCGGGCTGGCATACTATGTAGTGTCTTCAGTTGCTAAACCCTCGTCTGACTTGTCGAGCACGAGTGACAAAAAAATGTCTCAAGTTTCGCGCTGTCGTGCAGTGTTATGGAGCCAAAGATGATGCAGCTTGGATAGTATTGTGCGGCATGCTGTGATTGATGCACTGGTTTCATGGTGTGTCTGACCTCATTGGATGTATTGTCTGCAGGTGCGCCTATATCCGCAGGTACATGTGCATATGCGCCACATGCATGAATGAGCCTGATTTGCACAAGTGTACGTGCACCTATAGTGGGCCTGCAAGCATGTGCTCCATCCGCGGGGTTTATGGGCAACAGAGTTATCGCCTTTCGGGGTGTAGGCGTAGGACGCCTCGGATGCAGCTTCATTTTACGTACAAGCAATCTCCTAGCAAACGGCATGAGCGCCAGTTGGCACACGCGGGAAGTCTCTCAACATTTGTCATTCTGCAGATGTTGCGTTGGGAGCTTTCATGCTGCCTTTCGCTAGGACATCTGGGTGATTGAGCCGGTGTCGCACGAATTCTTGAAGGAGCAGCTTGTATGGACAGCTCAATAGTAGCACTTCACTGTTGCAATTGTCGAGGACACGGGCATCGAGTACAGCATCACGCCGTGTGCTGGGATGTTGACATATTGGTATACTAGGAGCATAAAGAAGTTCAGTCGATCACGCAAGCGACTGGGTCGAGGCCTGTTCTGCTCCGCCACCTGGGCAGTGGGCCATGGGCTGAGTGCAATACTATTGAAAGCATGCAGCGAAGATCGCGACCAACCTGCTCCAAATGCCTTTGATGCAGCATCATAGTCTGCGAGATGGCCGCCGTGTTTGCGAGTAGCATGACCTCGACGCCTCAGGTATTACCTGGCCATCTCCGAAGCAGACCTGCAAGAAAAAGACATCATCTACAACAAGGCTCGAGCGAAGCTTTCTGCTTCTGTAAGGTCTGGGTCTAGTCAGAATCTGGTCTTCGAGCATCTGTAGATGCAAATTGTCACTGCCGCATCTCCTGTCGTTAATGATTAGAATTAGGGTGCGCATCTTGCACAGTCTATGAGATTCAAGGTCTGATCGCCCACAAGAACTTGGTCACAACCATTCTTGCGAATCAGTTGCAATCTTTCGGACCTCAGTCGTCGGGTATGGATGACGGTCCTCATTCCTCGAAACAGCAGGGCCAAGCCGGCCAAGCTGTGCGTTTGGTTTAAAGTAAATTCATTCACCGGAAGCCAGCAACGCACTCCCACAGAACAACGCGTCTCGGAGTAGGTTGTGTAAATGGTTGACAGTGGATGCATATCGCAATGGCAAGCACCTTGCTCTTGATGATGTTTGATCCCGAAAGACGTGAAACGTCCCGCCTCGGACAAGCTCTGTGACTGTGGCATCCTGCGTTTTACCAGGGGCTGGCAGGTGATATCTTGTGATTCATAGGGCCTAGGGCCTAGGGTCCAGTTCCTCGAGTACATTCAAGCACGGCCAGGGCAGGCCTGTATACACTCTTCTGACATTCGCCGGGCTGAATTTGGAGTTTCATCATGAAAGGTTGCGGCCCCATAAAGTGCAGCTGCATGAAGAGGTTGTCCACATGATATTGGTCTTTCCCCACAGTGAGAAAGACTCATCGCTGCGACAGATTGCACATTACTTTTCGAGGACGACGTCCATGGTAAGTCCACGAAGGGTGCTGGCCCACGCCCGAGTGAAGTTGCTGAGAGAATCTAGGGAAGCATTCTCAGGTCCGTGGAGTGACTTGCGATTTTAGTTGTTGACATGTCCGAACACACAGGAACTCAGGGGAATGGGTGCACGCTCCTGTCCATCCTTGATGTATCCGTTGCACTTTTGGGCTTCTCAGTTCCTAGTCTGGGAACTTACTACAGCTTAGTTAGCATGACTTCCAATGAGAAGCCGGGTGAGCCTAGTGATGGAGCGGCGTCGGTCTGCTGATTGGGAGCATAGCTTCCATGCTGATGGTGTCGAGATCTCTTCTTTGGGTTGCATTCTGGGTGTCATGCGTGGACGCTGGTACTATCAATGTCGTGATGACCCTCGCCAGATCAAGTCGTGGCAGTTCTGGGTTATCAGGTGTGCGGCGGTTCGGGGAATCTCAGGGTTCATCTAGACTGCAGCTCTGCGTGAGATCTTTGGGCATTGGGAGGGAGACCGTGAAAGTCATGGCCTGCATCCGCGTGTTACTAGTATGGTCCAGTTCACGAACACCGGGTCGTTCAATAACGCTAGCACTACATTGGATTGCTTGCACCATCGCTTATCAGGGTTATTTGTTTGGCTTACATATGTCTGTATGTATGTATGCATGCTCGACGCTGTGTATGTATGTGTGCATGCATGCATGCATGCATGCATGCATGCATGCATGCATGTATGTATGTATGTATGTATGTATGTATGTAATTATGTAAGTACCTAAGTATGCATGCATGTGTGTATGTATGTATGTACGTAGGTGTGTATATATATATACCTAATTGTTTACATTATAAGCATGTATATTTCCATATACATAGACAGAAATCCACACACACACACACACACGCACTACAGGCATAGACGCAGAAGCATATACATACGTAGTTACTTACATAGACATATATACGTATACGTATGCGTATGCATGTACATGTACATATGCATATGTGTGTATATGCGCATGGGGACTAGCTGGGTCAAAAGTGGGGCATTTGGCGATTTGGGGAATCGGGATTGCGACTAGGACCAGGAGTAACGATGGATTGCAGGGACTCCCTTGCGATGGAAGTTTGCGAGGAACGGCAGCGCATCCGAAATCTCGAGAACTCGTTTCCCCAAGCCTTGCCCTTCCCAGCGGCCGGACTTCAGGGACTGCAGGCTACAGGCAAAAGGAAGAGCTGTCCATGCTGTCCATACGAGTAAACCCTGTAGACCGCACGACCTGACTTCAGCCGGATCTCTTGATCCCACTGCTGACTGCTTCTCCGTTCCTTTGAGAGGATTGGGGCGTTCAGAAGCGGAAAAGTTCTCGGCCATGGCTTGTGCCATGGTTCTTTTTGAGGTGTAGTTGCCAGCGTAAACATCAAGACCTCAGTTCCGCACAACGCGCACATCCAGCCCACATGCTGCAGTGGTGTCTGTGCCTGGGTTCAAAAAAGTGTTTGCGCAGAAGCAAGGACACGCAGACAGGCTTGCGCACGCCCGAACCCTGTCGAGAAGCAATTGAACACTCACAAGCGCAACGCGGAACCTGTGCAAGTCGGAGAGGGGCCTGGCAGCGTATTGATATAGATCGGCCCGACATCCTGCAACTAACGCGGTAGTCACGCGGACAGGTACCTGTGTGTGTGGCGGCGGACTTACCGTAGACGACAGTTACATTAGATGCAGCTGCTTGAAGTCGCAAAATCGCACGGTGTTCACATGATCACGAGTGGATGCCACCGGTCTGAGATGTTGTTTCTGCGAGCCAGACATCCTGAAGCGATGGATCCTCGGCAGACTGTCGGCGCTTCATTCAAAACAGGGCAAGCGCATGCATAGTCACATTCTTCTTGCGTGTGTTTAAGCCTGACGAACCTGAAGCTGTTGGCCTGCTTTGCACGAAGGATCCACAACGGCTTGCAACGCAATGTGGGTTGGAAGGATGGCTTCCTTGACTTCTTTGTCAGGTTCTTGAATACTCAAGGTGGCTTCACGATTGCAGGGGATGACCAGTCGCCCTACTTCTTGAATGCGTCTCTATGCGAATTTGACATTGCAGCCAACGGTGATCCGATTACAACCTCCACTGTTCAAAGCTGCCTCAGCACAGCAGGCGACGTGGATGTCATTGTAGTTGGCACTTCTACTGGAAACGATGACATCAAGCAATTGGGAGAATCACTTCAGATTCCCAACTTGCATTGTTCTGGTGGCAACCCAGCTCAATGGACTGGGGCAACACCACATGCATTTGGCATACACCTGCCCTTTCCTTGGTATTCCCGAGGAGCCATGAGGAGAGCTGCCCTGCAAGGATTGCGACGTGTCGTAATCATTCGCAACTACGACTGGGGCTTTCCTCGAACATCAGCGGTGGCAGCAGCGGAATGGAGCTTGGAATCGTCGATGACACTGATAGGTCCCAGCTTGGAGTGGTGCCAGCAGTGGGCCAACATGACCCAGACGTGCCGGATCATAAACTCTTCTTGCCGCTGCGGGGAGCAGGCAGAATTCGATGCCCTGGGATACAAGTACGAGGTTGCGAGCATGCCCAGCTTCTATGAAGTGTCAGAGGATGCCGTGGTGGAATCTGGGCTGAACCCACGCAATGAAATCGTCTCCCCTGCACTGATTTCCTTCGTAGAGGGCATCATTGACGATGTCCGTCGACAGGGGGAGGATCCAGATGTGGTTGTGAACTGGTTGACCTCGGCCCGAAGTGGACTCGTGGCTATGCGACAACGTAAGTTTGCGTTTCAAATGTATTTCGGGGGGCCTAACGTTGAAGGAATTGCCTGGAACGGCTATGAATCTTATTGGCAGAACGGCACTGTGGCACTTGGCACCGCGGATGCCCTGTACAACATGGGTGGCGGGCAATGGCACCACGGTGGCTTGGCCATGAGTTTCGGGTCATGGGGTGGGTTGCATCGTGGCAGCTGGTGGTCCCACCAAGGAATGCTTTTTTCCGATCCTTTCTTTGGCAGTTCTAGCGAAATGGTGCGCCAATTCTCGGAGCTCTTCGAACGGCCTCCAAGCTATGATGCTGCAGCCTGCACTAGTGCAGGAATCTCGGCATCAAGATTATTGACAATCTGCCATGAGCAGACGCTCACGCACGGTGCAGTCGTTCATTGTTGCACACACACCAGCAGGCAAGATAGGGGCGGATTGGTGTAAGTTTGAGCGTTGTGACGATGCTGCAGGTATAGCTCTTGCGCTCTCATTGCAGAGATATGGGAGGCCTCTGCCGAGCAGTATTGCAGCCCGACGTGAAGAGATTCGACTCTCCATTGGTAACTTGAACGATGAAACGCTCTTCGGCACGCTTCGCTTCAATCGTCCTGCGCTGAGTATTTCCTGCTATCAACAGGTTCCCGACGCAGGGTTGCGTGCAGATGCACCTGAAGTTTATCACCTCATGCTTCGCAGCACCAGGCTTCAACCAAAACAACGGACGACTTACCGTAAGCTGGCAGGCTCCTTGGCAGCCATTTCAATGCAGCTTCGTGAAGGTATCAGATGCATCAGGCTTTGGGCACGATGACGAGATATGCATCGGTAGCGGCAACAGTATTCAGAGCTTGCCATCGCGTGTCAAAGGTGCTGGAAGATGGCACTACAGAGCGACCCGGCCCAAACATGAATACTTCGAGTCCAGGGCTTGTATGCTTCCGAGACTGCCAGGCCCGTTCTGCCTGCAGAAGCCGCGAGCACCGAGTTTCGTTTTCCGGCGCCTTCTTGGGAGGCAGATGGGCTTCTTTGGAGCCCTCTAGAAGTGTGGTGTCCTGTTGTGTATGTCATGTTCTCAATTGGGACGGGATGGGCGCTTTTAGGTGGCCGGGGCTAGGCTTCTTGGCATTGCCTCAGCTCAAGGCAGAAGCTGGGCAAGGAATGGGAAAGGCGCTGCATCGGAGAACCCCTGCAAGACACCCCACATTTGGTTGGGTTATCGAATTGTTGCTAGTGATCATGCCTATAGGCTTTGTCTGGAGCTTCTGCTTTTGTAAAGGCAGCTCTGGTTGGCTGAAGGTTTGGGCATGAAGCACCCGAGCATCCCAGCGGCCGAGTGATGTCGGGCTTGAGTGCTGTGTTGTACGGAGTGTCCAGCTGCCAATGCAACGGTCCTTGCCGCCATTGACCTCGGTGAACTCGTGTGGTTAGTTTCAGTGTCGTACCAAGTTTCTGAGCGACATTTCGCGGTGTTTGCCATTGTCCCCACTCCCAAGAGATGCGAATGCCTTTCCTATTCTGCCCCATGCATCGCAGATAACATGCACTTGCAGAGCAAGCTTGGCAGCCCTCGGGATGAAAGTCATCGGTCTGTTCACGACTGTTCTGGAGAGGTACGGTTGGGATGCCCATCAGGATCGTATGCCGCAGCAATCACCCAAACAGACTTAGTCCCCAAGCGATGCTCCTTGGTCGAAGAAGTGGTGTTTCGACTAGGGCGTGCTGGCAGTGATAGATCCTTAGGGACCAGACGGAAGCTAAGGCAGCCTTTGCCCGGAGGGCACCTACCGCTCTTTGCCAAGCAGTGGGCTCGTTTTTTCGGTGTGCCAGCACTGCGAGCTTGGGACTGGTTTGCTGCCCGGAGTGACGGGAGCCACGAAATGCAGCGCTTGTCCGGCTGGACGAGAGCAACGGAGCGAAGCCCATCGGGGGATCTGCCACAAGTGCCCAACAGGCCAGTTTCGGGCAGCCAACGGCTCCGACAGGTGCGAGCTGTGTCCAGCCGGAACCTATGCTGATGAAGAAGGGCTTGCCGAGTGCAAGGTGTGCGCTTTGCTGTCATCGCAGCCTGATGTTGGCCAAGCTGCTTGCCTTTGCGACATAGGATCCTTCCGTGATCAAGGGGCGACTGCTGAAATCACCGACGGAACCGTTGCCTGTACATCCTGTGAGGATATCTTGCCAGGCAGCACTACTCGATATCCAGGCAGCATCTCGCCACTGCAGTGTCTGTGTCCAGCAGGTCGCTTTTGGCACAGGCCTTCACCCGGCGCCCCCACCTGGTGCAAAGCCTGTGGAGCGGGACTGGACTGCCGAGGACACTTTGTCAAACTTTCTCTTCTAATTAACTTCATGAAACCAGTTGGTCAAGCATCTCCCCTGTCTCAGGAGGATTCACAGATGAGAATGCCACCGGTCAAACTCATCAGCCACCGATGCAGACCGTGGGGTTTTCTGCAGGTGTCCAAGAATTTCCTGGTGCTGATCCGTCGTATGTGGTCACCTGTGAGAATTCTGCTCGCTGTCCCGGCGGCCCGTTGGGGCATTGCCCCGACCGGATGAAGGGCAGGGGCTGTGCGACTTGCACCGTCGGCAGCTTCGATGATGGCAGTGGCTGTACACCATGCACAGACTTGGCAGTGTGGCCCGTGTTGGTTTCGTTCATGCTTGTAGTTGCGGCCATGTTTGTGTTGTATCAGTACAGCATGGGACTTGAGAAGCCCCATCGCGAGTCCATGATGACGCTGGCAGTCACTGCCGGCTTGGCTGTGATGGCGACACAAACTCTGTCCGCATTTACCAGGATTGAGCTCGAATGGATCGAACCCCTCAAATCATTGAGATCTGCGTTGTCCATCCTGGCTTTCGATATTGGCTTCCTACGACCCCAGTGCTGGGTGGGAGGAGTGGATCCGCTGCTGGAGTACGGCATGGCCATCTCTGCATACCCGCTTTGCGCTCTTTGCCTGCTGATGGCTTTCGCGTTCAACCGCTTCGTTCGGGGCAAGAGTGTCAGCATCTACCAGGTTGTCAATACGCAAGGTCTTTTGGTTTCGGCCCTCTACATTGCTCTCACCTATATCGCCTTGCAGCCGTTCCAGTGTATTCGGAATCCTGATGGCAGTGCGACTTTGGTTGCGTACCGGGGTCTCACATGCTGGGACAGCCATGATCACACTGTTATGGTGGTTTTGTCAGTGATACCCCTGTTGGGGGTCGTTGTGGCCTACATGGCTCTGGTGACTTGGGCGACATGGAGGCAGCTTGGACAAAGATACAACGCAGATCTGTGGTCTTTCGAATTCCCGAGGCTTTTGGGGTTCATAGGATGTGGGGATGTTCGGGATCTAGGGCTGGGGTGTTGGAATTACTGTGATACTCAGGTATCCCATCGTCTGCCGTGCTGCAGGTGGTGTAGACTTTGTCAAGCGTTGGTCCTTCCTGTTCACACGCTCCTGGGCTGCAGCCTACCACAGGGGCCGTAATCATTAGAGCAGGGTCTTGGGTAGCTTTAGCATAGGCACCTACGGACCATCAGACGATATGGGAAATTTGTCATACCCGTAGAATAGCATTGGACTCCCCCAGATGCCAAGGCTTCCACCAGCACAAATTTTACTTTGCTTGGGCTGCCTTGCCGCAATCAGTGTGCGCACCAGCACATGGGCAACGAGTCGCGCTAGCACTGAATGTGTTCATGTGCCCCTACTTAGCCGGTCGTGCGGTGTATCTTATCTTTGACGACTCAAACATACCAGAACGTGTCTGCCGACAGGTTTTGGCTGTACGAAATCTGATTGTGGGCCTGTCTCCGATTGTGTTCGTACACCTTCCAGCCGTTCAGCTCGTGTGCCCTGGCCTGTTTGGGGAAGACACCGAGAGATGAGAGATGTCCAGCACTGACAGCTTCGTATTGTGCTTTGGGTTGCCGAGGCTACTTCACCTGACAGTCGCCACCTATGGCTCTTTGGCAGCCCGTGTCTGGCCATGGCGGACCGAGATAGCCAACATCCTCGATGTCGGCCTCTGCTTTTGTTTGGTTTTGGTGGTTTCGACTGGGCAGCTGCTACTGAAAAAGGATCAGGAGAATGAATATGTGGTCCAAGTTCTGTTATTGGTCTTGCTCGCAGTTGCAGTGACCGGGTTGACTTTGGCACTCGCTGTCTCAGCCATGCGATTGATGAAGACTTCGCACCCATATGGAATCTTCATCAGTCACCACAAGAAAGCCGCGGGCACATTGGCACGTTGGTTCAAGATGTTGCTGGCGGAAAGGATCAGTGACAAAGTCTTCTTGGATTCAGACGATGTAGACCGTCTAGAAACCATAATTGACATCACAGGTGCCGGCACCCAGAACTTGCTCGTGTTGCTCACGAGCGAGACCCTGAAACGCATCTGGTGTGCTGCGGAGATTGCAAGTTCTTGGGGCAGTGGAACCAACATCGTGCAGGTCGCTTGTGATGGCTGTGTGGTGACGCACGAATGCATCGATGCCGTTCCCGGCGCATGGACAGAAGAACAGCAGACAACGCTAGCCAACATTGGAATTTCGTTTCAGAGCATCAAAGATGCGTATACGTATTTGCTCAGCAAGGCTGTGATCACATTGGATAGACGAGGGGCGGAGGTTGCAGAGCATGAACGGGTGATCCAAATCGTGCTTGCGCAGTGCAAAGGTCTCTCAAGAAATATGCAGCGTGTTTTCTCGCCTGGAACCGGCTCCGACAGCATCACGGGCTTTGGGAGCAACCCTAAAGTCCTCATGCTGGGGGACATTGAGTCATCCGAACCTGGCAGCTGCTGCCGTGTGATGCAGATTCTTCTACAAGAGCAGCTGGAGGAAGAGGTTCAGCTGCTGAATCCATCCTTAGCCGTGCTTGACATGGACCATCTCACGGCTGTCTTGGCTTCAGCGCATGTGGTCCTTGTCATCCTGACACAGGCTACTTAGTCAAAGTCAGACTGACAGACTGAATCCGTCCAAATTGGGGTTGTGGTTTCGTTCCGAAGGGTTTAGAGATCGAAAAGGTGCGGAACCTGAGAGCTTTCACAGTTCATTGTAGCGGCCTTGCGCAGGGTGTTCTGGAGCTCTCACCCTTCGCGGCTTGCGTGACTGCCTGTGCTCTCTCCAACGCGGAGCTCATTCCCGTGAAAGCAGAGGAGACTTTTCTTTATCCGGACCCTGTGTTTTACGAGAAGTTGATGGCAGCCGATTTCTTTCCAGAGAAAGACCTGGTAAACCTTGGCACGGATCTGAGCACTGTAAAGGCTACATATGGGGTCCTGTTCAACATGCTGGCGCTCAAGTTTACATCTCATGGGACAGAGCGTATTCAAGCCACTGAAGTCCATCTGATGTGCGGCAGGATCCTTCCACTGCTGCATGCCGAAGCTGTCAGCATAATCAGCCCAAGCACTCATAGTCCTTCCAGATCCGGAAGGCGAAATTCCGGACGGGACCCTAGACGAAGTGATACGATTCGACTTTCCATCCGCGAGTCGGCTCGCTTGCAAAGGATCGCCAGGGACTCGAATGAGAGAGAGCAGGACGACGAAGAGATCGAAGAATGTTTCTGAGGCTCCAAAGACAAGAATAGGAGCCAAGGACAATCTCGGATAATGTCTCCTCCGCGCGATCCCAGTTGTTAAACAAATGGGTCGTGCAGGCTCGAAGAATAAGAGGCAGGAGTTGCCATTGGTATGCAAAGGCAAAAGCGGACGTTTCAAATTCGTGTTGACATGATGTGTGCCTGCACATTGTTGCTGTTCGCCCTTCTTCTCGGGCTGGGCCCTTTGCTTGGTGCTTCTAGCAGACAGCGAGGGCGATGGGCAGCAGAATTTGTAGAGCAACTGAAAGTCGTCAAAGCGAGGCTCCTGTTGGCCAGATTCTGCACCTAGAGCTCTGCAGGTTCGCAGGTACGGCGACTATCCTCTCAGACATCCTCACTGCCCCTGCCCGCACTGCTGCTACAAATGTGACTGCTGCTGCTCCGTCCCACCGCTTGCGGCAACTCCTCCCTCCACAACCACCGCCTCCTGCATGCGTGTGCATATGCTGCGAGAACGACCCTCGCTGCGACTGCATTGCTTGGATGACCAGGCACATTAAATATTGATTGGACACCACATGTACTTGGGTTACTAACATGTAATAACCATTGCCGGAGCATAGTGCCACGGCCACTGCTTCTTAGACGGTCTTCAGTGGTCGTTGGTTGCTGCGCTGAGCAAGTGTAGGTGCACCCTTGTCATCTTCCTGGCAAATCGTCTTCATATCCTAATGTGCTGCCATGCGAAGCTTATGCTGATTTAAGCATTTTTGCTGGCTCTCGGCTCGGCTCCATTAGGTGACAAGCGCCTGACGCGTGGGCCTCAGGCGGCCAGACAGCGATGGAATTGCTATGCTTCGGCCGCATTGCTGACGGCAGTCTTTTCTTCTGCTGCAGCAGCGAGTCAATCCGAGTGCACTGTGTAAGTTAAGCCTGCGCACGCAAGCACGACTGATGCCAGAATTAGAGCAGCACCGCTTCTCGCCAGGAGTTGTTACATACCGTACCCCGCCCCTCCCTCTCCCCTCATCCCGGCCCGCCGCCACACCCAAGCCACCGCTTTCTTCTTCGGAAGTTGCAGACGAGGGGTGGAGTAGCGGGGCCCGGCCAAGGCCTACTAACACAGTAAAGGCAACGTCCGAACAGTTTGGTCGGTTACTGTGCCACCTTTCATCACAGGGCTTATCATCCGTCTTGAGTTCACATTTGTCAGTTTCGACAGATTGCAAGATGCCACCTCCACCGACTTGAGTCAGAAGTCAGAATTATCGTTGAGTTGCGGTTCTGACACTAGGATCCAAAGCTAGGCCTTGCTGGCTGCTCATGTTTTCGGCTCGATTCTCATGAATGTTCAGAATGCCGTTGAGTTTCCCATCCTATTTCATTTTCATCCCTTCGACTTGCAACCCGACGGACTTCCGGCTCCTGAGTCCTGGCAGCACTATGAAAGCAAAGGCACTTCTCAGAGTCTCAAAGCCCATACCGTCACGCTTGAATGGAACCACATCCCGGTGCTTCCCAAAGATTGCCCCTGCACGACCTCGATGTTGGGAGGCCGGGCAACACGCCGTGGTCAGTAGGAAGGTTTTGCAAGCATGTTGTCGGGTGATTGCTTCCGGCAGCGCTGTATTTCGAGGGGATTCTTTTCTGCTGTGTAGAGGCTCTGGAAGCTTCAAGCCGGCGACATTGCCGATGCAGCTGAGGTATTCATGCAACAAATTCTAGCATCGCCTGCCCGTGTATCCAGCTGCACATGCACCGGCAGAACAGAAACAACGATAAGCGTACCACAAGGCACATGGTGAAGGTCGCGCCTTGTTTCGCATAGACTGGTGACCAACAAATTTCGAAGATAGAGCCGTGGGCCGTGGCTGTCGGCGAAGCGGCCAGCTCCCAGTCATGGAGCGCCCGGCGCAATGTGGGCACCCCAGTAAATACCACCACCATTTGCTTTGCGTTTCCTTCTCGATAAGAGTGGTGCCGAGTGCGGCTACGGGCAGAGCATTGCACGTTTTGCTGACATAAGGCCCAACTTGTGGCAGGGGCCTCAACTTCCTGGGGAAGCTCCCCATGCGCATGCAGAAAGAAAGTCAAGTGAGAGCAGAGCAAACATCAGGGGCCATTTTGTTTGCGCTGTTCCTGTGTTCCCCAACTTTGGTCAGGGTGGGGCATCGCAATTAGTACTTACAGCTTGCACCAACAAGACGCAAGATTTTGCTCCGGCGTTAATGGCCAGCTGTCAACCCCTACGGTATACGCCGCGTGAATTGAACCGTGGCCGGGTTCACTCATCATAACCACTCGTCAACGTGCCAGACTGCTAGCAAGAATCGCACATCACTCAAAACCGAAGCCGCCGAGCTACATCACACAGTTCATGAGCCTGGGACTTCTAAAAGCTTGCCTTCAACCTTTTGAAACACGTTCTCGCATGCAAGGCAACATCTACATGGCAGACTCTGACTTCTGCAGGCAGACTCATTATACCCAGTGGCTGCGTTAGGGGTGAGTGCAACGATGTGCAACACGCCTTCCATGGGAAAGCTCGGGTCATGTCACAGTGTTGCAGTGGCTGGCGTTGTCATGGGCATGTCGGGTAGTCGAACCGTCGGCCAATTGTACTATATACGTGCCCGGTTCAGATTGTTTTGAGACTCAAAGTCAGCAATCGTATTCTCGTACCTTAGTTCAGGTCGCCAGCAACATAGTACTGTAGTCCATCTTGGGTCGTGTGTGTGTGTGTGTGCCTTCAGCGCCAACGCCGAGTCTCTAAGCAGACTCACATTCAATCGGTGTTGCTTTTGCTTTTCCCATGCCTTTCCTGCCCCGCTGTTCAGGGTTGCGACAGCTCTACTGTACAGGCACTGTGGCAGAAAACGGGACACCTTTGACGACTTCCGTGAGTTCTGCACGGAAATCATCTCAGCAGCTTCCGCTTCTGAGCTGCAACTGGTGGAGTAATGACCAACATGTACACATGATGCGCACGTGCTGACGAAGGGCATGCACCTGCAGTGAACGAATGGCCCATACACGATCAATCAACCTTGGTAGTCCCTGAATCCTTCAAAGACTCTTCCTGCGATTCGCTTCGTCTTCGAAGCGGCTTGGAAGAGGGCGGTATGCGGACGGCAGCCGCCGATACAATAATATCACGAATCATGAAAAAAGGGTGGACCCGGATCCACACAATCCATCCCGCAATGGGGGCCCAGAATTATGCGCGCCGCTACTGAGGAGAACTTGTGCAACTACTACGAGTTCCTTGACAGAAAGCTTGGCAAGTCCAGCCATTCATGGCATGCTATAATAAGCGATGAGATGGATAGATTGATATTGAGTCACACGTGCATTGTTCCAGGAAGACGTACGCCTGCGGCGTTGAGTTAACTATCTCAGGCGTCCTCGGCTGTGGCAGTTGCCAACCAATCTGATAATGATCGAAGGGCTCAAAGGTACACCCGAAGAGAACGTTTCTGTCCAAATTTGAAGAGTGCTGAGGCGTGAAATTCAGCACCTCACGAAGGATCTCGCCCCTGGGACCGGAACGGGGACTTGCAAAGTTGCGACGGCTTGTGCAGAAGCGGCTCTTGTGCTGTGCTGTGCTGTACTTCCCGGCTCTTTCAGGTCACTTGCCGGACGCAACTCGGCCGCTGTGCCGAACTGTTGGGTCAACAGCTACTTGGATGCTTGACAGCGGGAACTCACTGGCTGGTCACAAGGCCTGAGAATTCCTTATGAACTGGCTGTTGGTATTGGATCGTGAACTGAAAGACAGCGGCGGGGATCTTAGACTGTCCGGTGAACCACCCGCCGCGAGAAGGCTTGCTGGACTTACAAACAAGCTGCCGCAGTACCGGTACCGGTGGTGCCCCGCTTCGCATTCAAGGATCAAAGACCAAGGGTCAGCTTTACAATTCAACGCAGGTCCATCGCAATGTTTTGCAGAGTAGAGGCATCTCTGCAAGCAGCAAGCACGCGAGTAGGGAGGCTTCGCTGCAACGTCGTCGTTCGTGGTAAGCAAGGGCCTTGATGACTCTATGCCATCATTGCAGCACCCATTTTCCGCAGTTCCGCATCTGTTCAAAGAGTCATCTGAGTAATCATCTCACCCCGTACTCCTCGGTTGGGACTCCGCACCTACCTCGAGGCTGATGAGGTTGCGAGGCTGTGGATCTGAGGCTTGCAAAGGAGCAGACATACAGGGATATCATCGACAAGCTGTCCGAGAGCAGCATTGAGCTCAGTGGAAACCCATATTCAGTGGCCAGTTCTGATGTCTGAGTTCTGGGCTGTCTTTTGGGGAGAGGTGAGCTGCAGGCTTCGATAGCGTATGCGCAATGTGATGCTGTGTTAGTTGACGAGGGCCAGTGACAACAAGCATGAGCACGGAGGCATGCGCGTCCTTCAGAATGTGAGCAGCCCGCCGGCCGTGGACGTGCCCAGATGGAAGCAGCGGTTAAGCTTCGCAATGGTTTTGACATGTTTTGAGCCATTCGATCAAACGCAGATTTGATTTCAGCAGCCAGGCGACCGTGCAGTATGGGCTTATCCTGAGAGCAGATTTTGGTCCAAGTGCGCCGGTAATGCTTCTGCTGTTCTACTTTTTAAATTTAGTTGTGCAAGAGAACACAGCCAGCTTGTGCTCGGGAGCGCTTGGCCTGACTCAGTGGCTCAGGCCCTTAGGCATTGTGAGCCTTTAACCATCCCGCAAGCCGGATTTCAAGGACGCAGTGAAGAGGCAGCTGCACCAGATGCTGGAGGCAGATGTTGATCTGCTTGTCAGGAGCTGTGCTTGACACTACCGGGCATTAGCAGCCTGCGTTTTTGGACAAGCGTGAAGATGTCCGATCGACCGTGCTGTCGCTAAATGGGGGATGGCACAGCACCGTCGTGTAGGGAACTCCTCTACGTGTCTATCTAGTAGTCGCGGGAAGTGAGAAACGAATCCATCATGCAGAGCTACGCTGCCCCAAAGCCGTTTTGCCGAAGCTGCGGATGGACGGCTACAACCTCGTGTGCCGTGCTCTGGCATTAAAACCGAAAGGAGTTTGGATTCCGCGCAAACTCTTTTCAGCTCCCGGCCAATCAAAACAGGCTCCTGTTTGTGCATGGAAGACAAGATATCTGGCAGGCGATGCACCAGCAGAGCTCATCGTGCTGGCAGGACGAGATAGGCCAGCTACACGCGCCACTTGGCTAGTAGTCATCATTGGAGACAGCTTGTGGGTTAACATGGCTTGGCAGGTGGACTGACAGGAATTTTGCTGAGTGTAGCTTTGCTTTGCGATGTCAAGCGTGCATGCTGCGTAGCTTGCATGCGGCTTTTTCAACCGAAGGCACAAGGAGCTGACAGAGAATCACTTGATGACTTCTGCGGAGCTGCAGAACCAGGTCGAAACTCATTACTGTATGTGCCGTGTACAGAGAGCATCTACTATATTCTGCTGTACCGTTGTGTTTGTCACGGTCTGCATGCTCAGGATCGTGTCAGACGTTACATGCTATCCGCACTTTTTGCCTTCCTCGGTAGCTTATGTCTTCTCTCTCTCTCTCTCTATCTCTATCTCTCTTCCGCGTCCTTCCCCCGCGTAGCGTTGACAGAGTGTCCGGGTGGTGGCAGGCGGAGGCGGTAAAAAAGGAGTTGGACAACATCCTTTCACTGCTCAAGGACCGCTGCAAACACTTACTGTGCAGCTGCAGTGCGCCGTTCATCTGCTTAGCGACTCCGCTGTGTATACATGCTCGAGTCGAGTACATCGAACCACGAAGTCGCAACATGTCTCCACATTGCACAGGAGCCCCCCGTGCGTACAGCCAAGCCACAGCTTCCAGGTGCGTGAGGGGTTCGCTGTGTCGCGCCACCATGTGCTTCCCAACGTGTTAGCAGAGCGATGCGCAATAACAGCAGCAGACGCGTAAGCCTCCACAGCGGTAGTTGCAAAAAACCCGACCTGTAGCAGCACCAGCATGTCACAGCCCCTTGTTCGTGTCGACGACAGACATAGGGAGCAAGGAAGGATCAAGCAGATCATGTCAGCGCAGTTTCTGAGTGAAGGTTCTGACTGTTTAAAGAGAGATGGAGTGTGGATCGTCTTTCGCGGCCTTGGAGGTTACACACCCAATGCAGCCCTGGCTCCGCCCGGGCCTCGGAGTGTCGTCAGTATGCTTACCGTGGTAGACCGGACGTCCTGAGTTCCCCAGACTTCATCGAATCAACTTCAGTCTTCCACCATATATATATATGTATATATGCAGATTCGCCAAGTGAAGTCTTTCAGGCCGCTCGGATATTCGCAGGGCCAAGCGAAGAATGGCGGTCAGGCCATTTGCCCGACTCTCTGACTCTGGCGTGGTGCGGGCTTTCATGGGTGGGCCCTGAGCTGTGCCAGGCTGTGCCGGTGCCTCGAGCGCAGCCGTCGAGCTGCGGTCCGTCCTTGGCAGGTGCCCTGGAGTTCCACAGCGGGTGGAGACCGTAGCAGTTCTGTGTAAAGGCGTCTCTGGAACGAGTCCATGGAGATGCGGAGCCGCCGACCTGCCGAAGCCAAGCGCCTTCCCCTCGCAGGTGCGGAGTCATGCGGAGTCATCACTGCACCAAGGCAGAAAGTCTCTTTCCTCGTTTCAGAGGGCAAGTGCCCGGAGATGGATTTTAAAACGACCGATCAGGTGGGGACAGCGCCAGGTGTGGATCCAGCTTCGCGAACGAAAGTGAGTTTTATGATGCCGCCTGGTCCAGCAATGTGGGCTGGCTAGCGAGCCTTGATAGGTCCGAAGGACCACGAGGTCCTAGCCTTTTCATTGAGCCTACTCAGCGTTGAGCTCTCGGGGTTCCAACCAGTTGCTCCCGTTTCACTTACCCGTGGAGGCTAGAGATTCCATGAGCAGCACATTGCAAAGAGTTTCTCGCTCATGCTAAGTTCCTTTGTCAGCCTCGCACGCAATCAAGCCCGGTCTCACTTCGATCGATTTTGCATCAGACGGCGATAGGCTGCAAGAGTTAGAGGATCCGCTTGGCAGTGAGCATATTCACTTCGGGGAGGTTCCATGTCGCGGGGAGCCGGAAGCCTCCTGGACGAGCACATAGACCCGGACTATCAGCCGAGTGAGAAGGAGGCTTGCTGAAGGTTTCGCAGTGGAGAGCAAACACTGCCTCCGTCCTTGCAGGTTGAGGAGTATGCAGAGTGGCTGGGCATGGACGCTTGGAGCAAGGGGGTTCCCTTTTAGGCAGGCCATGAGCAACGTGGAAAGCTTGCCAAGGACTTGGAAAAAGACCGCGATCTTTTCTGGATTGCGAGGGCTGGTTTAAAAGCACCGCTGCCTGGCAGTGCACTACGTAATGATATGCATTGCAACGTCCATCTCGTGCCGCTCGGTTGCTTCTGCTGCCTTGCGAGGTTGCCAGCGCCCTGGAAGCCCTGCGAGTCTGAAGATGGTGAGATTTTCTATTTCAACTTCGAGACAGGTCCCAGATGGTCTCTGCAGAACTGTTAGTTAATTTACTGTGTACTGACTTCCGGAGCTTGCAGGAGTTGTCTTTTGGCACTTAAGATTTGGCACGTACGCTTTGGTCGTTGAATCAATCGTTAATGGCATCCACGAGAGGGGGCCCTGCACGCCGCCCCGCACGTGGCGTTGCCTGAATGCCCTCGTATTAGACCATGTATGCTCACTTGAAAGCAATGTGTAGAGATGAGAGGAGACCCTGCACCTAGCAAATCGTCAAGGGATATCCGCTATGTGCCAGCTTTGGAGGCGAAAGTGTTTGGGACCACCCGTGTGACGAACACTACCGCAAAGTCTACGAAAAGTACAAGGCACCCTTTTCCTTCTGCCTGACCTTGGTACAAGCTGCAGCCACAGGCGAAGAAGGAGGCCGATCGCACGCCCGGGAACGACGATTCGAAGAGGTCGCCGCGGGAAAGACGGTCCTGCGACTTCTTACAAGAATTGTGCCGGAGTGCTCCGTACACTGCAAAGAGACGTTAGCTGTTGGTCCTGGCACACGGCAGGAAGGACAAGAAGGACAAGAAGGAAAAGAAACGTAAGAGTGGTTCAGGCGATTCGTTGGGTGCGTGCCTTACACTTCCCAGAAACGTCTTTGCACATCCAGATGGCAGCAAGATCCAGCTACGGCATCCATGATTCATCGACCTCCACTGCGGAATTGCAGCCTCAGGTGCTGACCTCCTCGATGTCCCACCAAAGATGGACCGGCTTTGATGTAATTAGTCTCGCTTAGCTGGCCTGCAGTGCTGCGCGTAGCCAACGCTGAAACTGTTCAGACGCTTTCGAATCGTGCTAAATAGCCTGTGTGACCGGCGCTACATGCATGCAGACGCTGTGCCGGAGCATACTCACACTCGCAGTAAGTGCACGTACAGAGAGCAGCTCCGCAACTTAATGTCAGCTGCCAATCCTCTTCGAGACTGGGAGCATAGAGACCGTTTGTCATCTCGCGACCATTGGAAAGGACCTCCCCAAGCCTGGTGAGTCGCTGTTCGGCAAGCCCAGCAAGAACAAGTTTCTCGGCACCGCAGAAACACCAGCAGTTAGGAGTAGAAGTAGTAATAGTAGTAGTAGTCGTCGTCGTCGTGGTGGTGGTGGTGGTGGTAGTAGTAGTAGTAGGAGTAGTAGTAGTAGTAGTAGTAGTAGTAGTAGTAGTAGTAGTAGTAGTAGTAGTAGTAGTAGTACCAGTAGTTGTTGTGGTGGTGGTAGTAGTAGTAGTAGTAGTGTTAGTCGTCCTCGTTATAGTCGTAGTAGTAGAAGTAGCAGTAGAAGCAGTAGAAGTAAGTAGGTAGGCCTGATCTGGTCGCGCGCGAGTGCCAAACAAGTAAGTAAATAAGCAAGTAGCAGTGGCAGTGGCAGCACCCTTCAACGACACTTGCTCTAATCACGGTACTTGCGTACTGTCCTACCAATTCTAGTTGCCTCAAGATCCACAGTCGACTTTGCAAACTCGGTTTCGGGGGGTAGGGGTGGGGGAGGGTGTAATGACGTAGCGTCGACAGGTACTTAGAGTACTTTCGTAGTGTCACTTCTCGTTTAGTTGGTTGGGGGGGGGTCTGCCAGTGGTCGTGGTGGTAGTAGCCGTCGTCGTGGTGGTTGCGGCAGGAGACTTTGCCACAGCTAGCCTTGATCGGATCTCAGAGTCGTCCTGGTCGAATTTGTTCAGCTTGCAAGCGGCACTGAGGCTTGTCTTTGACTGCAAGCCAAAGGAGCTTCGTTTTGCAAGTGTTCATACGGATTCATGCTCTTTGGCAATCGTGCTCCCTGTTTTCTGCATTCGATTTCCCAGTTCACCACTGGCCATTGCGATGTGTCGTGGCAAGACTGTTGGGTGTCCACGCATGTGCACGCTGTGTCCGCAGGCTAAAGCACAAGCCACACAGCCGCAGGCCGCAAGAGGGTGATGAACGGTTCCGAATCTAACGACGTCTGATATACGCGCCCGTAGAATTACGTACAGTAGCTCGCAACCGCATATCATCATGTGCAACTGATGCTTCAAGACGTGATGCAAGGCGCCGGCGCCGGCGTCGACCGATGCCGACAGTGCTTTTGAGACACAGAAAGCGAAGCTTGAGGCACGTCATTCGGGTTACGATACCCCGTGCACAGCCTGTGCCTGGCTGCAGCTCAAGTACAGTCAAGTCGGAAAAGATCGGGAGGCGACCAGTACTGCCATTGAATCCTGACGAGGCCGACCACCAAGAGAAGCTGCAGCGGCTTGAGAAACAGCACCAGGCGATTCCGCAACCTTGTTGCGTATGCAAGAAGCTACAGGTTCCACGAGCCACGAGGTGTGTCACTGTCATCGGACCATGCCATGCACTGCAGAGGAAATTCTTCGGCAGCTTGAGTCAGACTTTGAACGCCGGCGTGATGAAAAAACTCAGCAGCTGGCTTTGGAGATGGAGAGGACGCACCGCTGTCCCAGTGTTTTGCAAGTCTCTGACATCTGAGATGGATGCAGTGTGCCATGCAGCATTGTTCACATGAGGAGGAGCCGTGCAGATGCTGAGCGGCAGGCCTTAATCGAAGACAATGTTGCCTCTAGTATGGCATGTCGTTGCAACAGCAGCTGCAGCACGCAGGACGCTTCCTGCAGCGGCACGAGCAAGCCAGCACTTTTCTTCCCTAGCTCCGTTGCAGGTTGACGAGAAGCTGAAGACCTTGAAAGAGCAGCTGGAGCGTGAGAAGCTGCTGAGTTGCACAGGGTCGGCGAGAGGGGCGTCCTGACCAGTTGCAAGCATGAGGCGATCCAGGCTTGAGAAGGAAGTTGAGGAGAAGCTGCGGCCATCTGCAGCTGCCTTCGAGCGAGATGCTCGGGCAAAGCTCGAGAGGGAGGCGATGACGTGCAAAAACGATTTCGCATGTCAAAGAGCCACGCAAATAAGTTATAACTAGACTAGTCACTCCTTGGCCTCCACAGTTTTAGATTTCCGAAACTGGAGGCAGAGGATCGCGTCAGAAGCACACTTCATGAAGTTGAGAAGGCTCTTCAGGACCTGTCAAGGGTTGACTGAGGTGATCAGAGCACGTGGTGTGATTTTCAATGCCGCGCTGAAATCTGTTCGGGTATGTTCGAGTCCGTTGGGTTGCAGGAAAAGTTCGAGAAGGAAGTTGAAAGCAAGGCCCTTCGGACGGCGAGTCCGTGGTGTGCCCGGCTTTTTGTGACCACGTATCGGAAGGTGCGGCTGACGCTTCCCGACGTGGAGCGGCGCCTGCGAGCAGAGCTCGAAGAGGAAGCGCGCTCGCGAGTGTCGGCAGATGGGGGCCGTGTCGCACCTGGGCTCCGAATGGAGAGATCCTCGAGCACTTCGTGTGTAGGCTGCATGTGGCCACCTGGTGCAGCTCAGCTATCTTGCTGAGGAGAGGGAGGCGCAGGATAGTTTGCTGAAGGAGGCAGAAGAGAAGACCAGGTCGGACGAGACAGAGCTTCAGAATGGACACTGAGTTGCACTCTGGCCGTGTCAGGCGAATGCTACCCGAGATGGAAAGGGAGGCTCGCGCGAAGCTTGCAAAGCAGGCCGACGGCCTAGCAGTTAGCATGGCTGGCTCTTTCATCACCCGTCGCCTCCGCTCTGTTAGGCGGAGGAGGCGGCCGCCTCTGCGTTGCCGGAGCTTGAGCGGCAGGCTCGAGAGAAGCTGGTGGTCGAGGCGGAGGACCGGGACACCACGCAAGGGGGGGCTGCGTTGCTCGTCCATCCGTCCTCCTTGAGGACAAGGTGAGGGCAACGGCAGCTGCAAGCATCGAGAAGGAGATTCGAGACCGACTCAGGAAGGAGGCCGAGGAGCGCATCAAAGCTGAGCTTCCTGTGCCCTGGATGCCTCGCAAAACGCACAACACGTTGCAAGATTCCGAGGGGTGAGATCTGACAGATCTGAAGCCTAAGGAGATTGAGCGACAAGCCCGCGAACGCTTCATGGCTCAGGCCATCCACCAGTAGTGCAGCGACCGAGCCAGAAACTGTTGAGAAGATCCGGCTGTTGCCCGTCATTCCAAAAACCGTACTGCCACAAGAAGTCACCGATGCAGACCTGCTGTCAACTCAGGGCCCGCCACCGCCTGCGCCGATGACGCCAGTTGCCCCGGTCGAGCCGCCTGTCGCCGTGCCTTGCCTCCATCTTCTCCCACAATCTCAAAAGATTCCAACTCCGCTGAAGACTCACTCGCGTCTCGCGAGGTCCCGTCGTTGAAGGTCGACGCTGCCCAGGCAACCAGCGAAATTGAAAAGCTTGAAGCTGACACTGCCTCCAGCAAGAACTCAGGCCGAGCACCTCGCACAACTTCAGCAAGTAGACAGGGAGCACCAGGACCTCCTTGCTGTGCCCCTGTTTCATGGAGTCCGGAAAGAAGGGCGCTCGTGTGAAGGAGAAGCTGCGGCAGTTGGAGGCAGACTTCGAACGCCGCTGCGAAGAGCGCACACAGCAGCTGACGGCAGAGCTCGAAAGGACCGTGGAATTCCTCATTTGCAAACTCTGTCGGGAGCGGGTCAATGTTGATGTACAGGAAGAGTCGAACAGATGCTGAAAGACAGGCGTGGCATAGTGCGCGAGAATTCCGTGAATAAAGAAACTACACGTGTGAAACATCGTGTGCAAAGGTTGAGGAGAAGACGCGGAGCTTTCGTGAGCAGTTGGAAAAGGAGAAGCTCCCTGGCTCATCGTGTGAAATGCGTTCAGGTCTGAACCGGATAGGTACCCAACACCTGAACTTAGGCGAGCGCAGCTGGAAAAGGAAGTTCAGGAGAAGCTGCGCCCTTCAACCGCAGCCTTCGAGCGAGAAGCCAGGGTGATTCTTGAGAAGGAGGCCGGATGGAAGCATTCGGGACCATCGTGGTCAGCAGAAGCAGGGAAAGTAAACAACGACAAATTTGGAGGCAGAGGAGCGTGTCCGAAGCTCCATCCCCGAGATAGAACGCACGGTGAAGGACCACAGCAGAGATAAAGATTTTGTTTGCACAATTTCAGGGTGCGCTCGACATGTGATTTGCGCCGAATTCCAGTCCAGAGCTCCGCAGCCTCTGTTCCACATCGCCCACGGAGTTACAAAGTGTTTGCACCTAACTTTGGGAGTCTTCCCGTGGGGAACCGAAGCAGCCACTTGATTTGAAGCACTGGTTTGTGAAAGCGCGTAGCTGGAGGAGAAGCTGGAGAAAGACGCGGAAGAGAAGGCCTGCACAAGACTTGGAGCTCTTGGTTTCAGTGCACTTCGAGATGTTGAGATTGTTGGATCGTTATCCTGATCCGTCTTACTCATTCTTTCCCGCGATTCAACATTGGATTGCCCCCCTTACCGCACGGGGATTCAGATGATTAAACTTCCCCTTCAAGTTGTCATCAGCACGCACAAATGCGCACCTCGCACGACGCATGACTTGTCGCAAGTTTCCGGCACTCCAGGTTCGGGCTTCGCTACCACAGCTTGAGTCACGCCTTCAACAGGTGCCGCGGCCGCGCATCGTCTTTGTGAGAATTCGGCACTAGCAACTTTCTCCATTTGGTCTCGGCCCTTCTCGTGGCCACGCTGCCAGGAGCTCGAAGCAGATGCCCTCAAGCGCGTGTCGGCGGATCGACATCAGATTGCCGCTTGCCTTCAGAGTCTCGAGGCCCTTTTTTTGGTCTTTGTCCTGCAAACCCTGTTTGCAAGACATGTGAAAGCATGAGGAAGAGGCAGCAAGGAGGCGGGTTGAGCAGGAAGCCGAAGACAAAGCCAGGACCGGGTCTTGCGAGCTTCAGACACTGAGATCTGTAACAGCTATGGCCGGGAACGGGACAAGGCACGCATTTCCAAAGAGGTGCACAGCGGTAGACAGTTTGCTTATGTTTGACAGGCGAGGTCTGCCCGACATGGAGAGAACCGCGCGGGAGAAGCTTCAGAAACAGGCGAGATCTGCACTGGGCCTCTCATTGTGCAATGACGAAATGAAGAGTCAAGAGCGGCTGGCGTTGCAGGGGCCGCAGGTCATGGCCTTGAAGACACATCGCTTCACACTACACCTGTCAGGCTGATGTGCTCGCTGTAGTCTCTTCTTGTCGTGGCAGGCCGATGACACGGCTGCCGCTATCGACAAGGTTGCGCTTGAGGCGGAGGCACGTTGCAGCTTTGGGAAGGGCATTTACGAGAACTCAGTGCATGGTCAAAGCAGAAGCCGCAGGCACAGCACACGAGAGCGAAAAAAGTACAGTCCTTCAGACATTGGCAAGGCATCGTTTGACAACATGGTACATGTGGGCCGGGTATATCAGAACATCGTCTTCCGTTTACGGATGAACTTGTGCAAAACGGGGCACTCAGACTCAGAAATCATGAGGTCCATCAGATACTTATGTATAGTTGTATTCCAACCGGCCTGTACATGATGCCTGGAGACAGCTTTTGACGAGCTGTGGGAAAACCGCCTCGGGGCTGAGTCCGGTTGTGGTGGTGACGGCACTCTACTGGTACACACTAAGTCGATCCTTTCCAGGTTGACGAGAAGCTGAAGACCTTGAAAGAGCAGCTGGAGCGTGAGAAGTTGCTGAGTTGCACAGGGTCGGCGAGAGGGGCGTCCTGACCAGTTGCAAGCATGAGGCGATCCAGGCTTGAGAAGGAAGTTGAGGAGAAGCTGCGGCCATCTGCAGCTGCCTTCGAGCGAGATGCTCGGGCAAAGCTCGAGAGGGAGGCGATGACGTGCAAAAACGATTTCGCATGTCAAAGAGCCACGCAAATAAGTTATAACTAGACTAGTCACTCCTTGGCCTCCACAGTTTTAGATTTCCGAAACTGGAGGCAGAGGATCGCGTCAGAAGCACACTTCATGAAGTTGAGAAGGCTCTTCAGGACCTGTCAAGGGTTGACTGAGGTGATCAGAGCACGTGGTGTGATTTTCAATGCCGCGCTGAAATCTGTTCGGGTATGTTCGAGTCCGTTGGGTTGCAGGAAAAGTTCGAGAAGGAAGTTGAAAGCAAGGCCCTTCGGACGGCGAGTCCGTGGTGTGCCCGGCTTTTTGTGACCACGTATCGGAAGGTGCGGCTGACGCTTCCCGACGTGGAGCGGCGCCTGCGAGCAGAGCTCGAAGAGGAAGCGCGCTCGCGAGTGTCGGCAGATGGGGGCCGTGTCGCACCTGGGCTCCGAATGGAGAGATCCTCGAGCACTTCGTGTGTAGGCTGCATGTGGCCACCTGGTGCAGCTCAGCTATCTTGCCGAGGAGAGGGAGGCGCAGGATAGTTTGCTGAAGGAGGCAGAACAGAAGACCAGGTCGGACGAAACAGAGCTTCAGAATGGACACTGAGTTGCACTCTGGCCGTGTCAGGCGAATGCTACCCGAGATGGAAAGGGAGGCTCGCGCGAAGCTTGCAAAGCAGGCCGACGGCCTAGCAGTTAGCATGGCTGGCTCTTTCATCACCCGTCGCCTCCGCTCTGTTAGGCGGAGGAGGCGGCCGCCTCTGCGTTGCCGGAGCTTGAGCGGCAGGCTCGAGAGAAGCTGGTGGTCGAGGCGGAGGACCGGGACACCACGCAAGGGGGGGCTGCGTTGCTCGTCCATCCGTCCTCCTTGAGGACAAGGTGAGGGCAACGGCAGCTGCAAGCATCGAGAAGGAGATTCGAGACCGACTCAGGAAGGAGGCCGAGGAGCGCATCAAAGCTGAGCTTCCTGTGCCCTGGATGCCTCGCAAAACGCACAACACGTTGCAAGATTCCGAGGGGTGAGATCTGACAGATCTGAAGCCTAAGGAGATTGAGCGACAAGCCCGCGAACGCTTCATGGCTCAGGCCATCCACCAGTAGTGCAGCGACCGAGCCAGAAACTGTTGAGAAGATCCGGCTGTTGCCCGTCATTCCAAAAACCGTACTGCCACAAGAAGTCACCGATGCAGACCTGCTGTCAACTCAGGGCCCGCCACCGCCTGCGCCGATGACGCCAGTTGCCCCGGTCGAGCCGCCTGTCGCCGTGCCTTGCCTCCATCTTCTCCCACAATCTCAAAAGATTCCAACTCCGCTGAAGACTCACTCGCGTCTCGCGAGGTCCCGTCGTTGAAGGTCGACGCTGCCCAGGCAACCAGCGAAATTGAAAAGCTTGAAGCTGACACTGCCTCCAGCAAGAACTCAGGCCGAGCACCTCGCACAACTTCAGCAAGTAGACAGGGAGCACCAGGACCTCCTTGCTGTGCCCCTGTTTCATGGAGTCCGGAAAGAAGGGCGCTCGTGTGAAGGAGAAGCTGCGGCAGTTGGAGGCAGACTTCGAACGCCGCTGCGAAGAGCGCACACAGCAGCTGACGGCAGAGCTCGAAAGGACCGTGGAATCCCTCGCTGTGTGTTGATTGGTGGGATGCTTGTGACGTGCAGGAAGAGTCGAACAGAGGCTGAAAGACAGGTGGGGCATGCGCAGGGCACGAGAATCTCTAGGACTAGAAAGACTCGATGTGCGTGATAACACTGCGCGTGAAGGTGGAGGCGAAGACGCGCAGCTTGCATGAGCAGTTGGAGAAGGAGAAGCCTCCCAGCTGGACAGACTGTGATGTGATGTACAGCAGCTGTAGTCCAGTGATGGTTCTCCTTATGGTATCCGGCTAAGCCTGAGATCGCCGGGGTCCAAAAGTTGCATAAATCCCTTGACATTTTGTCATTTGTAGTCACTAGTCTCTACAATCTCAACCGCTGGATTTGTCGTGTTGTTGGCATTGGATGCTCGAAGCGGGAGGCAGCTGCAGTACAGCATGCACTACACCAAACCACCGAACAGGTATTTTACACCCGCTTAGCACTTCCAGCACATGTTGCCAAGATGGTGCTCATTGTCATTGCATTGGTGTTTCCGTGTGGTCTTGTCACTTGCCAGTGGGTCGCAGCTACTTCCCTGCGAAATTTGCCCGCCACTCCGTGCATAAGTATGGGGGTAGGTCTGAGTAATTTACCTGCCTCAGCCTGCTACTTTGGTCAAGAGGGTCAAGCAAAGGACAAGTGCTTGGCTAAGCTGTCGTGGTTTGAGTTCGATCTCTTGCATTCAGCTATGGCAGAACGAGGCCGAAGAGGTTTGAGGCCTTTGGTGTGCGGTTCGCTGTTTAAGCTGGTTTCAAGGCGTTGCGTTTTGGCATGGGGATGCCTGCGGTATGCATGGTATAGCCCTGCAAATTCTGTGGGCTATGGGCGTGAGTTTTGACTGAAAGTCGAGTGTACCTGACACGGAACTTGAAACTGGCTAGGGTGTAATTATTCGCCAGTTGCTCTATAAGGCCGATTGTGCCAGGTTGTGCTATGATGCCTCTAGACCAGATGCCGAGAATTTGCAAGAGGATTATGAAGTATAAATGCAGAGGATAATGTGCTCAGCAAGGAATCACGGATTTCATTCGCGTTAGGTGCACAAACAAATGCCAATTGAGAAGAAGAATCCTGCAAGGGCGTGAGCGCGAGAACCCTGGCAGCAACGACGTGCACCCAATCTGGTCGTCGCTGCTGAGGCTATTGCAGATGCAAAAAGAAGTTCAAGAGAAGTTGCGCCCATCATCCGCAGTGCTCGAGCGGGAAGCGCGGGTCGTGCTGGAGAAAGAGGCCAGCTGGAAGCCCTGAGATTTGAGGTGCCATGATCCTCCCGCATCCTCCCATTTCGTCGGCGTTGTGACGTTGTAAACCTGCTATTTAGCCACGTATGGAGGCCGAGGAGCGTGTCAGAAGCTCGATCCCAGAGTTCGAGCGGGCGGTAAAGGACCGGCACCAGATGAGCTGTTGCTCTTGCAGGGTCCTTCCTTTCAACCGGTTCCTGCGGATCCGATGCAGGAGAGGTTGGAAAGGGACGTGGAAGCAAAGGCTCGGATCTAAGTCGAGGCATTGTGAGCTCGAAGCATGAATTGACAAAGTACCTCCGACTCATCATTAGCAGAGACTGGGTTGAGTGCCTACTCCAGTCGAGCAGACGATAGTCGACGCGAATCAACGCAGGTAGCACTTGGAACGCCATGAGTATCCTCCACCCGACAAACAGCCGCCGTTTCAGTACCTATGTCCCAAATCAGACTCAGCACATTCTACCAACTTGCCAAAGCCACACAATGTGGTCGACATGCCGGAAATCCTGGGTAGCATTAGGGACCCCTGAAAGGGGACCCTTCTTGACCCTATGTCTGGCTCTCTGGAAAGGAACCTTACTGAGAGGGTCTATATCCTCAAGGGCCCCCCTAATCCTAACCCGAGGAAGCGTAGTTGCGGCGCGAGCGCTTGCGCCAGCCCTGCAAGGTTTTCACTAGGCACCCATCCTGAGATCACGACACGGGCAACGTGTGCTCGCCTGACAAAGCCCCACATCTTCACAGAAAGACTGAACCGTCTTGCTTGCTGAGTCATTCGGGCTAGTCCCGGGAACCAAGCAAGTGCCTGCTTTGTGAGTCAAGCGGTAAATCAGAATCCGCGAGCCATCTGCCGCATCTCAATTGCGCACGAACATGGAGGAACGGATCGGTGTACATTCCGGGCGGTTATGTCTTCGTCCTGCCGCGGGGGTGTGTTCGTCATGCTGGTGTTGGTGTTGCTATTCTCCTTCTTATCCTTTTTCCTGTTGCCATTGCTGTTGCTGTTATTGTTATTCTTGTTGTTAGTCTGATAATGCTTTTCTTGTTATGCTTCTTTTTCTTGTTGCTGTTGCTGTTGCTGCTGGTGCGGTTGCTGTTGGTGTTAAGGACTGCGCAAACACAGCCTGAAGAGAACAGTCAGTGGGCAGCCTTAGGCGAGGCAAACTCGTCCTCGGTGTGAAGTGTGACCAGCGGGCAGAACCTGGCCCAAGGGAAATGGAAAAGCTTCCGAGCCAGAAGATCGAAATCGACGGGCTCGCAACAGCAAGCTGCACAGTGTGTGGGAACATCGCCAGACCCAATGCCATTAGGAAGATCTAGGACCCAACTGTTCCTCGGCATCATGGGTGGACCTCTCAACTCTCAACATTGGAGGGACTGCGAGCAATGTGGTTCAGAAGGTGCACATAGGTATGATGCGAGTTCAGGTTCATTTCTGCCCTCGTAGCTTCGTCTGAAGTTTTGACTCCGACTCCAGGTGCGGGCTTCGCTGCCACAGCTTGAGTCACGCCTTCAACAGGTGCCTTGGCCGCACATCGTCTGTGTGAGCATCGGGAATCGCCCTTCTCTTGGCAACGTTGCCAGGAGCTCGAAGCAGATGCCCTCCGGCGCGTTTCGGCAGATCGATATCAGATTGCCACTTGCCTTTAGATGGTTCAAGAGTCCCCGGCTTGCATGGCAAGCGAGGCTTTTATGATCTTTGTCCTGGAAAACCTGTTTGCAAGACATGTGCAAGCATGAGGAAGAGGCAGCAAGGAGGCGGGTTGAGCAGGAAGCCGAAGACAAAGCCAGGACCGGGTCTTGCGAGCTTCAGACACAGAGAAGTGTAACTGTTATCAGCTGTTGCAGGGAACTTCAAAGAGGTGCACAGCGCTATACAGCGGTAGATATTTTGCGCATCTTCGACAGGAGAGGTCTTCCCGACATGGAAAGAACCACGCGAGAAAAGCTTCAAAAGCAGGCGAAATCTGCACCGGACCTCTCATTGTGCAATGACGAAATGAAGAGTGACTGGCGTGGCAGTAGGCCTCAGCTACGGCATGTGTTGCCAAGCTATCGCTTGCATTTGCATACATCGGGATGATGTGTCACTGCCAGCTTTGGGCAAGGCAAGGCTCAAGTTGCTTGTGCCTAGAGGCTGAAGACACGGCCGCAGCCATCGACAAGGTCGCTGTTGCGGCCGAGGCACGGCCAAGCTTTTCAAAATAGAGTCTGCGAGTATTCGTTCAGATGATGCCCATCAGCGGTGCAGCATGCATCTAGGAGAAGGTGCGGGCAACCGCCTCCAGCATTGAGGCTGAGATCCGAGAGCGCTCGGCCGGCAGAGACGACTACCACAGCTCACTAAGCTTCCTATGGTTAAGAGGTCTTTTCAGTCTAAGTTCCTCGGCTTGGGAAACTCTGCCACGAAGAGCCCAGGCGTTTGCGGAGAGAGTCGGAAGACCGAAAGGCTGAGCTTCCTGCGCCTTGGAGAAACATCCGGTGGAGGGGGAGGGGTGGTGGAGATCCGTTGTGGGCCTTGCTATGAACCACGTGCATATGGTTTTTTACATGCATGCCTGCATGTTCACACTTCACACACGCACACATTCGTTCGTTTCTGCCATCCTTCATTGATTCTGTCTTTCGCTCGTTTCCTTTGTTGACCCCTTATATGGCTTAGCATAGGCCTCACGGCAGCAGACAGCCTGCCTTTGGCTATGTTGTTTTCAGCGAATCCGGATGGCAAGCAGTTGATCCTAAGCAGCTGCCGCTTTGCAGTCCCAGCGTCGGACTTGCGAGGTCCTGGACCGAGAGGAACGCGAGCGAATTCGCAAGGAAGTCGAACAGCGTGAGGCTCGGCTGGGGCATTGCATGATACGGAACCAATTCCTGCGAGGGCATGCGAGGGCCATACTATATGGTTCCGGGCCTCCAAGTTCATTCCTCTTCGGGGTCTGTGTGTTGCGATCTGGCCTCGATTTGGATCTACTGGAGGCGTCTCAGTCCGAGAGGGGGCGACTAGATGTGAATACTTGTCATAGTCTTCCTGGGGTGAATAAACGGCGGGCCTAGTATATCTGAGCGTCAGTGTAGCCTTCTCATCGCGTGATTTCGCTTGCAGGAGCTGAAAGTTCGTGAAGCCGCCGTGTTGGACAGACAACACCTCCTGGACGCGACTCAGCTTAAAACATCCTCGGAGCCTCCGTTTTGGTTCTGGTCATCGTCCTCGTTACTCATTTTGGCTCGCCATATGGCAGCACTGCACAAGCTGGTACCCTGTGCTAACAATCTTGGGAAAGTTATGCCACCGATACAGTTGCTAGTGTGCAGCGGCGGCCGTCAACCCCCTTGTAATCCGATCCTGGATTCACGTCTTGCAGTCGCCCATGGAACGAACGCTGCGAGACACTGTAACTTGTACGGCTTCGCAACTTTCGAGGAGAGGGAGGAGGTCTTGAAGGGTGCAGAGAGACTTCTTCGCCGCCGCGAAGTTGAGATAGAAGGCATCGCGGGACCAGTGCCAGTATTTATACTTTTTTTGATTTGCTTCCTCAGTCGTGCAGCACGAGCTCCGAGTTCCCCGTCTAGGCCAAGCGATGCGCTGGGCGCAGATGCAGACGACGCCTCGAAACCAGGGGGCCTCCGGCCTCGCAGGTACTTGGCCGAGCCCGGCCGCGGCGGCCGAAAGTGTGGAGCGCAGGAGCCTTGGATTGGACCCTGAACCTGATGAGATTTTTAGTGCGCTCTTTGTAAGGTCCCACACTTGCAGTCACCACTCAAGTGGGGACGGCCGCGATGCAAAGCAGCGGTGGTAAGTGCCTGTGCTGCGCATAGAACGCTATACGTACATACATGCGTACACATTTATGTATACACACACATCTGTGTTCATATTTACTTATATATATATATATATATATACAACAGCGTCTACATAGTCTGTTCGCAAAGCTGTTCACAAAGGGCCTTGAGGTTGAGGTGTCATGAGGTGTGAGGTTCGTGGGCCATGGCGCCAATTTTGCCTCCAGTCCAACAGCTTCTCGACGTCTTCTTTCACAGACAACTCGCAAAGTGCTTGAGGATCGGAACTGTCGAGTCGCTGGATCTGTCGCCACAGGATGCCTCTCCTGGAGAGGCCCAGGCCCAGCCGGCTCAGCAGCTTTGCTTCCTTTGCGTCCGGGTTGGAATCTTCCCAGACACGGAACTGGAAGGGTTAGAGCCTGTAGAGCGCCCTGGGAGGAGGCCAAGGCCGAGGGGGGCGAGGCTGCGCCACAATCCACGACCAATCATCTCCTACCCGGAGAGGCCCTTCACCCAACGGGGAAGAATTCTTCGTGGGGCCCCACAGGCATGCAGGGCACGGGTTGCAAATGCTGCGGCACTGAGGCTGTGGCACCTATTCACGAGAAGGAGCTGGACGCGGAGATCGAGGAGATGCTTGCGTCCGTGGTCACCATGAAGCCCCAGGTGCCTCGGATGGCCCCATTCATGAGTTTGGCTTTTTGGAAGGCTTCAGCATATGGGCGCGAAGGCGAAGAGCCCTGCAGTTCTTTTTGACCGGCAGGCGCAAGCGGAGAGGACGATTGATCCTACAAATGTCAAAGCCTCATTGCTGGCGCATGCGAAACTTTGACATTCTGTGACCAATGCACTTTCAAGCGCAGGCCTTTTGCACATGCACTGCGCCACCTCTCAAGAATTTTTGCAGGAAAGCAGGGCGATTTTCCACACTAGACCCGTTTTTGCATCATGAGCTCCGAAGGTCGCGTGGCCGTTGCTGGTGTGTTGGTTGGAGCTGCTGCCTCCATGGCTTGTGCTTCAGCCTTCGTTGGCTCCGCCCCGCACGCCTCAAGCAGCCAATCCTTGCGTGCCAGCGCAGGCTCGGCCAAGACTGCCGCGATTCCCTCGGCTGGTGTTTCAGCTTCAGGCCTCGCGGCCGGACTCGTCGGAACCGCTGGTATGGTTCAGATGGCTAAGATGGCTAAGAACCGAAAGCGCACTCGTGTGCCGCGCTTCCAGCAGGCTCCGAGGCAGGCAGCAGTGGCAGAACGCAAGACGGACCTGTCCGGTGCTCTGCCTGATTGCCCTTCAACAATCTGGAACGCAGATGACATCGATGTGCAGAACCTGCCGGCCATCAAGCAGACCGCGCCCCTCATCATCGACGCCGCTGAGCTGGGGGATGAGCTCAAAAAGGGAACGGAGAAAGAGTGGTTCCTCTCGCAGCGTGAGAAGATCATGAAGCAGTTGCAAGATCATGGTGCGATTTGGTTCCGGAATTTCGAGTCCACAAAGGATGCTGAGGGCTTCCGAGCCTTCTATGAGGCACTGCAGCTCAACCCGTGCCTTGATCCCATCCACACATCAGGGCTTCGCGCCATGGAGGTCCAGAAGCATGCCGTCTATGAGGCAGTGAACAAGCCATCCCTGGCGCAGCACTTTGTTGGTTTGCACAACGAGTCGACATTCGTGAAGACCGCCACCTACGGAGCTTTCGTCTGCTTCGAGCCGGCCTCTGAGGGAGGTCGGCATCGGTGTCTGACCAACCTGTGGAGGGTGCAGGGCCCGCTCTCAGATTCGCCCATCTAGATTCAGTGTACGATGGATGGATGGATGTATGTGAGTACGTATGCACATGGATGTGTGTATTCGTTGTACATGTACCAAGAAGAGGTAGACACGCAGCATTGGTCGTTACTTTTTATGTTTTGCTAATAGAAAAGGGAGGCGAAGTAGCGCAGCCACGAGGTGGAGAATTCTTCATTGCAGATGGGGCCAAGATCGTCAACGACCTAGACAAGGATGTATTGAAGCGGATCTACGAGAACAAGGTGCGAATCTCCGTCAGCAACCTGGACCTCAACTTCCTCAGCGGCCTGCCAGAAGGCTTCAGGGAGCAGGCTACTCCGGCGAAAATGGGTAGCCCAGACATACCACCCAGATTCTATGAGTGTGCAAGCGTTGTGTAAGCGTTGCCAAGCACTCTGCAAGAGCCAGCCTTCACATGCCTTGGAATCAGGTCTCCGACTATCTGCAGGATTTGATCTTGAAGGTAGTCGCCCCGAAGTTTGACATGGACTTGGAGATGGTGTTCGGTGCAGACCAGTCCAACCCTTATCGCCTGCAAGCCATCGAGCATGCCCAGTCGCCCATCAACAAGCACCCCGTCACCGGTCAGCCGGTGTGGTTCTGTAACTTGCACAACCACAGCCGATACTTGCGCGACCGACGCCCGTGCACAGTGCCGGAGGTCGGGATGACAGACGTGTACAGCGGAGACCTCTCCACAATTCCATATGACGATGTCCGGCACATCAATGAGGTTTGTGAGCGCAACCTGGTAACCATGCCTATGAAAAAGGGCGACGTTGTCCTCCTGGACAACTACCGTGTGCTGCACGGGCGCAACACCTTCAAGGGTGACCGCAAGCATGCCGTAACGTGGTTCGAGTCTTGCGGTGAGCCGCTGCAGCGTGAGGATTCGAACAAGGATAAGCCTGACGACTTCATGAACACTCTCATCAACAAGACTCTAGTCTGATTACCTATGTGGGATCGACTCAGCCCGTAAGCTGACGCGACAGCTTCGCTTCTCCGTTTCAGGGAAACCGGCGCCCAGTGGTTTGCAAAGCCCAGCTAAGTCAGCACTCGTGTGACACCACGCTTTTTCATTGATGTGGACAGATGAAGCTAAACCACTGGGTGCTGGTCATCCTGGCCAGTAGTTTTGTTTTATCCTTGCGGTTCACATTGTATCACCGGTCGTAGTCGACCACATTTGATCCCAGACCTACAGCTCGCACATGCACATGCCCTCGTGCGAAAAGGTTTTCTGCCGGAGCGTCGGAAGATTTCAATTGTGATGAGGGCTGCTGCGAGGCATTTTTCTTTTGCCTGCTGGCAGTGACACTGCCATTCTATCGCCAAGAGCACCAGATGCAGAGCTACGTTGACATTCCCATTCTTGAAATTCGCTTTCGAGGTAGCGTCCTCCCCGAGAGTTCGCAACCAGCGACAGGAGCAGCGAGGCAAGGGTCTGAAAGTGCTCGGGCGTTTTTTTGATTTGGGGGGGTGGGGGACTTGTTTCGAGCTGGATTCCCCTAACATGCATAATCGACGATACCGGAGTCAGAAACCACACAGGCCTATGGGAGCTGACGCAGGGCCGGCGCCGGCAACTGAAAAAGCAGCGTGCAGCGCTGCTGGCGCCTTGACAGAGACGTGCTTGCTGATGCTCCTGGCATCTCCCGGCAGTGGCGGGAGCGGGCCTTGTTACCGGAAGACAAATTGTTCGCCGAGTGTTCCGGAGCCTTGAAAGTTGAGCTTCATGGCAGCACAGGTTGAGCTTGAACGATGGCGCCGCTTTGTTGCAACATGGTGTGAAGGTCAGTATTTGTCCAAGAAGCTGGAGGTTTTGCGCACATGCATCATGGAAAATAGTGCCATCTACAGCAACCTTGTGGCACGGAGTGCTTCTCTTGAAATCGTGCTACCCCAATAATCCCCAATGCAAGAATGAGTTGAACCGCCACTGGTATCGGGGACCCTCGAGGCCTCGACTGTGCTGGCGCCTCGCCGGCAGAGCGTCCGGAACTTGCGGAGATGAAGAGCAGACTCGACGCTGGTTTCAATACATAGAACTGGAAAATCGTGGTGAGAGTTTCTTCTTTTGTGACCTGCAAGGGTTTGCGGACCTTCCTGTCCTTATACTTTCTACTTCTTCAAGTTCTCCAAGACTGCCGTAGTGATCCACCATGACACTATGACACCAACATAATAGATGTCAGGACGACAGATATGAGAGTGCTCCACTGTCGCGTACCGTAATCATGTAGCTAGGGTCGCGGGCGAAGCTCGTTCGTCACGCTGGCCGTGACCCGTCGTCAGTTCGCAGGGCACTGCCCTTAACTGGATGTTGGGGGTCCCTAATCCGCTCGAGAGCCCTTCTACACGCCGAGGTATTTCGGAGCTTGAAGCCTGCAGCCACATGCGAAGATGCCCAATCATTCTCGCAACCTGCTCGAGCCGCATGCAGCGGGTATGTTTCCTGAAGAGGCAGAGCCCACGGCCGCTGGTTAAGATCAGAGTCGCGAGCACATTCTGAGCGAGAGCGAATCCTAAATCTAGGATAAAGGATCGGCATCAGCGAGTGTTCTTGTCTTGCAGCTTCAATGGCATTTGGTGAGATCCCTCGCCTATGAAGGCTCTACCGTTGCTGGTCTTCTTGTGGCTCGCAGAAGCACAGCCTGCATCCCCTGCCTGCTGCCGCGGAGCAGGCTGCTGGTGTGACCTGGCGCTGTATCCTTTTCTGGATGATTTAATGCACGGCTTTGGCTACGACCGCTGCTTGGAGGACGGCCTTTGCGAAGCTTGCGGCGATGTTGAAAGGGAGGCTCCGCACTGCCAAGCGACTGGGTATCGCCAGCAGGTCGTGTGCTTGCGTTGTCAAGGGGACAGCCTTTACCTGCCATATTGCCAGACAGGCTACAAAATCTTCTGGGTTTCCAACGCCAGCTTTGTGAATTACTCTTCTGCAAGCCCCAGCGCAGGGCTGTTTATGCACAGCTGCTCTGCAGCCGCCAGAGCTTTCCGACACTCAGAGCCGGAAGGAAGCGCTTCGGTGACCGAGCCGGAGCCTCGGCCCGAGCGAACGACAGGGGCACAGGGCCGGCTTCATAGCTTACACGAGGACGGCAATGAAGGCTTGGTGGAGGTCCTGTATTTCCTGGGTGCAAATGCGCTGGTGCTTACGACCTTTGGCTGGTCTCTTCGCCGGCAGCAACGTCGACAGCTCGAAAAGACGATGGAAGGCTTGTATTCCTGTGTCGAAGATGGCTTGCCTTCCGGCCGAGCAGTCTCTCCGCCAAGGGACTCACTGCCCAAGCCGAGGGAGCACCGGGACATAAGAAGCCCGTCTCCGGAGTCAGAGGCCCGAGGCATCGGCAGGTCCATAGAATCCCTGGCAGGTGCAGTTGCCAAGGCCGCTGTCGGGTCTCAGAAGATGAAGTAATTGCGCTTGCAAAAAAAATTCCCTTTGCGATGAAGCCGGTCAAACCTCTTCTGCAAGTTCTTGGGTCCGCTAAATAACTCGCAGCCGAGGACGAACGCTATGCACTCGTGCTGGAAGGCATCCGAGAGACGCGAGCAGTCGAACGCACGCTCCTGGCCAAGTTGGTAATTAAAGTCTTGTTCAGTCAAGATTTGGGCAGTGTCACCCATCACCCTACGCATTCCTTTGCTCAGCAACTTAAGGCTACTTCATCTCCGAGACCGCGACACCGCTGCGCTGCACTCGGACTCGTCTACCGTCGCAATGCAGCTGTTGGATGCTGATGGAAAATATTTCTCGTGACAAAAGTCAATCTTTGGGTCACTGCCAGCCCCGTTTCGAAAGCAGGAGGGGTTTCTGGAGCATGTTGTGTCGACCGCACTTCCAGTTTCAATGCCTAGGTCGGGCCTGCGCAGACGGAGGGGCTTCTGGAATACCCAAGCATGAGGCAGGTCGGACGTGAGAGACTCGTCCTGGTCAGAGCTTTGCCCTATCGGTAGCACACACGCAACCAATCAGTCGAACCATGTAGACGTTTGTCTAGGTTACAGTAGCTGGAGATCTCTGTTCAGGCCCTCGTCCGCAGCCGCTGAGGTCGTACCTTGGCCGGTGCGAGTCTGCATTTCGGTAAGTCCCATCGACAGTTATAACACATTAACACTACTACAGCAAATTATAATAATAGTAATAATAATAATAATAATACTAATAATAATAATTATTAATATTATTATTCTTATTATTATTATTATCATTATTGTTTTGTTGTTGTTGTTGTTGTTGTAGCCGCTATGGATCGCAGCAGGCTGTGTAGCTTTGCTAACAAGGCTCTGGGTACCAACGCTAGAGGCTCGCAACGTCCCCTTCTGCGAAGCTTAAGGGGACCGTCCTCTTATTGAGCCATAGCTACTCCCGGAGCCGCGTGCCGCTGTGATCTACCGGGTCCCAATTCCCGGGCCTCTGTCTGCAGCTAAACAACATTGGCAAGAGGTAAGCGGTAGTGGTTTTCACCTTTCCGCAGGGTGAAGGGAGTCGGATCGAGTTCTCTCTTTCCGGCGAAACTAGCGGACGGCGCAATCGCCAATGCACCAGCATTCTTTTGAGAGCATTCGCAAGAAGGCCTTTCGCAAGGCTTGCAATAGGGTACATAGAACACAAGAAAGCATCCCGTACCGGAATGGTACGTTGACGCCCGAGCATCTGCGCCGCAGTGGACTAACCCCGCCCTCCCCTCCTCCCCTCCCCGTGCTGTCTGGCTCCACGATTCCTTCAGGCCCTTCAGGTCCCACTGCCAGTTTCCGCTCGCGCCCGAGAGGCGGTCGTGCCAGCAAGCCTCTTCGCGTTCTTTCCTGGAACGCTGGGCATCTTGGCATGCAACAATGGGCAGAAGTGAAGACGTGGCTTCGCACGGAGGCCAAGCATGTCTGCGACATTCTGGTCTTGCAGGAAACACACTGGAGCGAAACAGCAGAGTTTGATGTTGAGGGTTGGCACTGCGTGAGCTCTGCCACGAAAGGGGCTGCCCGGGCACCCAAAGCTAAAACTGCTTCAGGGCAACACTCCAAGCAAGGCGCTGCCACGCAACCAGCTGTTCATGACACAGGTCGAGCGGACCGTGTTATGGTTCTCCTCTCTCCTCAGATAGACAAGAAACGGATTAGGTGGAGAGAGCAATGCCGTGGCAGGCTCATTCAGGTCATCTTCCCGTGGCTTGGGGCCCGCGTTCACGTTTTTGCGGTCTATCAACATGCGTGGTCTTCTAAGAAGTCTCCTCAGCAGAACAAGGAAGACCGCTCAAACTTGCTCCGTGATCTGTCAGCAGCGATCCGGGCTATCCCGGCAAGGGATACCTTTCTCTTGGCAGGCGATTTCAATGCTCGTTTGACTCCACAGGAGGGTCTGGTAGGTCAGTGTAGCACAGGGAAGGAACATGCTCAAATGCAGGATGAACAGTTCCAGGCTTTGGTTTCCTACCATCGGTTGGTAGCTCTTAACACTTGGTCCTGTGGCGCTGGTCACACCTTTTTCTTGAATGGACAAGGTTCGCAGATTGACTTTCTGCTAACTTCCGAGGCTTCGGCCAAGGGTCCGGCAAAACAGTCTGGGCCATGCAAGAATCTTCAGCTCGGCAGGTGGAAGCGAGGCGGCCACCTTCCCGTCTTGGCTCATCTTCGACCCACTCAGCACTGGAACTTGCCCAAGCCCACTTGCCCCCCCCTGACCTTCCATAAGGACGCTCTAGAGACGGCTGTCCGTTCAGGTTTGCCGATAGCCGGTCGCATGCAGGACTGGGTGGGCCAGCGTCTGTCTTCTCGGAATCACACGCCTGATGAAGTCAATCAGGTGCTGCTGGAGGCCTCTGCTTTGTTCTTTCCTAAGCCTCGGCCGCAGCAAGTTCCGGAAACTGCACAGCATCGTGCGACGCTGCGTATGTGGAACAGAGTCACTCACATTCGCTCTCTGCATGAGGACTCCATCACCACTTTATCTGACCTGGATCAATCCTTGGAGGACCTGAGTCGCTGGCACAAGCAGGCTCTTTACTTGGCCAAGAAGGAACGTCACCGAGCTTTTCAGGAAGAGGTGGACGAGGCATGTGCCCGACATGATTCATACATCGCGCATAAGACCACTCCGACCATGGGAACCACAAACCAAGGCGCAGCTCCAGGGACCGGATGACCTGCTCTTGGATTCTCACTCAGAGCTTCGCTTGCTTCGCGAACACGTAGAACAGGTCTTCGCCAGACATCCTCCCCTCGAACACCAGGTGGAGTCTTTGCCGGAAATCCCGGCAGGGCTGCTGGCCAAGCACATTGGTTCCATTAGACCGCATAAGGCGGTCCCGCAGGGTTCGGCGCCGGCGGCTGCCTGGCGGCTGTGCTCGGTAGAGGCGGGAGCGGCGCTAGCAGCAACGCTGCAATCCCGGGGGCAACGCCCATTGCCGGCTGCTGACGTTCTTCAGCCGCCTTTAAAGGATGCTGACATGTGTTTTATTCCCAAGCCTAACAAGCCGGCTACGAAGCCCGGCAACCTTCGTCCCCTCGGCATAATTCGTCCGGATGGCAAAGGCTTGGCGGGAGCTTGCAGAGACCAGCTGTCTCCCTACACAGCTGAATATCTTCGGGGTCTCCCACAATTTGCCTACCAACCCCAACGCGGTCTTTCCGATGCCTTGGGCAGGGTCGTTGGTCATGTCACTCAGCTACGCAGCAACTGCCAGGAGGCCCGGCGTACCAGGCATCAGCTTCACTCGGGGCGAACTCGTCCCCAGCTGGTAGGAGGTCACAGGCCTTTGACATGGTGAGCAGGACAGACTTGCTCAACACCTTGCGGGATGCGGGCGTCCCACAAGACCTCATAGACCTGGTCGCCTCATTGCATGCTGGTAGTGCGTACACCTTTCGCACGCAGGGTGAAGAGGACACAGTCCAATCCACGGCTGGCATTAAACAGGGGTGTAAGCTTGCCCCTACTCTTTTCTCTATGCTCACAGGCACCATCTTTCGGGAGCTCATAGCTCTTGCCGGTGCTCGTGCCGTGGTGGATTACCTCACAGGCTACGCGGATGATCTGACGGTTCACCGCGAAATCCACTCATTGGAGGACCTGGACCGTGCTCATGCTCTGATTGAGCAGCTGCTGCAGCTAGTCCGCAGCCATGGATTTGCTGTCAATGGTGCCAAATGCACCGTCATGATCAAGCTCGAGGGCCAACAGGCGCAACGCGCCATGTCCACGTATTGGCGCACCGCGCCTGACGGGACTCGCCACAAGATGTGGCGGCTGGGAGAGTCCAAGTCCAAGTCTCACGAAGGCTTTCCGATGGTGACGACCTTTAAATACCTCGGAGTCATGCTCTCTTACTCTAACTTTGAGAAGGCTACTCTCAAGTTTCGGCTGCAGGAGGGCAATGACAAATTGCAGCAGGTGCGTCGCTTTGTACACAACAGACGCACGGCAGGGCCGGCATCGAGGTTGCACATCTGGCATAGTACCGTCTGGGCCACAGTGGCCTCTGGGCTGGTGGATGTGGGTTTGACTTTGGAGACAGCCAAACTCTTGCGTGCTTGGCATGCTCGAAAAATTCGAGCTGTCCTGAATAAGCCAGTGCATCTTACACACATATCGACCTCTGACCTCTATGCCTCGCACGAGATAATGGATCCTGTTTGTAAGCTGCAGGCGAGACAAGCGAATCGTGTCAAGCGCCTGGGTCTTCGCCAGCAGAGAACCCCTGCAGGTGATGTCTCTCTGACACAGCAGGCGCTTCATCAGGCAGAGGCGCTCTCTGCCAGATACGCAGAAGTTCTGCAACAACTCTCCGAGGACACAGAGCAGCAGGAGACCCCTCCTTCTTTCGCATGCCCGACGTGTGCTCAGGCCTTCGACACTGAGGTTGGTCTTCGAACCCACCAGGCTCGCAAGCATCCAGGCTCGGTCCCTAGATATGTCCCTCGAGGTTTTTCCCACACTCTCTCCGTAGGAGGGCTCCCCAAGTGTGCAGCATGCAACAGGCAATTCCCTCAAATGAAGGGCTTAAAAGACCACCTGCTCTCTGGAGCCTGCTCGGAGCCAGCTAGGCTAAAGGAGCTGGATGAAGCGGCGCACCCTCCCTCAGATTCGCAGCTTGTGCCCCGGTTGCATCCAAGGCAGCAGCGCTTGCATGCAAGACACCTTGACCACACACACAGCTGTTGAATTGGGAAGGTTGGATGAGTCTCAAGACCTTATGTCTCATTGCTTGCTGTGTGGGTTCTGGACTCCAGACAACACCAAACTCAAATCCCACATCAGGCAGGCCCACAAGTCCGAATGGGCGGCTCATGGGGCAGCTGCCACACCACAGAGCAGCAAATCAGGTCTGGTCCTTGTCAAAGGCATGCCCTGTCCGTGCTGCCGCAAGCAGGTCACAGACAGGAGGCAGCATCCGGCACAGTGTCCGATACTGTTTCAGATTCTGTTTTATGACCTGGTTCATGATCTCTCCCGCTGTCAGGGTGGACCGCTACGTAGGTACATGCCAACGGCTGGCGCGACACCGGGCCATGCTCCCAAACAAGACGGCAATACTGCCATCGGAGCAACGCCCCTGACCCGCCAGGCAACGCCTGCAGGCCCCATGCCACCGCAGCTAGAGGCTGAAGGATCAGAGGATGGAGCACCCGCTGCTCCCCGCTCGTTGCGCAATATTTCTAACTATACTGCTATGTTAACTCTACGCTTTCGGCATTGGTGCCGACGCGCATCTTGCTTGAGCACGGAAGAGCCAGCACCTCCCTCCACCACGAAGTTGCTGACTCTGCCTCTGGTTCTCCTTTTACCCTGACTGCCTCTTTCACACTTCGTCATCTTACTCCCACCTGGCGCTATGATGGTCAGCAGCAAGATGCTTCGGAGTTCCTGGTAGCCTTGTTCGCTGGAATTACTGCGAGTTTCCGATCGCAAGACCCTGGGAAGTCAGGGATGTGCGCACAACTGAAGTAACGGATGCGGGTGGTCCGCTCGCCCTGCTGCCGGCTCCGCCGGCAGCTGGCTCTCACGAACTTCAGGCGCTGATCCTTCGGTGGTCCGGTCAGCCAGTGTGCGCTGCTTTTCGAGGACAGCAACGGCTGGTGGTTCTCTCGGTGGCACGATTTGTTGAAGGTCGCAAGCTCAGTTATGCCGTAACGGGCCTACACCGCCCTGTCCAGCTCCCGCAGTGGGCCCCGACGGGCTCCGTTCAACTAGAGCACGGATGGGTCCAGTCCTGTGTCTTTCATATCGGAGACACCCCGCACAGTGGACACTATCGCTCCATTTGGAGGAGCAACCCCGATCAACCTTGGTTCAGCACGGACGATGGTCGTCCGTCGATTCCGGCCTCAGATTCCGATCTCAGGCAAGCACGCCACGGCTGTTATGTGCTGTTAGTGCGACTTGGTTCATTACCGAGCACAGCGGAGGCTGGCCCTATGCCAGTCCATGTTTCTGATGATTAAGCTGGGGGACAAACCCCCATTCTCGAGCCGAGAATGGGGGGTTGTCTGTGGCCCCCAAACCCATAGCATATGCGCTTTTGGACTTCGGTGCCACACGCCCCATGCGGCAAGCATCATCTGAGGAGGAGTGAGGGTTCCCCTGCAGCCAGGGGCCCCTACTTCCTTTTACAGGGAGGGGGCGACCCACTGGCTCCGTGGGACCGACCTGCCTGCACGGCAGGGAGCAGGAACGCTGTCACTCAGTTTTGCTGCTCAAGTTGCACAGTTGACGGCCACGGGCTATATATCACCTTTGCGACCTTACGGCCCATCGCCTCTGATTGAGAGTGACCATGAGTGGGACGCCACGCAACAGGCACTCTGAGTGACGGTCCCGCGGGGTACGGCTCATCAATCATTGGTTCGTGGACATGGGACGCCATAGTCCACACTGAGGGTGTCGGAGGGTTTCTCACCCACGCCTGAGTAATATGAGCTGGCTTCTGATGTAGCTTGTAGGGTAGCTCTCTCTTTCCGTTAGCCTGTTCTCAGTGCTCTCAGGCCCAGGCCCTTTGCATTTCTGCTCTCAGACCTTTGCTCAGGTGCAAAGGCAGTCTCACACGCCCGCAATGAGCAGAGCCCGCTCGCTCAGCGTCCAATAAATTATTGTTGTTGTTGTTGTTGTTGTTGTTGTTGTTGTTGTTGTTGTTGTTGTTGTTGTTGTTGTGGTTGTCGTTGTCGTTGTCGTTGTCGTTGTCGTTGTCGTTGTCGTTGTCGTTGTCGTTGTCGTTGTCGTTGTCGTTGTTGTTGTTGTTGTTGTTGTTGTTGTTGTTGTTGTTGTTGTTGTTGTTGTTGTTGTTGTTGTTGTTGTTGTTGTTGTTGTTGTTGTTCTTGTTCTTGTTCTTGTTCTTGTTCTTGTTCTTGTTCTTGTTCTTGTTCTTGTTCTTGTTCTTGTTCTTGTTCTTGTTCTTATTCTTGTTGTTGTTGTTGTTGTTGTTGTTGTTGTTGTTGTTGTTGTTGTTGTTGTTGTTGTTGTTGTTGTTGTTGTTGTTGTTGTTGTTGTTGTTGTTGTGAATTATTAATATTAATATTAACATTAATATTAATATTAATATTAATATTAATATTAATATTAATATTATTATTATTATTCATTATTATTATTGTATTATTGTCATTATTATTAGTATTGTTCTTAAAGAATTAGTGTTATTATATGATGACACTAATATTAGTAGATAATGCATAGGACCATGTGAGCCAAAGACCAAGATGACAGTTTGAGGCCGCCCGGCATCTCGTGGAGCGCTGGAGGGCGGAGCGTCTGCCAGGTGCTGTGATCCAGGGATGCTTACGTTTTTAGGGCTTAGGGGTTTAGGGTTTAGATTGGAAGGGCCCCCCACCCTGTAATAGTGGTATAATAGGAAAATAATAGGGCCCTAAACAGTGTGTCGCATTTTTGAGCATGTAGGAGCCATGGGGCGGAGAAGCAGGTAGAAGACCGTTGATGGCGAGGGTCACAGATTTTTGTGTTGCAGGCTCAATCTCCAGGCGAAGCGGTGCCTCTTCTGCCAGGTATGCAAGGCAAGGGCGGCAAGAGCAAGGGCTTTCGTTTGCAAGGCTGGTGCTCGTAGGCCTTGGTTGGTGCACCGAAAGCCCCAAGCCCCGAAGCACCCTCGAAGTCTGTTGCAGTTCGGCTGTCCCGGCCTGGTCCGGCCACCGGCGAGCTTTGGCAGCAGTCGAGTTCAGAGCTGGTGCGTCCTTTCCGCAGCTTCTCCGAGGTGAAGCATTGACGGCCCGTGACCTGCTCCGGAGGTCGGCGTCTTCAGGTGAACACATTACAAACATAATTTCGGACGCATGAACAGTCGTTATCGTCAACCTGCTGCTGTTGCTGCTACTGATACTGCAAGCTGCCACACGTAGAGATTCACGCGCTGACACCAAGGCAAGAGGTGTGGCCCAGAGGACTTTCCGGCACAACTTATGCCGACTACACCTGAAGGAGAGGCGGCCAGCCAGTACCAGGAGGCCATTTAAAGGCTGCCTCCCTCAGATCGTAACAGGCAAGCTGTCAATACCCCCCGCAATGCCCAGAGTTTATCGAGTATCGACCATGTCGTAGTTCAGTGTGCTGTCCAAAACCTCTATCAGACCCTGTGACCCTATCAGAAGCATGTCTGGGGTGTCCCAAAGTGGAGTTGGACGCCGACATGGCATGCCAAGAGGTGGTTGCATAGTAGCAACCAGGTCCGGGTCCCATTCGTGATCCAAGCTTTGAGCCAGAGCCTTGAGCTCTGCTTGTCTTTCGCTTTCCCGAAGGGAACAGGCACGAGGATTCCGAAGGAGTTCAGCGCGACCTCACAACGTCTTCTAGAGTCACAGTGCTCTGGTTGCAACCTTTCCTTAGTCAGCCTTAGTCCTGAGATTGCCATTAACTGCTCCATTTCTCCTTGTTCAATCCTCGTGTGTCGTAGCTCAGCTCGTTGTTCGGAGCTGCGGCGAGACTTTCCGCGGCAGAGATCGTCGTATGTCATAGCAATGTGTTGCCGTCTTCTTTCGTCCGCAGTCAGCCGGGCACTTGCAGCTGAACCGTTTCTGCAGATCCCAATTCGCGGCAACTTGTGCAAGACGAGTTCGACTTTTCGTGCCATCTGCGTAGGTCAGCCTAGAACAACAACTGGGCGGGATGTTTTCGATCATTGATTGTCATTGCCGACTCCGTCGTGTGCAGCTACAGCGGTACATGTACAGCTGATTCGGGTGTCAAGCCCTTGCATTCGCAGCTTTTCAGGCAGAATTCAACTTGGATACCCGTCCGTGTGTCGGGTGACTGGCAGCGTCAACTGTCAAAAGCTGATGCCAATGTGATGTCGGGCGAGAAGTCGGATGCGGAGTCTTGGGAAGAGGCCTCAAGATTTCTACTGCAACCGACCAGTGGGGGCATGTGGCGTCATATTGAAACAATTAAAATACAACGAGCCGTCCATGAGAATCATTGAAGAGCACCCTTGCCATGCAGTCCCGAACACAGCAGCGCTCTGACTACAAAACGTTCCGGAGCCCAGGCGAGGGCAGACGGCCAATCTTCGCTATCAAGAGGTGTCTGCGGCTGTGGAGAAGCACTCCGTCATGGGCTGAGGTATGAGCAAGTGGCATGCCCCGAAGCGTCGTGGAATGAGTTGATGAATGAAACCCTTGGAAAGACTGTTGGCCAAGGATCCGAAGGCTCGGAGCCGTGGGTGTGCTCACGTGCTGGATCTGCTGAAATCACAGCTGCAAGTGTTGGAGCCGAGCTGGACACGCAAAATGGTCGCTGTCTCATCGCCAGGAGAGCGTGGCCACGGAGCTGGTCCAGCAGCCAACCGTGGCATGTGCTGGACTCGGGGCACAGGAGACGTCTCTGTTGAGAAGTGCCGTCAGGCAGTGCAGCGCTGCCGACTATAAAAGATGTTCTTGCAAGTCCAGGGCACGAAGGAGATAAGCCCATGTAGCTTGAAAATCCCAATGCCCCTGCATGGTTGCGTCAGAGGAAAGCAGCGAGAGCGGAGAGAGTTGCGGACAGCTGCACTTCTGGGTCTCACAAGTTCGGCAGTAGGTTACCATAAGCAGTAGACAACGTGTAGCAAACCTGCATAAGTCGTCACACCCCAGTCTTCAGGTGTGTTTACTCTCGAAATGGGAATCGTCAGCCTGGTTCAACATGAGAAAATGTCGTGAGCTCGGACGTGAACACCAGCAGCATTATCAGCTTAACTACGCTTGCATGCAGACGACGGCACGGGAGTAAGTTGCTGCCTGGAGCACAGCACAAGTGAGGTACATCCCCGCAGAGTCGCCTTGTGTGATGATCAAGTGGGATGGTATCTCAGACCACAACCGCGGCCTGTAGACACATCTGACACTCCCGCCAGCAGCTCCGAGGACCGTGCCAACTGGCTCCCGTGGCAAGTTTATCATCCTGAACATTCGGAACCAGAACAAACTCTACAACTCTACATGCCAGGCCTTTGTGGCTTAGCTGCGAGGGTCATCAGAAAGGGCCGGGTCCTCGATGGTCGCAAAGTGCAGTCTCAGTCTCTTCGTCGAGGAGCAGCGCATTGTCTTGCCATTGCTGCATGTTGCTCGCATGCGAGGATGAAGGAGAAGCCCTCCCTCATGCTGGAATGGTCGAAAACCCGATCGCTAAGAGACGCTTTGAGAGTCGAGGCCGGAAACAATGCGAGGCTAGCTCGTTTTCGGTGCATGGCGTTTCTCATCGTGTGCCTGCGCCAGATCATCTCCGATCGAGCATCGATGAACGCTTTTGACACTGTGATGGTCCAAGAGCCTCGTGGAGATCAGAAAAAACTTTCCAGGAATCCTCAATCTGCGTTTGGGCACCTTAACATGGCAAAGACATTGCAACAAAAACAAGATGGCTGATGTTCACACCATGGTTGCTCTCTTTCTCTGTCTCGCTCTCCCACTCTGTCTGCCTGCCTGCCCGTCCGTCCGTGCGTCCGTCCGTCCCTCCGTCCGTCTGTCTCTCTGTCTCTCTCTCTCTCTCTCTCTTTCTCTCTCTCTCTCTCTGTCTCTCTCTCTCTCTCTCTGTCTCTCTGATCTCTCTCGCTAATATTGCATTACAATCACACCGAAGTCGCGAAATCACACTACGTTCATAACACATGCTATATGTTGTATTTTGTCCTGTACTGCATGTAGGCACTCGCGCCTTTGCAATGAAGAAAGAATACTTCTGGACAGTGGTAGATCCATCTCTGGGACTCGGCTTTTAGTTCTTCGTCGGACTGTCTTTCTTGCTCTGGCAAGGTCGTCTATCACCGGAAGGAGCTGAAGACACTTCTGCCGCCCCTCACCAGCCGCCATCCGAGTTGCCCAGTCTATCTCAGCCTTCGAGCTTAAGCCGAAAGCTGAACTCAGATGAGCCCCACATGTCGGTGGACAAGTGGATCTACCAGCTCCAGAAGGCTGAGAGGTTGGGCTTTGTCCGGCTGTAGGATGACTACTGCCGCAAGAAGCCGAGTGGCGGAAGGTGAGTGGTCCAGAGTGTCAGAGCGCGCTTGCCAGGGCCTTCGGCCAGATGATCTTCTTCTTGAGCCATTCCTTGAACTGGTCCCGCCCCGCTTCCTGCTTTGCACTTTTGAAGCGAGTCGTTAGGCGCTCAAAGGCGCAGGCCAGCCATGAGCAGGTATGCACGCCACTTTCGCAAAGTGTGGCTCAACAGCTACGCAGCCACATATTCCATTTCAGCCTGTCGGCCACACAAGCTTCTGCACACAGGTGCAAGGCTGTGGCTTGCCAAAGGCACATGGCTGCCATGTGGAAGATGATTTGCTTCGTGCCCCTCTTGCTTGCCGTCCAGGCACAGGGCGTTCCCGGAGAGGACCCGCTGGCTCAATGGCTGGATGACTTGAAGTTCAATTTGCAGGATGTGACACAGGAGAAGGCAGGCATCACTGTCACAGCATCGAAGCTGGTTTGTCAGAACTTGCAGCTGACAGACATCCAGTCAGCAGTTCAAGGTGTTGGCCTGTCGGTTACTTTGAACGGTGTTGGCATCAAGTGCACCGGACACTTCGAGTATCATGGCTTAGCCATTGTGAGTGGTTCGGGAGATCTTGAGGCAGTCGTGAAGAGCAGCCCCTCTTCTACAGCGACCGTTGCGTTGCAGGGCGGGAGCATCGACAAGAACGTACCCTGGACGGTGGATGTGTCTAGCTGCTCCGCTAGTATTGACTTCAAGATCAAATTCTCAGGCTCCATTATCTACACCATCGTGAATCTCTTCCAAACCCCGATCTCGTTGCTCATCAAGTCACAAGCAGTCAAGCAAGCCTGCGATCAGTTAAAGCAGATGGCAGCTGGACCACTTTCGAAGAAGCTGGCTGTTTTCAATCATCTGATGCTGCCACCAGGCTCAACGACCCTGACAAGCCTCTTGCTTGAAAGTCGCGCGGTAGAGAAAGCGGAGGAAGTCGAGGGCCTCAAGGTCACCTTCGACAGCGTTGCCGATGACATGTTTCAGGCTGAATCCAAGGCCGAGGTCCCGGAGGTCCCTAAGAATCTTCGCTACGACCGGAGGCTTCAGGAGGGCTCGGGCTCAGATGCTCCTACCGTGGACTGGAGCCGCGACCGGTCCGTCAGCTGGATGTCGTGGTTATTGGACGACGTCATTGGCCCAGAGAAGATGGATCAGGCCCTCCGCTGGGCCTGGAAGGGCGCCAAGTCTGTAGACATCCCAGGTCCCGAGACACCTGTGGCAGTCAGTACCATCCAACAGCCGGATGCCGGCCTCGAGCTGAAGGTGCCTCGCAAAGGACTTGCTTGCATACTTATGCATGTCTCTTGTGTTTTGTTATCCAACTTCCCTGGAGGTGCAGGCTTTCCTGAAGCAGGCCGTGATCGAAGGGGCCGACGGCATGTCTGCCTTCACCCCGGTGCAGGCCATTGACCCCAACGACCTGCGCTTCAAGATCAGCTGGGGTACCCCAGACATCCCAGCCTTTGGCTTCGGCGTCGATGTTCGTGTGACAGTGGAGGCCATAGATCTCCAAACCAAGCAGTCGCAAGCTTCAGTGGAGCAGGAGATGAGCCTGCACCTGGCACTCTTGAAGCCTTCTCTAGATGCCACTGGTGAGATTCTCGTCCTGGAAAGTGAGTGGCCAGGCCAACATACGCTGGCACAGTTCCTGGTGGCACCTCAAGCATGCCTCACTAGCATCTTTAAGTCGGCACCTGCCTTGAAGAAGCTACAGGCATGGCAAGCTAAAACTCGTTTAGAATAGTAGACAGGACGAAGCATCCTTGGGTCCCTGCCAATCGGCATCGCATGTTTGCCAGGTGCAGTTTGCCGGCATCGCCGCCCCTCTGAGCTTCCAGGCGAAGACAGTTGGAGCTTTGGAGGCGTCGTTGGCGGCTTTGCTCAACAACGGCGTGGCCTTGTTCAACAAGGTTTACGAGCCACTGCTTCCTGGTGCGATTGAGCGTTTCGCAGGCTCTGACGCACTCATCAACCAGCTCAACGCCAAGCTGAAAGAGCAGCTGAAGCCCGGACAGTGCATCAGCCCAACCATGGCATCGCAGCGTGCGAGGAAGACTGTTCCACAGTTCTACAGCGACTGGCCTCCGATCTTCGACAACTATCTGAGGAAGTGGATTGACAACTTCTTCGATGGCCTGATTGCCGCAAATACCACCACCATAAACCAGGGCCTCTCCGACATGCCGAAGCTGCCCCTGCCTTTGGATGCAAAGTTTTCTCTGAGAGAGTTGCAGGCCACGGGTTTGGATCAGGTGAGCAACCTCCGTGTCCTGGTGCCATCTGAGACACACAGAAGCTGGCTGGGAATGAGCGCCGTCTCGAAGTGCCCGAGCCCCCAGGCACCGTGGAAGCCCACCTTGGCCGTGAGCGGCGCTGTGGAGGCCGGGAATTTCAAAGGCAACGGCTCAGTTATCACGGAGATGCCCTGCGGCACGGCCGATGCGCAGCTAGACGTAGAGGTGGACATGTGGGCTCTGCTTGACATGCAGCTTCCGCCCAGCATGACTTGTGCCCTCTTGTCACCCTTTGCCCACCTCGACATCGAGACCTTGCACGCTACTTGGACAGGAAATGGCAACATCATCGTGAAACCAGTTGATGGACCTCCACAAGAGCCGGTGAAGCAGCTCTGTGAGTTGCACCCTCGTCTGTGCGAGCTGGGCGTGAAGTTCCGCGAGTACGTCTCGACGACAGAAGGTGCCTCCCGTTTGTACCACATGGCCCGTGATGTAGTCCTGGCACAGTGCACGGATCTTCCCAAGTTGTCGGCATCGGGGCAACTCGGGGCTCTGCCAAAGGATGCTTTAGGTTACACATATGTTGCGGCTGACAACATGAAGCTTTGGCTTGCTAGCGTCCTGATTGTCATGGCCCTCTCTGGCACATACAGCTTCTGTGCTCATCTCGGAAAGCTGATTCGAAACGATGACTGCGGTGAGGTGCTGCCGACGACACCGGTGCCCTTGGCCTCAATTTGCTGGTTCGGGAGGGCACGCTCTCAAGTCGGCATCCCCAAGACGGCGACGATTTGCACTAGCACACTCATGGCTGCTGGACTTGTAGCTCGCATCCTCGCTTGCTTCTGGCTGCCCTTTGCGGCGGCTGGTATGGCCGTCACTCAGGCCTCCGGCGCCACCGTCTTCCAGGATGATGCCTTGTTGGAGCAGCTTGGTATGTGATCCTCAAATTCTCGTGCCTTCTACTGGTAGCCAGGGCTAGGGTCTAGAGAGTCTCTAGAGAGTCTATAGGATATGTGCGCAGCTCGCAAGCCGACCCAGATACACCTTCTTCGGCATCGGCGTACAATTTGGAAAGGGGGGCTCCTTGTACTGCGAAACCTTGTGGTTCTTCATGTCGCTCGGTTCCTCATTTACATCCCATGCCATTCTGGTGCTTGTTTGGTTAACGCCTTTCCTGGCCAAGCATCGGCGACAGCTGCTGCTCCTTGCATTGGTGCTTGGCCGTTTCCCTCTGTCTGAGATGGAGACCACGGGCAACACTGCCATGGCCTTGGGCGGTGACATTCAGATGCCCTTGGGCATGACGCAGACGTTGGGCCTGGGCCTGCAGGCCGGTGCCTATGCATCTTGGTTCTCCTCGGTCTGCAGCTTGCTGGCCAACCTGATCCTGCTCAAGGTCTTGCCTCGGCCTGTGAAGGAGAAAGATTGGGCAGCCGGCAAGGCTCCGCTGAAGGTTACAGTCATGCAGGGCCTGGCGAGCTGCGCAATGATTGCTGGCCTTTGCATGTGGTGGTTCTGCGACTTCATGCAAGCTGTCACTGGAGGAGTTGCCGGCACGCTCATCGACCCAGTCTCTCTGAGTGCTTCCAGCTTGGGCAAGACCGACATGGGGCTCAGAGTTATGGTGATCTGCACCGCAATTGGCTGCCCTTTCCTGCACATCGTCGCCTTCTTGCTTGGTCTCTGGGGAAAGGCTCCTGGCCTCGCAAGGAGCTTGGCGGGCTTCGCTGCGACCTTCTGCCTCTTGGACCTCTTCGCCCTGGGATTTTTGATCACTTTCATTGAGGGTGTCAACGGCTTTGCCTCTTCCGCGATCCGTGGCCTGGCGCCGGCAGTCTGCGAGGTGGGGCTTAGACTTGAACAAAATAGGAGACTGACGATGAATAGTCAATAGTCTGATAGTATGCCGGGGACCGCGAACCTCTGCAGGTGGCCAAGGAGGCAGTGGGGGAGGACTGTCTGACCATGCAGATCAACGTGGTCCCCCTGGGCACCATCGGCTTGCTTTTGGCAGCGGGTGCCTGGAACGTCCTCCTCGGTGTGCAGGTCCTTGGAGTTGGCCAGGGCAAGGAGAAGCCAGAAGTGCGACAACCATTGGTAGAAGTCGGGAGCGTTCCTTCCACATTTCAGGAGTGCAGAGACCCGGTGGCGCCTGCATGAGGGTGCTCAATTTGCGTGTCGTTTTTGCACATGTCCGACTTGTTTATGCTTTTCCCGGGGGTTGCGGCCATCCGCCGCATGAATCGCAGGCTGGGGTTGTTTTGAACAGTACCAGAAGCAAGCTTGGAAGCAAGATGCTGCGAGAGGAGACTAGACAGTAACTCAATGAGTAGTCGTTGGGTGAAATGTCGCAGCCGCGTTGCAAGACATGGGGTGCCCCAAGGGGGGTGCACCATGTGTTTCACAAAAAGATCTCCAGACAAATTTCAATGACATCTCTCAGCCTGTCAGCAAGGCAACTTGTGCTTTGGAGATAGGCGGAGATGCCAGCTTTAAGCTTATCATTAGTCCCTTGAATCTTAACCTGCGAGGCTCTTCGGCCGGAGTCCAAAAAGAGCCCGCGGAGCACATGCGAGCAGAAGCTTGTTTCTGTGGTCGTAAAGTCCGGCTTGGTGCAGGCAGGCGGGCTCCGATGGTGGTGGATCAAGCATGGACCAGAGGAGGCCATGCAGCTGCATCCTTCACCACAAGCAAAGGAAGTCCAAGTAGTAGTTTGAATGTGTCTCGAACGCTGTGGCTTGCCTTTGGAGGGCTGGCCGCAATCTAAATGTGCTAAGCTTTTCTGGTCTTGGCTTCTTACTTGTTCCGAACAGCTTTGTTCCCAGATTGGCAGGAAGCTGGACCCCTTGAAGGAGGCAAGCTTCAGATGACTTGTTGGAATGAAACCGCGGGGAAGTCTCCGACTGAAGGCTTGGTCTGCAGATCCTCAGCGACAGCGCTTTGTGCGAGAGTTGAAGTATGCTGTGACCTCAGCCTGCAGCGAGTGTCCCACCGACAGTTGCTTAGACTTGCAAACCTGCGAAGAATCAATGCTCATTGGGCAAATCGTTTCCATTTGCACCGAGATTGATGCGACGGTGTCCTACTTTCATGCACTGGCGAACACAATGCAAGGATCTCAGTTTGATCATGGATATGCTAACAGACTCCAATAGCATCCCAGGCTGTGGATTTGGAGAGTCGCCCGTTAACTTCTGCGGTGTTCGAGTTGTTTCCAGATCAGTCGCCCAACCTTGTTACTGACTGGGCCTGCGCAGCTTGGATTGCCCATAGATGCGAAGCGAGGGAATGAGCCACAACGGACAGAGTTCTGCAGGCTGCGCATCTGCTCAAAGTCAGCAGTCGCATGTGAAAGCAACGAGGGTGGTGATGAGCTGTGCTGGTAAAGGTTGCTTTTCATGGTCGGCCACTACTTATCAGCTTCATCCGGTTTTCGGAGCAGACACGAAGCACGGAGAAAACGCCGGACGGATATGGCCCACCTGCTGTTGATGTGGACGCTCGTCGGCGCGGCACAGCCGCTCGGATGTTTCCGCGTTTCCTAGCTCAACTAGCCGTCTGTTCCTGTTGCATGCAGCACTCCTCCCAAGATCGGTCGAACTGCCCAAAGATCCAGCTGCTTGGTTCCAAAAATTTGATAGTGTCGCGAGTCGAAAGAGGCGGGGGGACCGGCGCCTCCTTCCGTTGCTCCGTTGCGCTGTAAGGCTGGCTTCCAGAAGGCCTTGGACGAGATGGACCCGGCCCAGTGCGCCGCTCGGGGCGGTCTCTGGCCATCTCTCGCAGCTCCCGGTTCTCCTGGTCCTGGCCTGAGAGGCGCCACGCAGCTTTGCAGCGCATGGGAATCAGCGCCGGCCTGCGACCACCGCCGCGGCCTCTCGAGAAATCCCAAGCCCGGAAGCTGATGCTCCTTGGTTTTGGCAACAGATGGCCAGAGACTTTTTGGGTCGTCTCAAGGGTTTGTTTGCTCGGGGTTGAGGATGCGCAGCAACTCTGGATCCGAGTGCGATGTGTTTTTGGGCCAAGCTGCGGCGAGCAAAGGACAAGTCTTTTGCAGAACCTTCGGTTGATCTCCGAGCAGCTGGCAGAGGCTTGGAAGCTGCATGATGCCAGGACAGCCAAGCCGCCTTTCTGTTAGTTGGAAGCACACAAGTCACGACCAGAGGAGGGGTAGTAGCATAGTGGAGAAGGACGTACGAGGAGAAGCTGAGAGCCTCATGATCGCAATGTGGCAGCTTTGGCTTCGACTGGCTGCTTTCTGATTCATGTGGCCGCTACCTAGGCCACCTTGCCATACGTGGAGGACATATTCAGCCTCTCCTCTTCAATAATGGCTATTCTGAGAGATCTGACATTCTCTTAGTCACCTAGAAGCCCTGACATCTGCGCATCCTCTACGCAGGCCCTACCATGGAAAAATTCGGCTTTTCCACCGGGTGGCCGGGCTCCTTCCTGGAGGCCCCTCATGCCAAGCTTTCAAGCCTGTAGTTGAGGGGCAGGTAGGAGAGAGATGTGCTAGGGCACCAACTCCCCACACAGCCTGTGGCCTCCATGACGAGGTGATCCGTTCTGTGTCGGCAGTGAGCAACCGTCGCTCAGCCGGACCTTGGTCTCCTGCAGTTCGTCAGAAGCATCGTTTCCATGCTAGAATGCCTGTTTTTTTTTTTTCGCGGTGCGGTTGTACTGATGTCGACTCCTGAATCCCAGGAACTGGATCCATCAAAATTGCGGCAATGCTGCTCAGCTGAGCAGCAGCGGACAGTCCCGGGTACTTATCCGTGCATGTCGAACCCCATTCATGGTCTCGGTTGTGCACACGCTAGCTCAGCTGCAGGCTTGATGAGATGGACTCGCTGCTGACTGGGCAGCTGCATGAGCCGTCAATCCAGGGCGAGCTCTGAGAAAGCAGATTCCACCAAGCCTGAGGGGCAGAAGCGCCTGGACCAAGCCAAGCACGGCCTGTCGCGGTGCTCTTCCCCAGGAAGCTCGCGGCGGGTTGACGACGATGTAAATTGCAGAGCCACCTGAGCTTTGCAAGCCCTTACCGTAGCGGATCGTCCACGTATGTTACAGGACTTCCTTCCAGTCCTTCGTCCATCAGTTCATTGCTGCTCTCTGCGACGAACCAGAGAACCGCGAGCGGTGACTTCTAACATGGAGTCTGCGCCTCTAAGGCTGCAGATCACTTTTAGCAACGCAGGAAGCAAAAATCAGCTGGTGTTGAGGCCCGAGGCAGCACGAGCGCACTGATCCGATCGATGTGTGTGAAAGCGATAGATAGATGCGAGTTTCATCGTGATGCATTTTTTCCTCGTTGTGTGCCTTGGTCATCGCTGCTGAGCAGCAGCCCCCATATGTATGATATGTATTGTTGACGCTTGCGGGGTACAGGGTATAGGCGTTAAGTATCGTGCCGGTTGGATGTCAGCTGTCTATCTGTCGCATGACATTGACTCGCTTGCCCCTTGCCGTCATTCAGTTGGATTTCTCACGACGCCGCTGAGGCCGGAAATGCAAGCGGAAGCCTCAGTTGCTTGAGGTACTCAGTCAAGGTTCGTGCGGGGCTCGCGACCCTGTAGTCGAGCAGACACGAACGGCACAGGAGAGTTCAGGGTCCGCATCCGAAGATCCAAGGAAAAAGAGATCGACTTCAACATGCGCCTCAAGGGCAAGGCCACCGGTACACAAGGCGGCAGCCTCGGAGCGATGGGACTGCTCATGCCAGGGACAAGAGCATCTGAATATCTGGCCATGTAGAAGCGTCTGAAGGGGGAAGCTTTCGACTCTCTACTTGGCAGCACATCTTGGGCCAAGCTGAACATGCCGTTGCCAAGACGGTGCTGGAAGCGCGCATGGATTCCATACGATATGTAGAATCCAGAGTCATGACCTGCATCCCGCTACCCCGTTCTTGTGCGAACAAAATCCAGCCGGAGGGTGTAGGGTAGCTGGTGTTCTCCTGCAACGATGGTGGTCCCGACGTTGCAGTAGTTGCAGCTTGGACCGGAGGCCGGGGCCAGGCCGCCCGGCCGCAAGACGCATCGGCTGCCGAGTCTCCGAAGGTCACGGCTGCGCTTTCGCCATGATCCGGCCGGAAACCCTCATCGGCTTGGCGGCACTTCACCCCGACCCCTCAAGCAAGACGCTCCAGGCGAAGAGATCGACCCCTTCTTGCCTTCATCTCTGATCTCCCTCTCTCTCTCTCACGCAGGTGCGAGACATGTCTTATACTGCATCGAATCTATCATCTTGTGTTGACTCATCGCCTGGACATAGGATACTGTATTCTTGCTGCCATACATGTGTGTATGCCCATGAACATAATATGTACATATGAGTTAAGACATATCCAGACTATGTTCAGACTACATGCACCTCGGAATGTCCTGACTTTCATTTGTCGCAGAGGGCCTCAGCGTTTCCTCGCTCTACGGTGCAGTGGGGGGCTCGGCTATTTGCTTGCGCGTTTGGGTTTGTCGGGATGCTACGCATAAAACGGAGAATCAGCCCAGGGGGATGACTTCTCTGAAGAGGATCAGCAGGCAGTTAAAGATTTCAGGCCGTCTACCTGTGGCCGTGTTCGAGAAGACCTTGTGATTCATGCAAAAAGCTGCGCTCGCTGCTGTTGGGGCAGGGCTGCCGCACGAAGCTGCTATTCGAAACTCAGCCTGATGCCTGGAAGGCGTGTTGCTCAAAACCCCACTGTCATGTGGCATACTCACTGAGGCAAGAAAGCTAAGAGCAAGCTGGTCGAGGTCGGGGAGCCTTGGCTGCAGGATGATGTTACATTGCAGCCAGGCCGCTGCACGAGAAAAGTCAAGTCGCCAAATGTAGTAGCTGCTGGCCTCATATCGATGACTCCCAGCTTTTCCCAATGCGAGACAACACACATTACTGACTTCGTTCGGCATTTGCGTGACCAGATCAAGGAAGCCTGAGCTCCCGCAGACTTTTGGAGCCATGGCGGAGGATAGTCCCTTCTCATGGGACTATCATCGGGCACAGAGGATGGAGCTGACGCCCACGCAGCTGCAGCAGGAGTTCACGCAGATGGATGCCGCTGCAGAGGAGCTCTCGCCTAGAGCACGAGAGCCGTCGGTGGCTCCGACAGAACTGGATGCTCCGACAGAGCTGGATTCGCCTGGCTCGGGGAGGCATAGTGGCATGCCGTCTCCTGGTGCGGCTTCGCTGGCTAGCACAGTGCCGGGGTTTCCAACTCCGTATGCCAAACGGGTACGGAAGCAACAGATGCAGGCCAGAGAGGCAGCGGTGGGGGCTGAAGCCTCTCAGGCTGCAGAGTGCGTAGATCCTGAGTCTGGGAAGCCTGGCATGCTTGCAAGCCAGTATACGCAGGGCTTCTTCAACACGCCTCCAAGAAAGAGGCGCAGCGAGAGGAACTTCAGCCCGCCGTCCCAGGAGGCGGCAGGACAGAGAGTTTCGGCCAGCAGTGCAGCTCCGCCGACAGAAGATCAACCGCCGCCACGAAAGAGGCGCAGCGAGAGAGACGTCAGCTGTTCGTCTCCACAGGTTCCACAGCAGATGGTTCCGGCTGACAGTGCAGATCCGACGACGCAGGAGGTCGTTCACATGCTTGAAGCCCAGCTACCCCCGGAGGACGTCGTACCGCTGTTCAACGAGAATCCAGACTTCCAGATTGCAGTGGAGACACACCAGGAGTCCGTGGCATTTTCCTTGTTTGAAGTCTCCTGCGAGGTGAGTCGGCGGCTATGGCTCATCTACTGTCTGGGGCTCGCGGATGCAAACTCCTGGCGCGAGAAGCACGATGGAACTTACAACCAGACCTTCACGAACCATGGAATGGCGGCTATAGGACGTTACCTGCTCCACGGCGCACACCAAGTGTATGACGAAGCGAAAGCTGTAGAGAGGAACCTGAGCGCACGTGACTGGGCGAAGCGACAGAACTACCCTATGGCAAGGCGTGGGACGGAGACGATCGTACATATTGCGCCGCAGCAGCGAGTCCCCTGGGATCCTCGAGTAGTGCGGAACTCGCAATCTGAAAATGCCGCGCAGATGACTTTCAGCGCGCCGAAAAAGAAACCTGCTGCTGCGACAAGCAACGCGCCGAAGAAGAGGCCAGCAAGTGCGGGGGCCAGTGGGCAAGGACAAAAGACCTACTCATTACGATCTGACTGGGGGCTGGAGCCATGTGTCTACTACTGGGTGTTTGAGGCATGGCGCGTTACGGGGGCCAGGTGTCAAGTAATCCATGTCTGAGGCATGGCGGGTTGGAGGGGCCATGTGTAGAGTAGCCGGTGTTTGAGGCATGGCGGGTTGGAGGGGCCATGTGTAGAGTAGCCGGTGTTTGAGGCATGGCGGGTGGCGGGGGCCATGTGTCAATTGATCCGTGTTTGAGGCATGGCGGGTGGCGGGGGCCATGTGTCAACTGATCTGTGTTTGAGGCATGGCGTGTCGCAGGGGCCATGTGTCAATTACTCCATGCTTGAGGCATGGAGGGTCGGCAGGGTCTAGGGGCTCTTTTTTCATCCCTGTCAGGTTGGTCTGTATATGAAGCCTCTCCCAGCTGTTCCACATCAGTTTGTGCCGACAGTTGACGAGAACGAGCTTTGGCCTTTGGCTCAGCTGTGTTCGGAGCAGCCTTTCCCCGTGCAAGAACGACTCCAACAGCTGGACCCGAAGACGACTAAAGCCTGTAACGTCTGGTTCATCCTCAGTGCCTACTTCAACGATTTCCTCGGCCACCGCTGTCCACGACTCCGACAGCACCTAGCCCAGACGGGTCAGCAAGTGCTGCGCGAGCTGAGCTTGCAGGACAATCTGCAAATAGGCATCGTCCATGCTTTGGTGTTTAACAACTTCGTGAAGGTTGGAAAGACGATTTTCGACTGCCACAGCTCCGTCTCGCGGTCGGCCTTGGTCGCCAGGCTGCAGAAGTACAAACAGGGACTAGGAGCCCACACCAAGCTGACACACCTCCCGGTGCTCTTCCTCTGCAAGACCGACTCTCACGCGAAGCTGCTGGAACAGTACACGCACTGCTGGACGCGAGAGACTTGGCCCGAAAGCGTCCTGTCCTTGCCTACGGACCCTTGCAGCGCGACTGGCCAGGAGACCTACAAACTCGAGTATCTTGAAACGGTCCTGGACGTCCTGCACCGAAGCTCCCAAAAGAGCGTGAGCCAACTGACTTCTGGCAAGAGCCTGCTGTATCAGAGGCAGATGAAGCTTAGTGGTACTTCGAAATATTGATTTTTTAATGTCTAGTTGCTCTAATTCCTAAGAAACAGCTGAATTTACAATTTTTGCTAGGGTTCCATGTTCAGTCTAGGCAACGCGACAATGAGAAGCGTGGCGTGGTAGTCAAGGACGAGTCCAACCACAGTGCTGATCTATGAGTGCTTCACGACCATCTCTTTTGCCAGAGTCACTCATCTGGCCAGTCTCGCTCTCTTAGAGATTCGCGACTACAAGTTTTGCCGGACTTCCTCGTCTGGCCTCCGAGTAGCACTGCAGCTGGCTCCGTGTTGTACAGTAATCGAGTCACGCACAAGCAGTGCCCAGGGCGAAATAAGAGAGACTCGCATCTCCGTGTCTAGCGTCCCTCATACGTTACTGCTATGCTTGCGTCGCAGTGCCAGTCCCCAGTCGACACATTCCCTGGACAAGATTCCAGGAGGCAAGAGTATGCGTAATGGCACAGAAAAGCCGAGGACCAAATGTTTGGTTCTGCCGATGACGAAGCTGATGCCGAGAAAGTGCACGAAGAGGCGAGACAAGTACAGCACTTGGCTGCCTGCAGACCACGACAAGTGCAGGAAATGGAAGCCATGAGCTCCTTCTGGGAAGCTGCCACGAAAGCTTCGGTAAGTCGCTTTGCATAATTAAGGGGGGCCCTCAGCCAAGTCTGCTGCCTCTGTTGTCTTGATTCAAACCTGTTGGGCAAGTTACCGTGTTTGCCCGTTTGGGCAGCGCGATGCTGAGTTTGCATTTACCAGCGACCAGCTGAATGCTACAAGGTGCGGATTCCTTGGAAAGCGCCTACAACCTGAAAGCAGGCCAGGTGTGTGTCTTTGTGTGACCTCAAGAACCACGAAATGCATGTGTCATCAGTCCCAGGCAATTGGCTGGGGAATGGCAAATGGGGATGGGTGATGATGGCGCCGAAGAAGGGGTCGGACAAGCAGGCAGAATTTTGCATGTCGGATTTGCCGGTGATGCCGAGCAGTTGAATACTCGCCCTTTGGAAGATGCTAAACGGAGGCGGTGCTGAAGCTCAGCGACGTGCACCACGCAGATGTCAATGCAAAGGAGTGGGTTTACGGAAGCAAGAGCCTTGCCTGCAGTGCCTGGGAAGATGCACCATGATGCGACGCAGTGGCCTGCTGGTTTGCACCCGCCTTCTCTGAGGATGGGCAAAGGTCACGAGAACATAGTGCTGTCCCCAGCTACTATATGCAGCACAGTATTTGGCTGAAGATGGATTGTTTCTTTGTTGCTGTGGTGAAGATGTGACTCCAAGGTGCGATACGAGGAGGTTTTCCTGTATGCAGATGACAATGGGGTGCTGAAGAAGTGCCTTCTCGATGGATATGCAGCAGGAGTGTGTGCGTTGCAGCCCCATGTCCTCAGCTAGCGACGACCATTGAATTGCCGAATTCCTCCGGCGCTCGTCCAGGAAAGTTGAAGTCGGACATTCAGCGCAAGAGCTTTCCTACACACTACGTGTGCCCAGGATGATGTTGTTTGATTTGTCCAAGCTTGCGGGTTCATGAACGGGGTTCAGCCCCAGGTGCATGACAATCGAGAAGATGAATGCCGGAAGTGTGCAGCACTGGCTTGACAAAGAGCTCCTGAGCCCGGAGGGGAGCCTTGTGCGTCTAATTTGAGAAGGCTTCGTCTGGTGGTTGAGAGTTGCTTGCGTGGTTGACTGAAAATTTCCAATGGAGAGGGTACTTACACTCAACAGTTGGTGGAGCGGGCTCCAGGGGAGGCTGTGCTCAAAGACGGTCCTCGCTAGACAACTTGAGGGCCACTGAAAGCAAGGGAGCCAGCAAGGCGAACATTGAAAGTCCACCTCCTGAGGTCAAAGATAATTAGGTTCAAGCACTGATGTGTGTCTGGAGATTGCAGCTGATGCACGTCATTTTTTATCGGGGTGCCGCCGGGGGAGGGTTGGCGCCTGCACTTTGCCAAGGATGATGGTCATCCTGCAAGAGATTGCGGCTGCTCTGGCCTATATGCACGAGAACGGCATAACACACAATGATATGAAGCTCCGGCCTGAGCCAAGTTCTATTCCACGCTCTGGAAATCAGAGCTTACTGCACCGACCCCAGGCCCGAGAACATCTTCTTGCACAGCAAAGGCCGTGCCAAACTCAGTTACGGTGGGAAGGGAGGATGCTGCTAAGAGGCCGGTGACCATGACGGGGATGTGTTTGCAAGTGCGATTCGGCTCGGTACTTGATAGAAATTCAGTTTAGCAGACTGTGAATGTCAGATTTCCTTGCGCCTTTGCCCCAGGCTACATTCACTCGAAGCTCGGTGACCTCGGCCTTGCACAAAAGTCCAAGAACAGGACCTCCGATGTCACACGCTCCTCGGCGCATCCCAGTTATTGCGGGCTGGGGGATAGGGGAGGCACCATGTGCCTAGACCATCTGGGTCTGCTTGTTGTTGCTCTTGCCACCGGGCACGTGGACATGTTATTTCTTCAGTGGGTTGTTCGGAGATATTACAGCGCCCAGGTGCCAGCCTAGGCATTGCATCGCGTGGGGTTGTGTTTATGCTTGTGGAGTTTGAACTCTCCGTGCCAAGGATATGGGATGACCGGCTTCTGCATGGCTACAGGCAGATCGCTAGCTGTCAGAGAAACTTCTAACTGCCATGAATACTGATATTGCAGGCGAGCACTATGGAACACGACACTACTCGAAGGAGCTGCATGCACAGCAACATGTCACTGCGATGATTTGACTCAGGATGTGCGCCTGTGCGCAATTTCGCCATGTTGTTGCCACGTGCATCAAGAAGCATGCATCAGAGCATCAGACGGAAACCGTCAGAAGCGAAAGGACAAAGTTTCGACCTTCGTGTCAGAAGTGGAAGCCTGTGTGGCTTGGCGGTGTGGTGCAAGACATGCCAGGATGTCCCTGTAGCAGACTGTAGCTTAAAGCCCGTAGGAGCATGTCAGAACTGATGGGCGTGCATCTCGTTCGGATCCTCGCAGCGAGCTCACCTCAAACCTGAGCCCCCGAAGCTGTGTTTGGTTTTGTCAGTAGGCATAAAGCCTGCTGATTCCTTTCGCCATCTGACGAAGCAGCCGCTGAAGTGCTGAGCCTGAGCACCGAAAACGAGGTGAGCGGATGCGGGCTGACAGGGAAGCTGGGCAACGCGCTCCAGGAGTCTTGGTCTCACACAATGTTCATGCTACTGCACGATTGCTATTGCAATGATATAGATCTATATGGGAGTTTCCGGAAATTAGGGGTACCTTATTTTGGGATCCTTGTAATAAGGATCCTGCTATTTGTGGTACTATATGAGGATCCCTTAATTGCGGAAACCCCCATATAGATCTGCCAGTTGGAGTTATACTTTGAGGGCTTGTCATCATGACTATGTCCACTGACAGTTCAGCATCATGTCAATGAGGGCATGAGGGAGGCGAGGACGAGGTTCTGTGCCCTTCTCTGCTCGGGGTTTCGAAGCTTTCGAAGAGTGCGCGCTGAGGATCTGCCAAGACTCCTGGACCAGGTGGGTTTACGTGTGGGGGGGTGATGGGAGGGCGGGAGGTTATGAAGTTTAGGGTCAATACAGACTTAGGAAAACTGTTTCTAGGGGGATTCGGTGTTCGGTGGTTCCGAACGTCTCGATGTGAACCGTAGCCAAGAGTTGCTGTCGCCCATGTCGCTGAGTGTAGTCTGTAGATTGTGGCCTGCGAAATGCCCATGAGCAGCAAGACTCGCATATGTCTTTGCCTTTCCTGTCAGAGCAAGCTGTCCTGTGCAGGTACTGTCCGAAAAAGCGACTTGCCAGAATTGATTGCAGCCTAGCAGCTGGCATCTCCGGTATCATGACTTCAAGCGAAACTGCTTGGCAAGTTTTGTTCCACCATCCACCATGAGTTGGAAGCCTTCACTTGTCAACGCTTATTCATTATCCTAGTGTCCTGTGTGCTCTTTCTAATGCCAGTGTTGATCACGGTTCCTGATGGTATGATTGTTCAGCGACGCTTGGGTTCGGCGAGGCGACCATGAAGCAAGTCCGGGATTGGCGCTCGATACAGGGCTTCCAGTTTCCGGACGACAGCTCCTCAGGCTGCCTGCTTTGTCTTGAACGTCGACAGATGCCCGGGGGCATCAATACTGTAGAGAACATGAGTCATGGCCCTTTGCTGGTGGATAATTGCATGTGGGAGATAGTACCCCATCTACGGTTTCTCTGCCGATTTTTGTTTTTTTTTGGGGGAGGGGGGGGCTGTGCAGGCCTCACGCGATCGAGTTCCGAGACCTTCGTCGGCAGCAAGGTTCCGGAGGAGCTCGGTCATGCGCCACTTCTTAAGATCGCGTGGCATGCAGGCGCGTTTGCACTGGCGCTCATATTGTGAGGAGAGTTCTGCATCATCTGGTGGGTACAACAGCCGGACCACTGAAAGGAGGCTCGCACCCGAGCTTTGCGAATAGCCTCGCAGGACTAGCACGCAAAGATCACGGGGCACGGGCTCCAACACCCCAGTGTCAGAGTGACACATCCTGTGATTCTGAAATTCTACCGGACAGGACCTCCGTTGAAAAGTCCAGATCCGCCTCCGTCTCAGAATAGCTGAAAAGGTAAACTTCTTTGCGAGATGTACCAACTGCTTGGTATCCCAGTCCGTGGACCTCACGGCGAGAGCGAGAAAGAAGATCGACATCGACACGGAGTGGCTGCTTCAATGCAATTGGGGTCAGGTTAGTCATTTAGTCTTTGGCTGCTGGCCCATCCCGTACGGTACGTAAACCTTTAGTTCGTTTGTGCAAATGTCTATCGTTGTACGACAAGCTACGTCTCGCCTTCTGTACAAAAAGCGGGCGCTGATGCTCTCAAGACAGGGCCCGCCTCGTGCCAGCACAACCTGCAGTCAGCAATCCGAGGTCTCCTAGAGCATCCTTGTCGAATGGCCTTCCCATGAAAGAGTCTCCAGCCAAGCGAGCGCAGCGACGCCTGAGCAGATGGGACGATTAATGGGGCCTCCGCGGCTCGTGCAGTTGCATGCTGTCGCCCATCTGCTTGCATCCTACATCGTGCCAGGGCGGAAGCCTTTTCGAAGGGGAGCAACCTAGATGGAGTTACCACTTGCATCAGGAGTGGGAGCGGGAGCCATGTAGTCAAGGTCCCAGCTCCTTATAGGTTTGTGATCCTTGAAAAAATCTGGCGGAGCCACTGGCACCTGCCGATACACGAAAGCTGAATCGATAGGCGCTCTGCTGAAGGCCGAGATGCCCGATCAGTCTTTCGATTCTTTAAGAAGCTTAGAACACGGGATCCGTTTTTTCGCTGGGTTCTCGGACATTCTCTGGACATGTGCGTGGGTTCCAATCTTGAGTGTGTGTGTATATCTTGCAACCATCCATGCTTGGAATGATGCCTTAAATCAGAGAAGCCTGGCCACTGTGCGATTCCAATGGAACTGGTGTACAGGCACCACTCTCCTGTGCCCGGGAGGATCGTTTCAGTAGACTTTGCCCAAAGTGCGGCAATACTCGAGACTACGCAATGAATGGGCAAGCAGCCGACGATGTGATGCCTCAAGCATCCTTGGAAAGAGTGGTCGTGTTTAAGCCGCCTGCAGCTTGAATTCCCTTGCTTAGGAAACTTCGACAGCCCCGGGAGTAAAGGCGGGGCGGCGGGTGTGTGGGTGTGAGAGCGTGATTCGGTACGCTTCTGGTTTCGTTTGCTTCCTTTGACAGTATACACATGGGCACGGTTCGGCGGGCTTTACTTGCGTGGTGGGCATTGGTCCGGACAGCTTTGACTTTGACACGACGTCTGGTGTCTTGTCAGAAATGGCTCACGAAGCCGTGTCATCCTTCTTTGTATGCCCGAGGCGCAAAGGCTACCAAGGATGACGGTCAGCAAGTGGCAAAGCAGAAGGTGCATCACATCGAGAAGCTGTGGCCTGGTGGGAGTTACCATGGTCGCTTTCAGGCCCGCGTTCTGAAGGTCTTAGTCCGGCCAGAGCCTCAATGAAGTCTTGTAGGTCTTAATTCCGAGTTGGAGGACGGGTTGCGTCTCAAGCTTTGCAGGCTGTGGCTGTACTGTTTCCTGCGGAACCACACGAACGAAAACTTCTTCTACATGTGGGATGCTCAAAGCTGGTTGGCAGAACCTCGGCGAATGCTAGCTGGATGCGATTTTGGAAAGGCGGGGATACATGGATATCATCGACGACATGAACGGGCCGCTTATTTGCGCTTCTAGACATCGAGATGTCTTCGCTGCGATTTCGTGGCTGCTTGCCGGCCAGGCGGGGTTTGGGAGCCTCCGACGTTTTCGTCACACTCCTCAGCCTGATCCTTGGACGCGAACGCGAAGTACAGCTTCCAGTACACTTTTCGAAAGGTCAGAATCGGGACCTCGTCCGCAAAGTCAAGCCGGAGACTGTCACAAGGCCTTTTTTTGTTTCTCGCAGACATCCGGAGTTTGACCGCTATCCTTGAAAGAGACTGCAGCTCGTCAAGGCGCAAGAGTGTTGTACGACGCAACCTTGACCATGCACAGGTTTCTGAAGTTCATCCGGATTCTTGGGCCCCTGGACACCTGGCTGCATTTCCTCAAGGTGCCGTCGCCATGACTGCATTTGTGCCACTATAGCCTATAGCCTTTGCATTGGGTCCTTCGTGCGCAGGCCTTGTGCGATCCGCAGAACGGTGGAGCTTTGAGCGATAAGCAGCAGCTTGTCCTCTCCAAGATTGCCTTCCCAGGCGTTTGACCTTGCTGCAGACCATCGCTGTTTCCCCCCTTCTGCGCTTTCAGGCCTATTGGCTCCTCAGCAAGAGAAGACGGCGGTGGAGCGCAACCGCGAGGACCTGACAATCCAGAATGGGATAAGGCAAAGGCTATCTGGTGCTCCACAGAGCAGCTGATACCCGGCGAAATGCCCAGAGGAGCTCATGATCGCCCTTGCACTTGAAGGGAGCTGGCCTCGGAGACAGCGAGGGGTGACAGGGGCGATGGCCTTAGCGGTCAGGCCGATCGGAAAGCCGCTGGCGCGTCTCGGCCAAGTGGATCCGAAGGACCTAGGAGATTCTCAGGTATAGAACTCATACTCGAGGCACCATGTAGACGATGTGCAGGACTGCTTGGGCACCCCGTTGCTCACTCACGGGGTCTGCGCCTCAACAGCTCGCCATTCGCTAAGATCGAATTGTCTGGCTTGGTTCCTTGTGATGCTGAGATTCACGACGTGGCTATCGCATGGACGCATCCAGTAGCATGGGAAGTTGGAAAGGCTGGATGATGCATGGGCACATGCAGGCGTTAGTTCACACTCAATCTGCCAGACCTGTCAGAGGTGCTGTACCACGGGCCCGAACAGCTGAACCTTCCAATCCTGCGCACCAGCAGCTCCAGCCTCGTCTGAGCTCACTAGGCGGCAGAATGCCTAAGACGGCTCGCCCGAGGAGGTCGAAAGTGGGTCTCCTTGGCGCAAGTCGTTTGTGCCTCAATGTGCGTACGGTGCCATGCACGCTCAACCTCAGCCCTTCTGACCTGTGCTCAACCCTTTTTACCTGTGTGATTGCATCCGAGGTCTGGGTTCTGCAACCCAAAGAGCTTTGTCAGGCAAGGTCTTGGCATGTGTGCCGACTCTTATCATGCCATGGGTCCTCAGGAAGTAACGGGCCAAAGCTGGACGACGGTCTTGCAGACAGAGGCATCTGAAGGGCACTTACCACATGATACTTGATGCGCGATTTGGGCGGCTCGCATCGCAGGCGAAAGCGGTGAGCAGTGCCAAGATCTCGGAAGTTCGAGTCATGCCTGGAAAATGAGAGGAACTCCAGTCGCAGCCCAATTGCCAAGCAAGGATTGGCAGCATGCAGGTTTGACGGGGAAGCCTCACAAATCCAGGTTCCACGGGAAGTTAAGTTGGAAGTCGAGGAGCTGTAGATGGTGTCATCTCGAATGACCAGAGCACTGCCAGGGATGCGGGCAACCCTTTCGATGTCTCTCGGATCGACTTGCTCCGGATGTTGGCCCGTTATTGCCAGGTAGCCCGCTGAATCTTAGAGCAACGCTCGCAGCACGTGCGATATCTCACGATGCAGGCCCAGCTGCAGCTGGTAGCATCCTTGGCCAAGGCCAGGGCTTTTTGAAGGATGAGACACTGTCGCCGCATCCAGTGCGCGCAGCGACAAGGACCGGCAGATGAACAGCATCATGGTGGCAGCCTTACACGGCCTTCCACCCTGAGTCAATCTGCGAGCTGACTGCCTTCGAACAGGCGTTGCAGGAGGAATATTCCTACAAAGTTTGCTTGAGTGGTGCTGCGGACACCCGATTGCTGCGACCTCAGTCGCTCCGGGAAGGAGCGAAGGAGGACTGCGAGAGGAGCCTCTGTTCGTGGAGGCCGTCGAGTATCCGTGCGAGCTTCTTCGACCTCCTCATGGCATTGTGGGTGGATAGGCATCCACATTACCAGGTACGGAACCATCGTTTGTGCAATCGAATGGCAGTTGCATGGCACGTTTCCGCTGGTCTCTTTGTTTGGCCAGCCGAAGGTGGTGGTGTCCGATCCTGAGCTTTATGGACTCCAAGGACAGAGCCCAGGGCCCAGGCAATTCAAGCGCGATGTTTGAGGCCTCGCCTGATGCGCTCTGCTCGTCCTGGACAGGCGACTGCCTTTTTGCACATTCGGAGTGCGGCATTTGGTGTTCTGACCCTGTGGAAGAGGCAGTCCTGACTTTGCCCGTCTTTCGGCTGGCCAAGGACAGTACGCCATAGAATTTGTGATGATGGCTCCTGTTGGGCAGTATGAGAGAAGAGTGCTTCAAACTTTGTGCAGTTCGGGCTCAAGACTGCAAAGTGGTCTCTGGCTAGGCCGTAATTTGTTCAATGCTCCGTCCGTAGATGAAATGCTTGGAGGGCATCTGAAGATCGGCATAGAGCATGCGCTGTCGAGTGCTGGTATTATGCGGATTGTTGATGCCCTACGCCGCCGAGCGACAGGGCCCTGGTATGATCATGTTCAGAACCGCAGGCAACTGAGCTTCGGACTGTGCTGAGGAGTCCCGTCGCTCGAGAAGTTAGACATTGAGAAGCCGCAAAACGAAGGGGAGTTCGCTGTCCAATCGAGGCCAGACAACAAGGTTGAATTTGAATTACACTGGTCGAGTGCTGCAGGAGTTTCCAAACGGAGGCCTCGCGCAGCTTCTTGAGTCGCCAAGACCCCAAGAGATCTCTCAACAGCACGAGACAGACGTGTCAGAAAGAAGCGACCGAGGTCACCCAGACAGCGACGCGTCACTTCTGGCAGTCGGGGGCTCAGGGGTACAGCAGGGCTGTTTGTTCCGGCTGTTTCTTCTCTAGGAACGAGCCGATGCTCTTCAGCATTTCCCCAGCTCTTGCACCAATGGAACCCTCCGGCTCACTGGCAAGTACGAGGTGCCTTTCAAAAAGTGCAGACCTTGGGACTTGTCGTGCCGAGAATAGCAAATGCCGCGAACAGGTCACAGAAGTCGTCGCGGTTCAAGGAGATTGCGACATCGTCGGTGACGGTCCGGGCCCCGTTTGAGGCATAAAGTCTGCAAGTCCTTGCCTGTGATCTAAGGCGCAGAGCTGCAGCTTTACGAGCGTTTGATCTTCAATGGAAGCGTGCACTTATCCGGAGTCATCAGAATCTCCGCTCAGCGCGCTTTGCTTGGGGCGTGCCTGAAGGTAGCAGGCAACTGCACCGTAACGAAGAGTGCAGAAGTGGCCTTCGGGGGCTGCAGCAACGAAGCCGTCATTGGAGGCAAGAGAATCGGCAACAAGGGGGAATTCAACAGTCGCAAAGGCGGCGGCAGAGGCCTTCAATATGTAGAACGAGGAGGTGGTCTCAATGTTGTGGGAGCCCTTCAGATTCTCGGGAATCTGAGCTTTCACAACTGCCACAGCCTGGAAAGTGGAGGCGGCGCAGCCAACGTCAGAGGTTGCTGAGCTGCCACAGTGGAGCGTATAGGACACATAGAGATCATGAAATGTTGGACGTAAGCATTCACATGCCTCTCTGAGCTGCAGCCATAGTTCGCATGTAGCCTGTACGGGGAGCTTCTGGGTTATGGAATGACGGTCGAGGTCCAGTGCTGCAACAGGGCGGAAGCCTTGTGGTGACTGACTGCTCCTCCGAGAAACTTGGAGGCGCCGGCCTTCCTGGGTCTTCAGAAGCCCCATAATGATAATAGTAATAATAATCGTACCAATACTAATGTAGTAGTAATAACTAATACCTCTTTGTTCTTTATGACCGTTCGTGAGAGCTCTAATTAAGCCCCAAAGGCGGCATCTATGCTCAAGAAGGCTTTGACCAGTCTGGCGGAGATGTGCGGATCTCCAGAGTCAGAGCAGGCAACAATGGAGGTGCCGCGACTTTCGTGACTAGCGCCGGAAGTGAGTCGCGTAGCCATGATAGGACAGACCCCTGAATGCAGGTGCCATCTTGGCAATGGGACGGTTCAGCCAGTCTGGTGGCACAATGCTTATCCAAGAAAGCACCATCACGAACGGTGAGGGAGGCCGGGTTGGAATTGCATTCACGGCAGGCAGCATGCTCCAGATTGGCAGTAGCCCGTTAGTGAATTCCGGATTGTGTGCTACTGTAGAGCTGCCCATGTTCAAAACGAGGAGGTGCCATTGCCACTGCTCCCGCTCCACACAAGCAGACTACCTTCGTCCAGTCTGGTGGCACCTTGCGAATAGAGCACAGCTCAGCCCCGAAAAGTGACAAAAGGGGAGGAGGTGGAGGCCTTCCAGCATCTTGCAAAGATCCATGTGAGCTGTGTCGTGCTCGCATGCAGAAAGACCAGAAATGGCAGGAGCCATTTTCACGAACTTCTTCTACAAGTCAGGTGGCCATCTAGCATTCAACAACTGCTCGGCGGTGTCCAACGCCAAATCCGACAGGTTAGGAGGCCACTCGTCTGCACTGGAGGGCTCCGATCACAAGGATGGCCGTTAGACACTTCTCGTTGACAGCTGTCAGGTGCAATCTTCGCAAAGGGTGGCTTCAGCATGTCCGGCGGCTTCTTTCGCGCTGAAGACTGCTCCGCAAAGAAATATGGAGGCAGCACTGCTTGCCAACACATTCCGCCTTCTGTCAACAGCCTGGTAGCGGGATCCGATTCAGATATGCCGTGTGTAGTGTTGCAAGCTGCAGCGCACAGTTGCTTCTGCATTTCCCGGAGTGGCCCCGCTCAAATCTTCACAGCATGTGTGCTTTCGCCTTGACCTTCACCCTGCAGTCAAGAGGTGCACTCCACATTTACGGCAACATGAGCGTCTCTGGGGGCGAGCTCGTGTTCGAGAGATGCTCCCTGAAGCATCTCGTGAAGAAGGCCAAACGGAAGAACATTTACCAAGAGGAGAAGAAGCTCTTTGGGCGGAGCCATGGAGGCTGTAGAATGTAGACGCTTCTTGTGTCCGCTGAGAGCACCCTACAATGGACACAAAAGGTATCGCGGGTTGCAAGCAGTGGATGCTAGCCAGAAGATGCCAACATTCGAGAGCGTACCGTGACACAGTACCATGGCATTGAACCGTTCATGCATGCAACGACCTCTACCGGCGGGATTGCGGGAATCGTCTCTCTTCGATGTATCAACGTCTGCACCCGGCAACTGTAGCTTCGTTCTGGCCAGGTGGAGGCAAAACGCCGCACGGGGGTTGTTAAAGCTCACTGTTCCAGCTTACGCGGGTCACTTGCATCCGCAGTTGCGCCCGTCAACAGGCGTCGTGAACAAATTTCAGGTAAAGGCAATTCTCTGCTGCTTGCTTGTGCCAATGTTTTCCACAAGTTGGGTGTGCGTTGCGCCTGCTGCATGGACGGATGCTGGATGGCGCTGTGTTTCGTTTAGACATGTTCAACCTCAAGCCTAAGGGCCGGGCGTACTGTAAATTGCTCATACTGCATGTAGCACAGCGAACACGAGCGCAGACTGATTCATGAATCGACGTTGCCTGCGACTGTCCGTCACCCTTTCTGCTTTCACTCCTGAAATAAAGACACTTGACTTGGCAACACGGGCATTTCGCCTTGAAAAAATCCCATGCTCCACAGCCAAAGATTTGGGCACCAATGCCGGAAAGATGTCTTGGCACTTACCTACCGAAGCTTCGACGTGTCGGCATTTTGTCTAGTGCGCTACCGCTACTAGCCGTTTCTAGCCGGAGGTAAGTTTGCCTCGTCGTGCTGTCGTTTGATGTCTGTTCCGCAAGACTAAGTGTGCACCATGACTTCAACAATTATACCCTGACCCACACTGTTGGTACAATGACGTGGCCTTCTGGAACCGCGTTTCTCTTTTGCGCAGTTCGGCAGGTGCCATCAATGCGGTAAACTTCATCCAGTCGGGCGGCGCTGTGCGGATTGCAGACTGTGCTACTGACGAGGGGAAGGGTTACGGAGGCGGAGTTCCTTTGTCCACCACCACCAGCCATCACTACGATAGCCATGCCTGCAACATTCCGCAACTCTCGGGCAGGCGGTCTTAGTGCCCATCACAGTCTCACGCTGACCGGTGGCATTCTGGACGTCAGACAGTCTTCTTCATCCTATTATGGAGGCGCTCGGCGTGCACTAATGTTGCAGATGCCTTCCTCTGGAGTGGGGACCAGTAGTCCGCGTCACAGCGCAGACCCAACCTTTGATTTCGCAGGGTGGTTGCATGACTGTTATTTGAAACCACGTGTCAGGCATCAGAACCCGCACAGTCGCAAGAGGAGCTAGAGTCTCATCTGCTTCCAGAGAATCCGGAAGCATATGTGTGCCCTTCGAAGGTGGCCTGTACACCAGGATCTTTACACAGCTGGGTGGCATGTTGAACGTGCAGCATTGCTTTGCAGTTCAAGGAGGCCTCTTCCTCTCTGCATACATGGGGTATATACAGACATGACATGTGCGTGTATACATAAATCATAAAAACAAACACACACACACACATACCAATTCGTTTGTTTAAGCATCGTGCCTGCAGTTTGCACCTGTTGGAAGGATTTTGACTTTGAGCGAGGATGAGTGACGAGAATCCTGGTGTCGATATAATCGTGCTGCTCCTTGCCGCTCTGTTGTGATCACGCTTTGCCGACGTGCCCGCTGTCGAAGGCTCATGAGATTTCTTGCTGTGGTGCAAAAGGCTCCTGTGCGGGCTGAGTGTGCACTCTTTCTCTGCCAACAAATTGGCAGCGGAGCTTCGGCTCTCCTGTCCTTAGCGCCATGGAGGCTCCAGATCCCGAAGAGCGATGGGCCGGTTTGGCGGCACAGAACGGCATGGGAGACACGGCTCGCTACCAGCAGGCTGCAAGGCAACAAGCGGAAGTTCTTGGAGGTGAGGCGGCACGCGCTCCACCCGGAGGTGACGATCAACCAGAAGTTCGAGAAAATCCCGCAGGGGCACCGGAACCACGACCTCAACACGATCAGCCGGGAGCCCGCGGAGCAGTGCAGCCGGAGGCCGCACGCGATCACCTTGGAGAAGACGACCGACCGGAAGTCCGAGGAGGTCCCAGGGGCGCACCCGAACAGCACCTTCAGCACGATCCGCCGGGAGCACGCGAAGCAGCGCAGCGAGCAGATGCCAACAGTTGGAATGCAGGACATCCTTCGAGTCCGCAGGCTGGGGCCGGCGGAGGAGGAGGAGCAGATGAGCTTTGGTGGTTGCCGCTTCTTAGTGGGTGGAAGCAGCAGGGATGGAGCGACCAGGAGATCTTTGCCTACCTGGCCAGCCGGGGGGAACGCAGCCACTCTGGAGAGCAGTGGCAGCCAAGCCGCGGGGACAGCGGAGGATGGCGAGACCAAGAAAAGGCCTCGCGATGGAAACGTGATTGGTCGTCAGGCCGCCCCAGCGAGCAAAGCGATGAGACTAAGGGCAGCGACAGCAACCCAGCCGACGACTACGACTCGAAGATGCGCATTCGGCAAGAACACCGGTGGGACCCCTGGGCGCGAGCAGCTGCCGACAGGCACTTTGGCAGGAGAGAAAGCGGTCAGCAGAGCGAGGGAACGAGCGGAGAAAGAGCCAGCGAGAAGATCGCCGTCCCGACCTTTGGTGGCATGGCCGGCGAAGAAGGCGAAGTCGGAAGCACAGCAAGGAGCTACCTGCGTCGAGTGGAAGCGTGGGAGCGGGTCACCAGGATGGCCCCGCACCAAAGGGGCGTGGCTTTGTACACCGCGCTTAAGGACAAGGCCTGGGTGGAAGCCGAGGCCCTCAGCATCGAGCAGCTCAGCCGCGAGAGCGGCGCGCAGTACTTCAAGGACTTTATCAAGCAGCGCTACATGGACGTCGAGGTCACGCAGGTGGGCCGGATCATGTCGCAGTTCTTCCGGGTCCTCAAGAGGGGCAACGAGGAGAGCGTGCGCACCTTCACGGGCGAATTCGACAGGATGGTGGCCCGGCTCGCCGAGGTGCAGGTCGTGTTGCCCGAGACGGTCCTCGCGTGGATGTACGTGGACAAATTGCGCCTGGACGAGGGGGGCGAGATCTCCCTTCTTGCTTCGGTTCGCAACGAGTACTCCCTGAAGCGCTTGCAAGAGGCGGCCCTGATCCACGACAGGTCCCTGCGGAAGCCCTACGAGGAGTCGAGGCTTACGCGCCGCGACTTCAAGCCGAAGCCGTGGAGGAGCGAGGGACGCCAGACTCGTGGAGTGAACATGGCCGAGGCGGGCAGCGATGACGGGAGCAGCGGCGAGGAGCAGGGCAACCACGACATGGACGGCGAGGAGAACTGTGTTGTGAGCGAGGAGGTGGCGGCACAGTACCACGAGACGTTCCTCGCACACCAGAGCGCCAAGGCCAAGTACCAGCAGGCGCTCAGAGGGCGTGGCTTTGACGAGAAAGCGCAGCAGGAGCGGGCAGCCGAGCGGCTGAAAAGGGCCAAAGAGAGAAGCTACTGCAGCGTCTGCAAAAAGAAAGGACATTGGCACCGTGATCCCGAATGCCCTTTGCGGGGCCAAACAAAAGGGGTGCACTTCCTGCAGTCGGGCGAGGTGAAGCATGTGAACGTGTGCACCGTCCTGCTGAACGACAAGGCGCCACGCAGCGAGGACGGCTACCTGGCCATCACCGACACCGCGTGTGCTAGCAGTGTCGTGGGCCACCCCTGGCTCATGGAGTACCTGAACTTTGCGGAGGAAAAGGGGCTGCCATACCGCTTCGAAGATGACCTGGAGACCTTCAAGTTCGGAGCTTCCCGCACCTACCCGGCTGAGTTCGCAGTCTGGCTCCTCGTGGGCATTGGCGGGGCCTGGGCTGTGGTGAGAACCTCAGTGGTGGCCTGCGACGTGCCGTTCCTTTTGGGAAAGCCGGCGCTGAAAGCAATGGGTGCCAAAATCGACCTTGAGGCCGGGACCGTCGACTTCAAGAAGCTGAACGTGTGGGCCATGAAATGCCACGAGACAGCCGGAGGGCACCCTGCTGTGTCCATTGTTCCGGAAGGAAACGTGCCGATCGTAGACTGGGACAGCCTGGCTTTTGACCACGAGTGCCGCGACAAGGGCGGAGTGCGCATCGTGAAGCCCGTTGCGTTTGCGGCATACATGGCGGAAGCTGGGGAGGGAGTGCAAGCAAAGCAGCCAGCTAAGAAGCCTAGTCCCGAGGACCCCGCTCGCAAGCACACCCTGTTCTACGAGAAGAAGTTGAGCCCGGAAACCCAAGAAGCACTTGCTAGCCCCGACCTGTCCGTAGACGTGTTCCTTGCCTGGTGGAGAAGCACAAACCTTACAAAAGACTTCTGGCTAGAGACCCCCACCGAGATGATCCGGATACACATTGTTGCCCGGAAGTATGCCTTCAACCCCGAGTTTTGGAACACAGCCTCCGAACACCTTAAGGTCCGTTTGCTTGGCATGTTGGGGAACCGGCGGGTCACAGAGCGCATTCCATGCCACGGGCCTCCTGCTTTGCAAGTTGACGACAGTGCACAGTGGAAGGGCAGCAGCAACAGCGAGCCGCATGTACTTTGGGTCGGGCGAAGCTGTTTTCCCAAGGGAGCTTGCGACCCCGACGCCTTTCCTACCGCACCGGCTCGTGTTCATGGACTCGTTGCCGGCGCTATGGAGCATGCGGAAGAGCGAGCTGGTGGAGGAACTCCTGTCCTACGGGGTCGTGGCACACCCGACTTGGACCGTGCCAGAGCTGCGGGAGATGATCAAGGAACAGCGCGTGGCCCGAGCCACGGAAGTCACGCCACTGAAGGGTTTGTCTCGCATGTCCTTGGGGGAGATGAAGCAGGAGGCGGCCAAGGCCAATCTGATGCTCCCGCCCAAGGTGACCCGAGGAGTGCTCATGAAGATGCTGCGCGACCAGGCCAATGCCCCGGGGGACACCATCTGCCCATTCGGGCGGTACAAGGGATGGGCCTACAACCAGATCCCCCCGGAGTACCTGGACTGGAGCGTGGCGGAGATCGAACGGAGCAGCAATCCGAGCGAGGATCTGGTCCGGCTGGCCAACTGGTGGACGGCGAACAAGGGCAAGAAGGCGACCAAGGCACAACAGCGGGGACTACCAGACGAAGACCCCGAGAAGGCCGCAGCCTCGAAGCCACCGCCGCCACCGAGGGCCGCCAGGACTTCAGCAACAGCAAGGGTCAAGAGTTGGAGCACCGACCGCTCCCCGAGCAGTTCTCAATCACCGAGGCCGCGGCAACCGAAGGCGGCAGTCGCTTCCAAGCAGCAGCTGCAGGAGGAGCTCAAGGAGCTCGAGGCGCACATGAACACCCTGCGGGAGGCAGCCGCCAAGCTGGAGGACGAGGAACCGACGAGGGCCAGGAAGCAGCCAGCGACGAGAAGCGAGGGATGAAGCGATGCCCCCGCATGCTGGAGGAGATCTTCAAGCCCCGGTGGCTGGCACCCGACAAGAAGAAGGAGTTGCAAAAGAAGGCCCGGAAGCTGGACAGCGCTTTTCAAGAAGCCATCCGCGTCTACCATGCTGTCCGCCGAGAAGCCACGAACCGGGCCGCAGAGGGAGAAGAAGTTCTGTGGGGCCAAAGGCCAGCCTGCATGGAGATCGGCGGCCCAGAGTTGATGGTGACACCTTCGTTCCGCAACGCCGGCCTGACCGCCTTGGAGCCGGCCATGCTGAAGGAGGGCAACCTGGACGAGGGCGACGTGATGACCCAGGCCGAGAAGGAACACCTGCTCGAGCGCATCGTCCTTGGGGAGCCCGAGCTGGTCTGGATGTGCCCCCCGCCCTTGGCTGGGAGCAACCTGAGCATCGTGTCAGGGAATCGGCCCAGCCGGGCCGCCAAGAAACAATGCCGAGCTACAGCCAACTTGGCCGCCGAGGCATTCGACACACAGACCTCGGCCGGGAGACTCGGCGTGGTCACACACCCGGCCGGCAGCGAATTTTGCCATGCATAAATTGTGTGCCAGGTGGGACACCTACGTGACCAACTACGACCTGGAGGCCTTTGGCGACAACCCTGGCGCACCGAATGTCCGGATGAAGGCCGTGGCGACGCACCGCGGCATGGCTGAAGCTTTGGCCTTCCAGAACCCCGAGCCGCGCACAAATCCCAAATGGTCTCCTGTGGGGGGCTTTGCGCCCGAAGACATCCCGGGCCACTTTGGGAACATGGTTGTGGAGGCGACGGTGGCCACACGAGGGAAGGACCCAACGGAACCGCACCGTCGGGAACCCGGAGCACCCGCGTACCCTGTGGAAGCCGAGCACGACGCACACCTGGAGGAGCACGGGGCAGAGGCGATCAGTTTCGATCCGCGGGTGCCAAAGACCATCCAGGCAGCCTTGAAACGGATCCACCAGAACTTGGGCCACCTGCCGAACGAGGAGCTGGCGAGACACCTGAAGATGTCCGGAGCCAGCGTGGAAGCGATCAAGGCAGCCAAGACATTGAGATGCAGAACTTGCCAGGCCTGTTCGAGACCTTCTTCCGCAAGGCCAGCAAAACCGGTGCCAGTGTTGGATTTCAATGACGTGCTTGGGCTGGACGTTGTTCACTTGGAGGACGCGCTCGGCCACAAGCACCTTGGGCTGAGCATGGTGGACTATGCCTCCACGTACCACATCGTGGTGGGCATCCTGGACACCAAGGCCGGCACCATCACAGAAGCGGTGCGGAAGTCATGGATATCGTGGGCTGGCCCTCCTCGAGCGTTCGCCCTGGACCTGGATTCCGGCTTTAAGGACGTGTTCGACGAGCTGTGCAGCCAGTGCAACGCCTACATGTCACACGCGGCCGGCCAAGCCCACTGGCAACACGGACTGGTGGAGAGACACAACGGAGTGTGGAAAGCTGTGTGGGAGAAGATGGTGGAGGCAAACACCCTAGTGGGCTATGAGGTCGACTGGGGAATTGACTCCGTGAACAACGCCAAGAACCTACTGCGCAACAAGGACGGGTACTCCCCTCGACAATGGGTCTTTGGAGTGAATCCACGGCTGCTGGGCGACATTGTCGACGAGCCCCATGCCATAGGCACCATGGGGGCCCTGTCCACTGACGGCAAGCTCCAGCGACAGAATGCGATCCGCCAGTCCGCCCGCATGGCCTTCCTTCAGGTGCAGACCGACCAGGCCCTTCAAAAGAGCCTCCTGCACAGAAGCCGCGTGAAGAAGACGCACTACGACTGCGGAGACCTGGTGTATATCTACCGAGAGCGGAAGCCGGCCAAGAGCAAGAAGGCAGTGAAGATGTGGCTGGGACCGTGCAGCGTTATCGGCCCCGAGGGGCAAAACCTATGGGTCAGCCGAGGAGGGCGCTGTTTGCTGTGCGCTCCGGAACACATGCGCCCCGCAGAGCCAGAGGAGCTGGGCGAGCTGCTGAAAGTGAAGGCCAGCTTGGAAAATATCCAGGAGCTCCTTGACGACAAAGGGGTTCAGGACTGGGCCTTTGAGACGGAGGAGGCCCCCAGCCCCGAGCATGAGATGGAGGTCGAGGAAGACGATGTGATTGACGAGCTCCTCGGCGATTATCAGCCCGGGCCCGAAGGAACCCCAGGCGAAGAAGTGGTGCAGCTCGAGAACATGGACTGGGAGAACCTTGCGCTGGAACGACGGCGCAAGCTACTCGACGACGTGCCCTACCAGATGAAGAAGGCCAGAGTGGAACGGAGCGTGCTGTTCAGGCAGAGCGTACCGCCTGAACGCATCCTGACGAGCAGGTTCGCCTACAAGGACAAGAACCGGCCCCAAAGGCGACGAGACCCAACGGTGGCCGTGAAAGCCAAGGCGCGCTTGTGCGTGGGAGGCCACCGGGATCCCGATCTGGGTCAAGAGCGGCTGGCCGTGGACGCGCCGACCGCCACCAAGGCCAGCACCATGGCGGGGGCGCAACTGGCCGCTTCACAGCAGTGGGTCGGAAGCATCGGGGACGTGCAGTCCTTCTTGAACGGCGTTGCGGCGCCGCGTGGGCTGTACTTCGAACAGCCCACCCGAGGACTGCCTGGAGAAGCCAAGGGGCGACTCGTGGAGATCCTGAAGGGGGTCTTTGGCTTGAGTACCAGCCCCCGGCTATGGTATGAGAAGCTCTCCGGGGACCTTATAAAACACTCCGGGTCCAAATTGGGAAAGATGTGGTCACCATCGAGGAAAGCCCGATTGACCCGTGTGCCTTTGTCCTGGTGAAGAACGAGACGGAGACTTGTGGAGTCCTGGAGGCACACGTCGACGACCTGATCCTTTGGACCGAGGAGGAGTTGCAAGAAGCCTTGGAGCAAGCCCTCTCCCGGCTGTTTCCCATAAGTGACTGGGAGCGCACCAACTTCACCTACGTTGGAAACGAGTACCTGAAGACGGCCGACGGCTACCTGATTAAGCAGCAGGACTACGCCGAGAACCGGCTGAAAGAGGTGAGCGTCCCCAAGGGAGCGAATGCTGATGAGATTGCCTCCCAAGACCTTATGCAGGACAACCGGACGGCCGTGGGATGCTTGAGCTGGCTGGCAAAAGAAACTAGGCCCGACCTGGCGTGCCAAGCCAATATGGCACAGGTCCGGCAGAAGTGCCCCACGATCGGGGACATCAAGGCCACCAACGCCGCGGTAAAGCAAGCCAAGGAGTTTGCTGAGATGGGCGTGGCTGTGAAGTCCATACCGTTGCCACGTATGGCCATGCTGGTTTTCCATGACGCAGCCTGGGGCAACGCCGAGCTGGAGGACACCGAGCTGGACATGGAGGCCGGGCACAAAAGGTGGCGGGCCAGATCGGCTACTTGATCTGCGCCATCGACAAAGAGTGCCTAGGGCAGAACCCCGGGCCCCTTAGCGTCCTTTGCTGGAAGTCGCACGCCTGCAAGCGAGTATGCAGGTCTACCTTTGCCGGGGAGACCATGGCAGCATGCGAGGCCATGGAAGCGGCGATCCACTTCCGGGCGCAGCTCTTGGGGCTGTGGCTGCGGCGGCTAGTTCCCGAGAAGGAGGCGGCGCAGATCGTCCCGATCCATGCCGTCACTGATTGCAAGAGTCTCTTTGACTACATCCACCGGTGCGGCGCGCCGAAGGCGACGGCCGACCGGCGTCTCGTGATCGACCTAGCTAGCTTGAAGCAAATTTTTCTGAATGAAGCGAAGGGTCTTTGGCGCCAACGGCGCGGAGAGACCGAGCCAAGTGTAGATGATCCTCTGCTAGTGCCGTTCCACTGGGTGCCGAGCGAGCTTCAGTTGAGCGATATTTTGACTAAGCAGATGCGGTGCCACATGTGGTGGGAGAGCATACACAGGAGTTTCTTTTTGGCCGTTCGCATGTGAACGAAAGGGCTTCCGGCAATAGAAAAGGCAAGGATTGTAGAGCAGTGTCGATATAATCGTGCTGCTCCTTGCCGCTCTGTTGTGATCACGCTTTGCCGACGTGCCCGCTGTCGAAGGCTCATGAGATTTCTTGCTGTGGTGCAAAAGGCTCCTGTGCGGGCTGAGTGTGCACTCTTTCTCTGCCAACAAACCTGGGTTGATATGAACTGGCTGCGTGGCTTCTGTATTTTGTGTCAGGTGTTACGAGGTTCAGTTGTTCCCGCGTTCTGCAGTGAGCCTTGTGCCAAAGCAGGATCTGAGTTTCTCAATGACTTGGTTCGATTCATGCTTCTCGAAACCCCAAATGCTAGACTGCTAGACTAGATGTGACTCCGTCTTCCGAAACCAAAACATGCTAGACTAGATGTAAGCCCGTCTCACCGCAATTACAGTATGTTCTCGCAAGCATAACCAGTTTCTATCTTAATGACGTCCTGCAATGCCATCGGGCGCCCCTTGCTGCCCCACCTGGGCATATCACAGCGGAGCTGGTTTGCAAGCCGGTGACATCATACCACCCCATCATCAATGTGTACTGTATTACTATGATTAGTAGTTAGTAGTCACGAAAGCTAGCTCTGTGGAGCTCGCGGGAGTTGCCCTTTAGCAATTCACTTGTATTAACGCACTAGGGAAAAAACAGGGTTTGCACCTTATCAGGTGGGACGTCCAAGAGTTAAGGTGGGGGGTAGGGGGGGGCCCCCCCCCTTCACCTTGTCATTATGCGTTTTCCACTGATAAGGTGCTTCCCTCCCCCCCTCCTTTAAGGTGGTTGTGCCTGGGATAAGGTGGGGGGGGAGGGGGGCCCCCCCCCCCCCGTATCATGAGGTCCCCCCCCACCCCCCCTCCTCAAGGTCCCTTGGTTTTGTTTGTGTCTGACGTTCGGCGACTGAAGTGCGGTCTTCTCTCCAGAGTTACCTCTAATTGTCGTTCGCACATTACTTTCTCAAGAGTTAAATGAACGAGCAACGCCTGCACCCTTCACCGGCCCAAACTTTCCCTCCGCTACTGTCGTGCACATCGCTTTGCAGAGCTCAGCACCGGACCTCGTGCTTCTAGCTTTCGTGACCAGCTCTCAAGTATTAGTACTACTGTGCAGTTAAGAAGACAGTGGTCATGCTAGGCCGTGTAATTTTAAACAAAAAACTGAGTTGTTGTTGCAAGCGCTCATCGAAGTCTACGCATAGCCTGCAGAGCGGGATCCGCCGGATGCCGACAAGTGGGAGCCAAAACTGTGCAGCTATTGTTCGTATTAAATATGATGATTGTTATCATATTCGAGCATATTTGAGCTGATTATAATTATACTTTTAATATGTTGATATTATCCGATCGAAACCCTGCCTTCAACGAGCATTTTCATTTCCACACCTGATGGGAACAAAGAAAACCCCTGTAACCGCGAACACGACATGTACAAGCACTGATTGCATGTGGTACGTTCTGTAGAACATTGAAGATAACACATGTCCAAGAGTTATTTGCGCAGTTTGACCCTACCCCCGAGGCCATTTAGAATCTAGACGAGTCCAGGATTCTTCGGGTGAAAATTTCCCATTCTGGCATTTTCAGACTATTACTAAGTATGCACGTATGCCACTTTGAGAGACGTGAGTGATGGTTGAAGTTCTGGAATCATTGGAGATGCCTATACCCCACATACGAAGTATTACTCGCTCATACTTGAACCCAGTTGAAGCCGTTTTTGGTCAGAGCCCATCCCAGAATGAATATGCACATGTATCTATAATTACATGCGTTTTTACATCATGACATTGTTGTGTCATGCATTCGCTGTGAGGCAAATTAATTAGAATTCCAGCTTTGGTTCGTTGGCAGTTGCAGGCGGCATCTATGTGAACGATGGACCAGCCAATCAGATCGCTGGGAACATCTCCGTGCACGGTTGCCACGCATCGGGACAGGGCGGAGGAATATTAATACACAACAGTAGCTTTAGTAGCCACGGCTACTTGGATGTCCAGCAATGCATGGCATTGGGCGACAAAGGTGGTGGTCTCTTCGTCTATAATTCCAGTGTCAATTTATCAGGACGGGCATCGTTTGTAGACTGCAGTGTTGACAATGGACATGGCGGCGGCATTTATTCCAGCGGCAACATTACCATCACCGGGCCAGCAACGTTCAAGAATTGCGAAGCCAAGTACAAGGGTGCCATGGTAGCAAGTTCGTGCGGCGGTAGCCCCCTCAACTTGTTTCGTCGCGTCGCGTTGTTGTTCCAAACTTGTCGGCGTCGGCTCGACAGAGCATTTATCTTTTGCAAGCGGGATTGTTACGAATTGTTTAGTAAGCACAGCCTCTCGAAGCAAAGAGGAGTTCTGCGGCTGATGTGTGCATGCCAGGTGGCGGCTGCATCAGTTTGGGCTCCGTGGAAATGCAGAATGCTACGTTTGATCACTGCAAGGCAGAGGGAGCCGGGCTTTGGGCCAAGCAGAGCATCAAGATTGCATCGACGACTTACATTGGCGAGCCTCAACCACCACGTGGCGCAAACAGCTTCATAAAGTGCGACCAGAAAGGAGCCATGTCCTTCGATGTCGTTTATTGTCCCAGAGGCTCCGGCCTCCGTGTCGGTGACCGAGCCATGGGATGTTATATGTGCAACCCTGGCCGCACACGGCTTTCGAGCAGCGGCAACGATTTCTGCGTAGAATGTCCGGAAGAAGCGACTCACAATTGCACGCCAACTGAACTTGCTCTGCTGCCTGGCTTTATGGTGCCTTGAATGCACCAGCTGGTTGAAGCCGATGGAATGCCGGTTTCGAATTGGTCTAAACATGTCACTTTCGACGGTGATTTCCGCAGACCTGCGCCCGCTGCGCCCTGTGCTCAGGCCCAGCTCGAGGATCCCAGGAATCTCTCGCGAATCTTCCGCTGCCCGAACGAGAAAGCATGTCCAGGGGGGATCGTCTCCGCAGCAGAGTCCTTCGGCCAACCACCAGAGACCGTCCAAGCCATGTGTGCATCTGGATTTGAAGGCTTAGGGTGACTTGGTGGACGGTTCAATAAACTTTCTTGTCTTAGTTTTTGGCACACGGAACCATCTCTGCCTGTCCCAATGCACAGCAGTCAGATTCAGAGCCTTCTTCGCCAATGTGCTTTGGTCGACTGCACACGCCCGAGGTGCTTGCAGTGCAACGCGTCGTCCCATGCCAGATCCGACAACAGCGTGCTGCAGTGCATCAAATGCGAAGACTCCTTCAGTCAGGTTGGCGGAGGAAGGAATGACTAGTAAGGAAAGTCGCGGTCAGTTCCCCGAGTGACTTCCAACTTCCAAACATGACTTGTCAGGTGGCTACGCATGTGATGTTCTACGTCGGAAAGGACGGCAGACAACAAGTGGTCCGAGCTAGCGTCACAAGTGAGAGATAGGAGCAATCATAGCAGGTGGCTGCTGCCTTTGCTTCGCCCTTACCCTCATCAAGTATGTTCAGATGGTTCTCTATCAACAAGTCTGGAGGACACCCTGCTGTTCACTTCAGCTGCCCTCAGTGTGCTCAACGTGGGGTCGAAGAAGACCAGCAGTGGAGTCTTGATCAACCAGCTTATGGCCTTCGCTGCCGTGTCAGGGAGCATAATGCCACCCGACTCATGGTCTTAGGGATGCGCGGGTCACCGGGTGCTGGGATGCGGCTACTCTTGTTCGTTCGCCAGGTCTGGCGTGATGCAAACGCAATCCTTCCGTACACTCAAACAGAGCACCCGGGAATGGTTGAACGGCCTGGGCTTGGCTGTGGATACGCTGCAGGGAACGAACCTCAGCAGAACTGGAATCAGGTTTCGATCGTGTTTTCAGAACTTCAACCTGCGAGTCTCGGGCCTCGAACGAAACGGGTGAGGATACATAAGACCTCAGCCTGTCCCATTAGAGCCAAGGAAGTTTGTCCCGAGGCTCCCAAAGTGAACAGCTCGTTCAGGGTTTCGGTTCCAGTAGGTTCCGGTGCCACTCAGAGCCGCCCTTTGCTGAGCGCGCGATAAGACCGAGGAGCGGTTCTGCCGGCATGTCCCTCGAATGCATAGCCGGTGACCTGGGACTTGGCAAGTCCCTCCTCCATGCACACCTTCTATCTTGTATCACGCCGCTCATCCTCATCGACACTTGCCATGATTAGTAGCATTCCAAGGCAAGAAACACATCGTTCATTTTTAGGTGGTGCAGTGGAAGTGTGGGAAGGCATCGTTTGATCAGGTCTTCCTGGCCATCAAGAGGGACCCCTGGTTAGCGATGGTGGTTGGGACCAACGTCTTCCTGCCGGGCTTCGTGGCTTTTTTCGGGAAGTATCTCGTAATGCTCAGGCTGCGGCCAGAGGGCGAAGTCGGAGGAGTGCCCAGAATGGCAGAGAGGATGTGCTTTCGTTTTGATAGAAGGCCTTGCGGCACTCGCATAGGCCCTCACACTTAGACTCAATGCTTTGTGGGTGTGTGCTAATGCTCGGTCAGATTCTATCCAAGGAGATGCGCTATGAGTTCCTGCCACCAATCCTGCAGTCGCCGAACGAGGTGATTACACTCATCATTGTGATTGTGTCGGCGTGCTTCTCTCTGGCCATATACGGCTGGGTGCATGCTGTCACTTGGCGCTTGCCAGCTTCGTCCATCCTAAAACATGTTTTCAACATCCGGATGCACTGACGAGGGGACGTAGTGCTTTGTCCTGCTTGCACAAGCGAGCCAAGGTGCTTCGAAGGAAGGAGCCGCCCCCCGTACATGTAGCATATCTGATGCTGCCATACAAGCCCGAGTTTGCTTTCTGGGAGGCGCGACGGGTCCGGGTAGCGACTGGTAGCCGTTCCATCCCAGAGTTCTTTCTCTGTCCCCAATGAAGCCCAGAATGAGGTCGAGCGGCTGGTGCGGAAGATGCTCCTGGTGCTCGTCAGCTCGATGCTGCCCACGGCAATCTCTCCCGACTCTTGCCGGACAATTGTATCTAGAATCTAGATCTGCTGCTCATCCCAAAGTCGATGACTTAGGCTTTGCAGATGGAGGGAATCGCGCTTGTCCTACTTTGCTCATTGGGTCTCTATGCCTCTTTCCGGCCCTACAAGGCTGGTTGTTGAGTTGAAAAAGATTACATACCACCAGATCTGATTTGCTACACATCGGCAGGCAGACGCCTGGAATCTGGCCGAGATCTCGCTGCTTCTCGTGGCCTTGGCCATTGCAGGGTTAACGACCTGCTTGCTCGCAAACGAACCTTGTCCAGATTTCGGACCACTGTCAAGTCGAAGACTTGCTTCTTCGTTTGAAAACTGAACTGTCGTACATGGTGACGGTTTTCAAAATTGTGCCAGTCGCTGGATCTCTCAGGATCTCCATTGGGCGCACTCAGAATCAACGCAAGTCGTATTGATCTACCTGATTTGTTCACTGGCTGCAGACCCTCAGCTTCATAAGGCCTTTGATTATTGCGCGCTTGCTTGGCTGTTCGAAGCTCACGATGCAGTAAGTCACGTTTACCAGACCCCCCTTCAAGGGAGCACCGGTCTAGTCGAGCTGCTGATTGCTCGAAAGATTGGCTGAAGCTGGCAGCTAAGGGAATATCAATTGGGATGGCTGTGTTGATTGCTTTCGCCCTGCTGCGTGAACGCCGCGAGCGTAAGCACCAGGACAGGGTATGACTATGCGCAATGGCATCAAAAAAGAGGCCGCATACAAAGTTCTCAGGATTCGTATTGAACCCAGATTGCTGAAGGTGATGCATTGGTAGTTGTTTCAGTGCAGAGGCGCTGTGCCACCCGCGTGTTCTGAAGTCCTGGCCAGGATTTGTCTCGCTTGCCTTCGCGCGCAGCTGCTAAGACTGTCAGAAGCACATCTATATCATCACTTACGTGTACCATCGTACTGTAGCTGGCAGTCCGTGCTTGCAAGTATCCAGCTTCGATGTAGTAAGATAAATCTTCCTGTCATTGGCTCCTACAGTCTCGTATAGTCAAGGTTGAAGGAACTAGCTCCAAGGAATTTCGAATGTCTCCAAGGAGCAGCAGGGATGGGGAGTTTGCGATGTCCGCCTTTGGCCCGGTCGCTGTCGCCCCGACTGCTGCCAAGTGAACGGGGCATAGCTGGCAGGCCAAGCAGGCCTTGGTTTTTCTCGGGCCAGCTTCCCACATGGTCAACCGCCACATTGCTAGGAGCGCTGTCATGCGCCAAAGATCGCCGACTGCGTTCGTTTTGCACCTCTCTTCATTGCCAATGGCGCCGCTCCATCTCGCAGCGTGCCACGCCTGCAGCTCCTGCTACTCCTGTGCCCAGCCGCAGTCCTGTACACATACTGTCGGCATGCAATGCGTACAGGCAGGAGACTATCATTCTGGAGCGAAGCGCTGCAGTTCATGGCTACTCATTCCGCGCTGTTGGACTAGGTGAGCCATTCACAGGAGTTGGCATGAAGCTCATTCTTTATGACAAGGCCTTGACTGAGATGGTTGGTCGCCAGATCCCGCCCAACGAGCCGGTTTTGCTTCTCGACGCTTGGGACACCATCATATTGGGCCCCGCAGAGGAGTTCGCCCAGAAGCTGCATGCTAGCAACATTCTGTCTAATGGAGCGGTACTTTGCGGGGCAGATCGCATTTGTGCACCGGATTATAAAATGGCACCCAAAATGGAGCGGCATTTTCCTGACATACAGACGCCGTGGAAGTATCCCAATTCGGGATGCATGGTGGGCACCGCTGCTGCCATGCGGGCTTTCATTCATGGCTTGGTTCATGGGACTGACGGTGGATCATACACCGATCAAGACGACGACCAGCTTCGCGTCCAGCAGTTTCTCCTTGGCTGGCAGGAACAGGGTATACGCTACCCGTTTCAGCTGGACACAGATTGTTTCATCTTTCAAAACATGGGGGAGCCGGAATGCGGCTGGGACTTCGAAAAGGGGGATCCTCAAGGTCCCCGCATTCGAAATCTGACTACGGGTCACCAGCCCCTGGTCGCCCACGGCTGTGGTGGCCATGGCCGCTGGTTCCTCGCAGATATCTACCGGGATCTAGACTTGTTGGATTTCTTAGAGATTTCACCAGACGACCTCGCCGGGATTCCCTATGCTGGCTTGGTGCCCCCTGGCGACGAGATGAAGGAAGAGTACTGGGTGGATCAACCTCCTTGGGAGTTCCCCTTCCAGGCTTTTGAGGTGATCCGTGGTGTGGCTCTGCGTGAAGAGCACGAGGCCCAAGATCAACTCCTGGAGGGATCCAAGTGACTGCCTTGCGGGCTGCACGGGGAAAAAAGAACTCCATGATTTCCCACTTTGGCAAGGGGCGGGTCAAGGTTGGCTTTGCGACGCTGTGTAGGGTGGTTGCCACTTCGGTTGGGTTCGCCGCCGTTCTTCGCAACTGCGTCGGCAGTGTGGATTGAGTCCCTCTGACTTGGGGCTTCCCCGCGGATTGAGACGAGACAGCATGCAGGTGCAAACAGAGTGTAAGAGCAGAGACATCCCCAATTTCAGGAGGCAAAGCCTGAAGCCTGGACGGCACCGGCCCTCAGAGTGCAACTAGCAACTGTCTCGCAGAGTCCCGAAGCTACGACGCAAGCTGACTGCGCAAAGCATACAGTAACAAGTGAGGCCGAACATGCGAAGTCCTTGTCCGAGGAGGCCGGTGCTGGCATGCACTACATTGCACTCTTGCACTGCGTTGTCAACACATTTCAAAATGCAGCGTTGAAGTTGCGTGGATGCTAGGTCTTGTCATTCTACAACTTGCGGACGACCGAGAAGCTGGAGGGCCTTGTGCAGGCAGCCGGGTACAGATGCCACAGCACATGAAACACGCTTCCTCGTAGTGACCCTCAGAGAGCGACAGCATGAATGTCTTTGTATGCTTGGGGTGGAAGGTTCGCCCGGCCGCGTATTGTTGCCAAGTAGTCGCTGTGCAGACTGGCACACAATGGCAAAATCGACACTTAACAGCTAGGCTAGGCTATCGATAAGTGACAAGAGCAACGACCAATGCAATCAGCAACAGCAACCACAACAGCAGCAGCAACAGCAGCATCCACGACGACAACAACAAAGCCGGCAGTCGCGAAGAGCAACGAATCAAAATGCAGCACCCTGCACCGCGGGATGCCGCCAGAGAAGTGTAGCAGATGCAGTGACAAGCGCGGTTCTTTTCCTTTCCAGCTGCTGGAGAGGCCGTTTGCCACTACCTTACGGGCGGCCCCAAGGCCTTCCGCTCTGGTGGCAACATGTTTGAGGGGCCCGTAGCCGCCTGAGTGGCCCAGCCCAGGTTGAGCATCAGGTACACAGCCAGGAGGATGACAACAAGCTCACATTGGATCTGAGCTGAGAGTCGCTGCGTGTGCGCGGATGCGTGTTCCAGGAGTCTGCTTCTTACCAGGTCCGTTCTTCCATTGTAATGTTGGCTTGCCAAGTATAATTCCTGCCTCAATGGTAAAACTCGACCACCGGAGCTCCATTGCAACTCCCCCCCACAACTATAAAACCCCAACCCCAGAGCTTAATAATCGGCATGGTTCAGCTGGGCGGGTGGCAAAAGAATAATCTCTGTTCCGTGTTGTGGTTTGCCGGTTTGCTTCGGGGCTTTGAGCAGAGAGAGAGAGAGAGAGAGAGAGAGAGAGAGAGAGAGAGAGAGAGAGAGAGAGAGAGAGAGCCCCGCCCCACCTAGTGGGGGATCTTTTTGCAAAACCAGCCCTGCCGGGGGAATGCACACGCCTTGTACCATACGCGTTACATACTACCCTTTTAACCACTATTGCCAACATGGCAACGTCGTTCCGTCCCTGTACAATTCGCTGAAATGCCGTCACCTACGTGACGAAGTCCGATCCGCCTCTATGCCAAAATTCAAAGCTTCCTCCCGCTCCTGGCGGGGGGGGCTACAATTCGACCGGCACTTTACAGGCCCCCCCGAACCAGATCACAACTAAGGATAATGCCGTAGGGGCGCGGTGATGAGGCGGGGGTTGTGTTGTGTTTAGTGTTCGGGGGGTTTTCCTGCTTACACTCCGGGGCCTATTTTGTTTTTCGTAGCCTACTCTGGAAAGACCCCTTTACCAGCCACTCCATAAACACAGAGTGTGGCTGGGCGGGCTGAAAGCCTGGGGGGCGCTTGCGCGACCCTTACGCCCTGCAGAAAGAAAGAAAGAGAGAGAGAGAGAGAGAGAGAGAGAGAGAGAGAGAGAGCCATGTACATATCTCACGCCCGAAAGCAAGCAAGCAAGCAAGCAAGACATATACATATATATATGTATATATATATATATATATGTAGAGAGAGAGAGAGAGAGAGAGAGAGAGAGAGAGAGAGAGAGAGAGAGAGAGAGAGAGAATTAACCGGTCGGGGAGCCAGGGGCCGAAACTTTTCGCTGAAGCCTGCGAGGTTTCACAGGGGGACGGTTTAGTTTAGGAGGTTTGGTCGTTGTGGGGGACCGGGTTTACAGGCACAGACGGGGGAAACACCGCACAGACTTGACAGACGCGAGCCGTTGAGCGGATAGGCCTTCGGGCCAGGGGGCTTCCGCCCTCATACCCGTCCGCAAAGCAAGCAAGAGAGTTTCCGGGGGGATCGTTCGGGGCTCTAAAGTTCAGCTTTACATACCTGCACTCCTTCGCTCGTGCCTGCCAGTGTTTACCCGCTCGCCGTAGAGACGAGAGACCATGGCGTGCCCGCGCGCGGGGAGGGGGGTCCGCCTTCTCCTTTGGCTGTGTGGAAGAAGAAGAAAGAGAAACTGCAATTACTATGCTTGCTCCATTATTGCGCATAGATCGAGAAACTGAAATTACTTCGGCCACTGCAGTAATTATTGCAGATAGAGACTTACTACGATTGCTGCAGCATTGCAGAATTTGCAGATACAGAGATAAATTGCAAGACAACTGCAGTATTGCAGAGACAGAAAGAGCATTGCAGAGCTTTGCTTCCATCAGCGACATGTCGAAGCAGAGGGAAACTGTCGCACGCACCTTTAGAGGGCCTCAGATTCCGTGCCTTCCTTGATAAGTTTCCTTATTCCCGGAGCAAAGAATCAATCCATCCTGATGGAGTACTAACAAAGCTGGCTTCTTCGCAATCATATTATGAACCCCTCAACAATTGTGTTGCTTCCAGCGGCCAGCTAAAGGAAACCAAGCCCCTGATTTGGGAAAGCTTTGCTTTAGAAGCCAGAGGATTCCAAGACCACAGATTTGGAGGGCCTCAGATTGCATGCAGTCCTTAACAAAATTCCTTATGACCAGGTTGAGTCAGGTTGAGAGTTCGCGACACAGGCGTACTTCTATACTCCTGTACCGCCGTACTGCTGTACTACTTTACTGCTGTGTTGCTGTACTGTTCCACTGTACGACTGTGCCGCTGTACTGCTGTACTAAAGTGCTGCTGTACTACTCTGCTAGTTTTTATTGTACTACTGTACTACTGCACCGCTGTACTAGTGTACTAGTGTACTGTCTGCTGTACTACGGTACTACTGGACTATAATACTGTACTACACTGCTGTACCACTGTACTACTGCACCGCTGTACTACTGCACGTACTTCTGCGCTTCTGTACTGCTGTACGAGCGGCCCGGATCGGTGGTCAGCACCAAGCGACTATCGTGGACTGGCAAAACCAATGTTGAAACATCTTACATCTTGCAGCGCGTGCGTTCAAGCTGTGACAACTACTTTCCTTTCCTTCGGGGCCAAGCCACAAGCCAGCCACATGCTGCAATCATTGTGTGCCGCAGCAAACCCGACCCAGCCTCAAACGGCATGCATCAGTGCCCTCAAAGAAGGTCAAAACATGCAGGCGAGCTGTGCCCCCAAAGCAACTTGCAAGCCATTCACCACACAGCTATGCTTGTCACAACAAGCGCTAACCAGCTGAACTGAAACGACAGGCGTGACCTCAAGAAAGGTGCAACACGTGCAGCCGAGAACTGTGTCACTCACCGCAAGCTCCAGCCCAGCCACAGTGCAGCAACCATGCTCAATGGAAAGATATTTGTGACCTCGAATAAGGTGCAGTATATGTATATGATCCATCTTGCAAGTTTCTCCGAGGCTGTTGTGCAAACCCTGCAGTTCTTACTGCGGTTTGGCTTCATCCGCTCTTTCGAGCCCGACCCTCAGCCCTCAGCACGTTTTTCCTGAGTCGCTGAAGCCAGTGGCCGGAGGATTTGCTCACAGCTGCAACCGGCGCTGCTTCGGCTCCTGGATGGTAGCACTTGCCTCATGTGCTGAGCAGTCAGGGGGTCATGCGCATGGGGTCCGAATGTGTCCATCCAAACTGATGGAAAATATTGGCCATGTGTGGCCCAGGAACCGACTTTCTCGATCCACCGGAGGCAAACCGGGCAGTGCTTCGTTTGTGGTAAACTTCTGCTGTGGGCATAAGTTACGGGCCTGCTCCCGGGCAAGCACATGACCATGGGATCGTGTGATGATTAGCTTGTAGCGTGCAGTAGCAAGATCGCTGCAGCACATGTGCCAGGCAGAGGGTCTTGACAGTCCACCAAGCTATCAAAACACCAAGCCGCCTACATTGACAGTCCGCGAAGCTATCAGAACAAAAAGCCGTCTACAATGTAAAAAACGTTGTGTATAATAACCCTCAATACATGTCAGCCTGGGAGTCATGAAACACACTGGGTTCACGATGCTGACGACGTCAGTGCACTTGTCGATACTTCTCAGCAACAGATGCAGTACACATGAGCAGTACGCACTGCCGATGCACTCATTGATGGGCTTTGCACGCTCGCTGCCAACACACCTCGCCGCCAATGGAGTCGGGAGAAGCTTGGCACAGTCTCTTTGATCTTGGTTCGTAAAACCCCACAAGCACCCTGGTGCTGAAGCCTCGCCCTGCCCGAGGATGTGGACAATTACTTCATGCTCGATATGGCGGGTGCGCCAGAGGAAGGGGAAGAGGACTTCCGGACGAAGATACATGAAACGATGAAAGCTGGGGCTTCTGGCTTGAGGAGCTTGAACAGACTCAGGAAGGCCAAGATGCCGAAGCGGAGGCAGACCTCGGGTGGGCGGTCGATACCGCTGCTGACAGCCGGGTTCGTGACCTAGTTTGCCAGTTTGCCCCCACAGCTGACATAGGTGGTGCGCGAGTGCGAGCGTAAGCCCTGCCGAGATCTGCTGAGGATGTGGCGGCAGACATCGGCGACACCGACTTCGAGGAGCGCTGCACAATTCGTTCAAAGGTGATCTGTATACACCAAGTTTTGATTGGCTTACAACTCACAGAAAGCACAAGCTAATGTGGAGAAGATATGCCAACTGTCATATGAGACTCCAGCAGGGCAGCATGCGTTTCATGGTTCGTCAGATCAGGAGTATGCCGCAGACTTAGAAGCGCAAGCGCAGCTGCAGATGGAAGCGGAGGCCATGGTCACTTCTGTAGGAGAGTTTGGTTCGAAAGGGTTCATTTCTTGTCTTTCACAGACAGTCCGTGATAGGGCTTTGGCGGACCCCTGCAGCCTTGAGGGATGTAGCCAGAGCATGCAGCGGCAGCCGCGCATCTGAGACAAAGGCAACGAGAGAAATGCCCCACAAAGGTGTTCCGGCTGAAAGGGGCTACAAGTTGAATACGAATAGTTTCCTCCTAGATGCATACGCTTGAATGCTTGCGCAAGTGTTTGGATGTGTACACGCGGCGCGGTGCTCAAAGTGATCGCCTCACTTTGCAGGTGGACGCCCAAGCAGAGCTTGCCTTGGCAGAAGAGGATGCCCGCGCGCAGGAGCTGGCCCAGGACAGGACACACCTTCGGTCGCCTTTGTCAACTTCAGTTCAGAGAAAGAAGCTAATTGGGCATTATATATATATATATATATATATATATATATGATCCCGGTTCGGCCGGCCCCCCCCCCCCTCCCCCCCCCAATGGTTCCTCCTCCCCCTCCTGTGGTGTGGTGTTGTTGTGGGTTGCTTCCCCCTCCCTGTGGTATGATGTGGTGTGGTTCGGGAGTGGGTCTGCTTAGGCTGGTTACCCCACACCGTACTCAACACTGTGGTGTGGTGTGGTTTGGGTTTCCTGCGTGGGTCTGCTGTGGTGTGGTGTGGTTGTGGGTTGCTTCCCCCTCCCTGTGGTGTGGTGTGGTTACCCGACTCCCTGTGGTGTGGTGCGGTTTGGGTTTCCTGCGTGGGTCTGCTTGGCGTGTGAGCCCTCGTGTGGACACACAGATTCGGCTTGGGGAGCGTGGGGGGGGGGGATACCATTGGGGGGGGGGGGCAGTGAACCGAGAACCGGGATCACATATAATATATATATATATTTTTTTTTTTTTTTTTTTTTTTTTGCAGGCCCTTTTTTTGTGTGCTTGAGAGAGATCTGAGCTTTTTTTCGATTGTATCGAGGAGGCAGCAGCTGTGGCGGCGGCCTTCGGAGAGTCTCGGTAGCTTTTGAAGCTTTGGTTACTTCGGCCTTCGGCTGTTCTGACTAAGTGACGTCTATATGAGTCTATATGTAAAAGCGTATATGGCCTATGACGATGGATTCAGTGTCGATTTTTTGAAGATCGGATTCTGGTCCAGAGGGGAGAATTCGGAGAGCTACTAGTGTTGAGACAAGGCAAGCGGCACGGGCGATGTCACGTGTTCCTTGTGCATCCGTTCCTGAGAACTTGAACTGCTGGTGGCTTCGGGTTCGGGGGTGCGGTTCGCGGGGGATTTCTGGTGTTGGTTATGCACTGTCCATTCGTACCCTGGCAGCGAGATCGGCCTTGTGCTGCCGGCTGCGTTGCCTGAGGTGGAAGACGAGGTCCCAAACTTTGCAATGGAGTTCGCTCCAGAGAATGGCACGCCCGTCCACATGCAGCAAGAGGCCGGGGCCATGGATCTGCAGAAGCCCGGCATACGACGCAAACGAGGGTGCTCTTGTTGCAGGCATTGGACTTTGAGGCAGCTGGGGAAGCTGAGCTCGGGGAAGAGGCCATGCCAAGTCGGCGTTGTCCGAGAACAACAATCAAAAACTAAGATTTTCGAACTGTTTCAGGAAGCTCCCGAGCAGGCGGACACAGAGGAGGCTGGATTGCGCTCCGAGACGATTTGTACTGTGTGCCTGGCTTTCTTGCAGGTCGCCGAAGCCGATGCAGAGATGCAAGAGGACGAGGCCGACAGGCGCGATTGCATCCCAGTGTCGGTTGGCTCTGCCGTGCCTGATGTTTAATGACAGGGCGGATGAAGCCGGCGACAGTGCTGCGGTAAGCCCCTGTCCTGAACACGAGCGGTAGGCCTTGCGAGGGATTTCTCCAAAAGCCCAAACCCTGCACGTGCTTAGTGTAGTGTTTTTCCTCTTGAGAAGACACTGTCCGAACAAGGTCAGGTCTGATGTCACTGATAGTCAGCCTCGTCAACAATGTTTGATGGCGCTAATGCAAATGGTGACTAGGGCTAGAAATGTCTTGATAGGTCGACGGTTACTTACAAATTCTTGCTTGGCTCTTCGGTAGAGCGGGCATGCCGTCTCCTCTCTCTTTCATTACCGACTGCGACATGAATCAGGCGACTCCGAGCATGAGAAGGCAAGGCACAAACCCATTTCTGAAGCTACAGCTGAGGCTTGCAGCCGTCACGGAAGCGGTCTCGCGATGCCGCCTTCGCGGAAGCACAGGAGAGATCTCCCCTCGAACGCGCGGAAACTTCGCCAGGTGTCAGCGATACCGAAATTCAGTCCCCAAATCCACACAATTTGTTGCCTGCCGCTGGGCAGTCCCAGCGGCAGGCAACAATCATGCTCACACCTAACACAAATGATTGTGTAGAAGGTGTGTATATGCAATATGTTGCTATTTGGGAGTTTCCGACAAGGGGACCCTCATATAGTACCCTAAATAGTAGGATCCTAGTATTATAAGGACCCCAAGATCAGGTACCCCTTATGTTCGGAAGCTCCCATTTAAAACAAACTGTCCTAGTTTACTTTGCTCATGCGCCTGTTTCTGTTTCTCACGTTATTCACCCCCTACACGCCTTGTTCTTGGAAGGAGCTCCTAGCGACGGTCACACCTGACGCTTGCCTTCTGAAAATGACATCTCCGCCAGTACTGAACTTTCCGCGACTTGTACCAGCTTGGTCAAGAGACCATCAAAGTAGGTGCGAGAGAGAAGAAAGCTCCGACATCACAGGCAGCTTTGTTGGGGAAGCTTCGGCGCCTGGACCCTGTGGCGGGCATCGACGAGTATTACCTGGTAGATGTGCCTCACTCAACAGCCAGCAAATGACTGCCTTGCACGCAGATGTTGTGATCGCTTGGGTGTTGCATCTGCGGGGCTTCTTCTCTCAGCTTGTCAGGGCGAGTTGGAGGGCCAGGCCCTCGCCGAGGAGTTCTGCTCAAGCTTGACGTGAGGGGAGGGTGTTAATCAGTTACCGGTTCTAGGGCCGCTACGGGCCTGAGAGGACTTCCAACTCACCCGCGACTTCTACTCCGCACAGGCCAACGACATGCTGAACTGACATCGACGGAGTTGCCTCGAATGCAGCCGAAGCCGTTCACCGTCTTGTCTTGCCTTGCCTTTGCTCGTGACAACGCAGGCGCTGGAGAACTCCCTCGTGTCGATGCGTGCCGCAGTGCAGCGAGTGCAGTCACGAGTGAAGATCCCGGAGAACAGCAGCATAATAGAGGCTTTGCTAGACGAGGGTGTGTGACGAGTGCTGGCGGATGCTGTCCTGCTGAAGCTGGCAGCCGAGGAAGTCCTTCCAGGCCGTCTGACCTGCTCATGTCTCGGGCGGTGCTTAGTAGCACATCCCACATGATTTGCATGCCCTGACATCACCACCCCCTTGTGGCTTGAAACGGATGGGGGGGTGAGGCTCTGAAATATTTCAGGGCAGCTTCGGTCGAGGTGGGGGTTCAGACCTGGGGGGTGGGGGTCGGGCTTGAAATTTCAGGGCTGTCCTGGGATAGCGGGTCATCTTCCATTTCAAGAGAGTCGCCGTTCGCATCCGCAGGACACCGGCTCTCGGCGCTCTCAAGGGCCTTCGGACTAGCTTTGCAACACCATATGGCCATGCGGTTCTAGTAATTACTGTAATCAAAGGCTGTGAGCAGCGTGCCTATTTCTGTGGTAACGGCGCCAGTGTATTTCTCATGCGGGGTTCGGAGATCGAAATCTACTAAATTCCTCCTATGCGAGGCTAGGTGGCTTCCTCTATTGGGCTGCTACTATATTTCTATTAGAAATCCATTAAATTGCTACTATGCGGGGCTATGGTAGCCTCTTTTATTAGGCTGCTACTAGATTTCTATTAGAAATCTATTAAATTACCACTAGGCAAGGTCACATGCTCCTTTCCCGCAAGCACGGCCGTGGCCACAACCCTTTCCCCCAGCAGTTTCCTGCTTGCCGCCCAACCTTTTCCCCACATACTTCAAGCACATTGGACAGATTTGCGAACCCAAGCCTACCTACCTCCCCCTCCGAGCACCCCTGTTGAAATTTCACGGAACCTTCACCCCCCCCTAGGCTCTATTCTATTTCATGCGGGTGGCTGAAACGGATTCAGCCTTATAAGGGGGGGGGGTGAAACCATAAACCTCTAAAGGGGTAGCTCTAACAGGTACCTACAGCAATGGCTGCATGCTCATACATATACATTCCGCTGCCCATTGGCTCACAGTGGTTTTACCATATTGAGACAAGACAAGCTCTCCTTGCGTAGCAAGACAAAACAACTACTGTCCGTGTGCAGGGCGCTGCCCTTTGATCCTTAGGGAATAACTGGTCATACACCTCCTAACAAGGAGTATTCCTTGTGGGTGTATAGGCACAGTTTTCTGGTAGCGGAGCCCGGAAAGGGCCGCCCGCCTCACAAAGTCCGCTACAGCGGTCGGCCTCGCCGAACGCTTGACCAAGCGGATAAGAGGCAGCACAATGTCGAGCTCGCATAGCGAAGCCGACGGCAGTTCCCAATCCTCCGGGGGATATGAGAACGAAGAGACCTCCCAAGGTCCAGCCACTTATGTCGCACAGTCATTTGCAACATCTGACCGCATGCTTGCATCATTAGGCATAACGCCCAAGATCGCGCCTGCCTATGATGGCACCACTTCGTGGTTTGAGTATGAACAGTTGATTGACGACTGGTGCGACATAACAACGCTGGATGACACCAAAAGAGGTCCGTCTCTCAAGACGAGGCTCTCCGGATTGGCCGCAGTACAAAAAGAATCACTTAACCGAGAAAGGCTTGCAGCCCCAGATGGAGTAGATTACTTCAAGAAGAAGATGCGTCCATTTTTCGTGAAAGGAGAACAGTACGTTTTCCTGTGGCGTTTCCTCGGCCTATTCAAGGCATGGAAGGGCAACCAAGACTTTGTGACTTGGATTGCTAAGTTTGAGATCGTGCTACAGCGCGTGAAAAACTCATGGATGGATCTCTTACCAGAGATAGCTCTGGAAGATGCCCATCCAGATTTCATGCAAGCTGTGCAGGCAGATCAAACCTTCCTGGGCCTACAGGAAGCAGCCGAGAGAGACACATACGCCGCACGCTATTTCGAAACATGGAACAAGGAACGCCTTGACAATCATCGAAGAGCGTTTCCTCTGAATGATAATCTCCTAGCTCTTCTCTTCCTAGTGCAGTCCGACTAAATGAGATGCAACGTGAGAGGTTGGTAACAGCATTGACCAACCAAGGTCACCGAATTGAGACCTATACGTACCCTGTGGTACGGCAGACCATGTTCGATCAGTTTTCAACGACCAGAACTGGTCTGCAGGATCCCAACATTCGGCACTCTTCTCACAAGAAGGACCGCCATGGAAGGAGAGACCAACGCCGCAAACGCGGAGGTCGAAACTTCCTCATCCTCGATCAGGGTGAATACGATGGAGTCGATGGATTCTGGCTCCAAGACGAAGACACCCTTGAGGAAGGCTTTCTTGCCGCCGAGGATGAAGAAGCTGTCTTCTGGACAGTTGATGACCATGAGGCCTTCGTTGCAAGGAGATTCAAAAAGGGAAGAAGACCAAGAATGCGTCCCGGATCACCGGGAAGAGCAAAGGGTGGCAAGCGAAAAGGACGTGGCCGTTTTAGGTCATACCGCGGAAAAGGGAGAGCCAACCAGGCAGAACATGATCCAACTGATTCCAGCTATTTCGGTAAAGGTAAAGGAAAGGAAAAAGGAAAAGGTGGAAAAGGCAAAGGAAAAGGAAAGGACAAAGGAGATAAAGGAAGCTCCTTCAAGGGCACAAAGGCAAAAGGCAAAGGTAAGGATACAGCTAAGTCTGCCTCCTTACAAGGAGACCAAACTGGATCTCCACAGGCCTATGAAAGTTCCACCGCACCGAGCTGGGATTCATGGTATGAGGACAGTTATTATACTGACTCCAGTTGGAATTATGCCGCTTATGACGATCAAACGTCTTATACATACTATGCATCACAAGCCTCACGAAGAAAAACACGGAGAAAGAAGAGAAGAAATCAAGCAGGATCATCAGGTAGAGGCACAGATCCGAGCGCGCACCAAGAACCCGTGTTCAACTCATCAGTGAGTTACGTGCCCCAGGTCTCTGAACCATCCGAGGGGCAAGGTGTGGAGACTGCAACAGCAGTGTTTCCGTTGCAGCACACCGTCCTATCTGCTCTCACAGAGCGGATCAATCTTGATAAGAGCCCTACCTTTGTCATACTTGACTCTGGTTGTACTAGGGCTATGGGTTCCCGCTATGCGGTGAACAGGCTTATCAAGGCCGTGAAGCAACGTGCCCCAGGCATGATTGATTTCACTTTTTCACCTTCGAACACGAAGTTCTCTTTCGCAGATAGTGAAACAGCTCTTATCAAGGAGCGTGTAACTCTATGGTTCAACACAACTCCAAGAAGAGATACAACCATAGAAGTTTTGGATCAGGGGAGAGTCCCCATTTTGTTTTCCATCGAACAGATGAGGAATTTAAGAATGACCCTCGAGTGTAGTCCCACAGCTGACCTAGCAACGTGTGAAGCTTTCGGTTTGTATAAAACCCCTCTTCCGATTAGTACCAATAACCATTTGGTATTGGACCTTCTAGGCTTCACTTCCACCAGGAAGTATCTCCCTAAGTCAGGTACGTCGTTCAGTGCGACGGAGACTGCTCTAGGAGCCAAGAAGCCTTATACTAGGATACCGGAAGGTCGCTGTCCAGCCTGTGCCGGACAGAAAAGGGCTCACACGTACCTCAAGGGTTGCGACAAAGCACCTGAGGGAGCAGCTGATCCACCACCGAAGAGGATTTCAGGTAAAAAGAAGCCTCTTCCATCTGATCCGGCAGAATCATCTGCCAAGAAACTTGATCCACCAGAACCATCTGGTGATGCTCCTGAGCCTTCCGGACCATCGGAACCATCATCAGGCTCTAGGGACAAACCTGCAGAATCCTCTGCACCACATGAACCTCCAGAAGAAGAAAGACTTGAGGTCCCACCTGCGAAGATAAAGACTCCAAAGGGTCTTAAAAACCTTCTGAAGAAATCCCGCAAATATGCGGTTAAACCTCCTGTTGAAGAGAAGTCTAAGGTCCCAGGAGCTGATGACGGGACGGAGGTAAGACCACTTGAGTCAAGAGAATACCCGGCTCCTGGTACAGACTCACCTACAGGTGAAGAGATTGTCGCAGAACCATCGCCATCTCTTCCCATTGCTCTTCGCAGGATTCATGAGAAGCTTAAGGACCCTGTAGAACTCTATAAGCTTCACCTTAAGCACCGTCATATGAGTACGGATCAGTTCAAGCGACGCACAAAAGCCTTACAGATCCCAAAGGAGATATACGAGCTATATGACCAACTGGTCAAAAAGTGTTCAGCCTGCCAGGAACATGTGAGAGCTCCTTCAAGAGCGAAGATTTCTGGTTTAAGATCAGAGACTTTCGGTGATCTCACCTTCGTAGATCACGGTGAGCTTCCAATTCCCGGCAAGGATAGTCGCTTAGTATTTCTTATTCTCTATGATGGAGCAACAAACTTGTTGACTGCCGAAGTAGTCCAGGATAAAGAAGAACATACTACAATGTCGATTATGAATGACTACTTTGAGAAATTTCAGATCAACCCAAAGGTTGTAGTTGGAGATCAAGCATTCATGACTCCAAAAATGGAGGCTTATTACAATCGGCAGAATATCAAGCCTGTGGCAACAGGACCTGGAACACCATGGCCCAACAGGGCCGAAGCTGCTGTAAGATTGCTGAAGCATCAGATTAAGCTCATACTTCAGATCCTGAAGGATGGTGACCCGCAGTATAACGGAATCACCATGAAGTATGGCAACCTCGTTCGCCAAGCATGTTTGGCAAGAAACTCTTCGATTACCTACGGAGGAGTTACTCCTTTAGAAATGGCCTTTGGAAGGCGTCCTCGAGATGTTATAACACCAGAGAACGCTGATCCCAATCAGTTGACAGGTAATCCAACTGATACGGAAGTCACTGCGAGAGCCATTAAGGAGCTTGCCAACAGGGCTTACCAAGAGGCACGCCAATCTGATGATCTGCGTAGAGATCTTGCAGCCAGACTGTCAATGACCCAAGGACCTTTCTCTTTGGGAGATAAGGTTTTCTACTGGTCAGAAGATAAGTCTAAGATTGGATCCACTGGGTCCAAACATGGATCTTGGCTAAAAGGAAAGGTGATCTCCGAACTCGGAGGATCCATGGTAGGTGTGGATCTTGGAACACGCATCGTCCGCGTCAATATCTCAAAACTGAGGAAAAATTATGACATAACATCTGATGTGGAGATTCCTCTCGCGCCTGATGAGGAAACTC